TTAGGCGCCGCTCAATTATTCATAAAGTTGGGGCCAACAAAGTGCTGCACATGTGTACGTGTTCAAAGCGGGGGTCTTAATGGTCAGGTCAGAATCTGAGCGTAGCCCGGAGCCTGGAGCCCAGGATCGGAGCCTTCAAAAATTAAATCGTTTAACAAGCAGTCAAATCACTTTATATGTCCCAGACAGGTGAGTGCCAGAGTCTCTCAAAGGACATCTAATCCAGGCATCCATCCATTTTTACTGCCGCGCAGGCCGTAAAATATTATGAACTGTCTTCAGCTGTCGCAGCACTTCTAATTCAATTCGGTGCAGACTCCAGGCCGGCATATAATTCACCGCAGACTCAAATATATAAATTCTGGTATCATTTTCACCAAAAAACAAACTATAAATGACACAAGAGCAAATAAATTTGGCTGGCAAACGGAGCTTTCTGGCATAAATGTGGACAGTCGAAATAGTTGGCATTAAAAAGCAATTTCCCAGGCAGAGGAAAAGGCAGAGGCAAACACAAATTACAGGAAACAAGAAATCCATCAAACAAACATTCCCCAATTCAAATCGTATTCAATTTGTTCGAATGCCGAAGATGGCAAAAACTGCAGACATTCTAGAGAGAAAGTGAAAACAATTTGGGAATAGCAGCACGTGCTCATGTGATTTGCATTTGTGTGTGTTTCTAGAAGAGTGTATGTGTGTGTGTGTGTGTGTGTGATGGTTGGAATATGTGTTAGCCAAGCTGACGGCCATTTTGGACAGTCAGTCAGCTGTGGCGCATCCTGCTGTCGTTTCTCTGCTGCCATGTAACTTTATAGCACCTCAATGTTTGTTGCCACTTTGCCACACAATAAAAATGCTTTCCCCATCTATTGGCCTCTCTTTCCATTTTGGTTTCTATCTCTATCTTAAATTGGAAAAAAGAGCTGTCTCTGATGTAGGCCAAAACTTCATCCTTCGTTTGCTCTTCCTGCGGCATCTTAATGGGTTTGTTGCAGCCGCATGTCGTGGCCATTTATTTTCAGTTAAACGACAGCAAATTAAGTGCCCGTCGCCAAAGTTCTGCCTTTGTCCTTTCTCTTATTGTATATGGATAATAATGAAGGTCCTCAAAAAAACAATGGCCAACGGCTATTAATTTTTATCTCCGAAGGCCAGATGTTTCGAATTGAAAATAAAACATCAAATTCCACGATCCAGGAAGCCATAATCCAGATCCCATTATATTTTAAAGCAGACTAAGGACTTAGTTTTTAGGACGACCTGCATAACTTAACCTAATCGTTATGTCAACCCTTCAACGGATATAGATTTAATAAGCCCACATAAATAATTTCATTGAACCCATTCAGATGAAGAAATCGCCACAAAAGACCAATTGAAAAATGTGCACACGCCCCTAACTAAATTATTAACATTCGAATAAGTTTACAAAGCTGTTGTGTGTAGCGAATTGTAAAGCAGCAGCACAAGATACACATGCCACAGAAAAAGTATACATTTATACAAAACATATAGCAACAAAAGAGGACGCTTGAGTTGAATTGGGGATAAGCCAACCATCAGATTTGGCCAAGGATTGTGGGGAGTGGCCCTGTCTCCTCCGACAATCTGCCAAAGAGGCTGGCAAATGTCAAATATTTGCTGAGCTGTGATTAATGTTGATTCTTTTTTCGGCTCTCGGCTCCTTTGCATAACATTTCGGCTAAGGCTGAGGGCCAAAAGCAATTCACCTGTGAATAAAGGCCGATGAAGAAAAACAACAAAATAATAAGAACCGAAGAGCGGATGCGAAATCTAGCAGCAGGAAAGAAAAAGCGCAAGAAAAACTCATTTTCCGGCCCCTTGACAAAAATAATAAATATTTCCTTCTGCCTGCCAAATTAATTAAATTGATTGAACGTTAAACAATTTATTATGCCGCCCAACCAAGCGGCGCACAATAAAACTACCAAAGGTCTCCAGTATCCCCCAAAATGCTTTTTAAGTCCTTGAATGCGTTTCGCAGCAGCCAGGAGGGGCTTGGGGCAGGAGGCATTTCAATGGGGCAGCAAATGCCAAGTAAATGCTTCCAGTACAATGGCTGGTCACGTTGTGTCAATAGCTGTCTGAAATGCACTTCGATGCCAAATTGTTGCAATTGTTTTAACAATTTTCTGCATTACCCTCCAACCACCTCACTTCTGCCTACGTTTGGGAATGGCAAAGTTTCTCAAAGTTTGGCAAAGGAAACAACAAGACCGGGCCAGTAATTGTAAACAATTCCACTAAATAACAAGAAGTTTTTGCTTCATTTAGGCAATGTCGAAGTTGAACACTCAAAGAAAAGTATATCAGAGATTTTGAAAAATAGTAAAACGATTAAATCAAAAATTATTTTATGAGTAACCCTTCGAAACTCTTAATCAAAAATTTAATATCACTCCCTAATTTTGTAGTGTTTTATAAGAAAAAGTATATAAAATATAATATCATATTTGTGTTACCCAATAAGCTTCTATATCTTTGCTAAACTAATAAAAAGAGTCAACAAAAAGGAATCAAATATTTCACAAAAAAAATAGCCAAATGTCTCAGCAAAAATCGAACCCACATTCGGTCTCGCTGTAATTTTTCAAATGGCCTCCTTTTTTACAAAAGTTAATCGTCATTATGGGAAATATTTATTTGACACAATGCATATGGATAAAAAGAGGATAACAAAAAGAAGAGAAAAAGGAAGAATTTGTGAAAAATCATTGCCTAATCACATCGAAAACCTTACAGTTTAGGCGGCAACTTCCCTGAAAGCCTCCCGGCCGCCTCAACCTCCTCTGCCGTCTGATTGCTTCCGGTGTTGATGTTGCTGCTTTTGAAATTCAATTTTGTAGAAAATTGTATATGTCCAAGCTGCCTACACGTATTTTATCAAACGTTTTTCAATTTATTTCGTCTGCCAAAATAATGAAGCAGAGAACAGCCAACAGGCAGCTGTCCTGCCAAACTCAAACTCAAATCAAGCCGACAAATGAGTCTAAACAAAAATGAAAAACAAGCCGGCCGAGAGGAGGAAAAAAAGGTCAAAAAGGTATAAAAACTTAAAGCCAGAGTTCCTCTCCCACACCCAGTCATATTTTCCCAAGAAAACCGAGCCGAACCGAACCCCAAACCCCATTTGAACAGCCCCTTATCAATGCCAATAGAAAATCGAATTTCTCCCCAGTATCGAGCAAGGACCTTTTATGCTTGAGCACGACGATGATAGTGGGGATGGTGGGGAAGGAGGGTCTCAAACGAGGAGGGAGTGATTGGGAGCAGGCTCGATTATTGATTGAAGTTGGTTGTCTGCGTATGCGCCGCTCTAATGCTTTGATTAAACATGATTGAATTGTCTATGGGCATGTTTCAGATTTATTTGTACGACGTCTCTCACAAATAGCCAACAAAAAAGCACCCCAAGGCTCAAATCAAGAGGTTCCTAGCCCACATTTGTTAAATTGGACGCCAGGTTGGGGAGGAAGGCCTAAGCTATCGGTATAGATATAAAATGAATAACATATATCAAGAATCCCCGTTTACCATCTGTTGCCTCGGAAGGACTTTAAAGTTTTAAGGCCATAACAGGCTACCTACCTTTTAAATATTATTTTACTCAAATAACCTATAAATTTAGCTTAGTTTTCAGTTACAAGTATTTATGAGAGAATGCCTAGAAAGTATGAAAAAATAAATGCTCTTTATAGACCGAAGCTTATCCCTGCAAGACCCATTGTTTAAGTTTGAAATAACAACTAAGGTTGTATAGCTCCTTAATCCACAAGATGCAACCCACACAGCAACTGCTTTCTGCCAAGTGAGCACCTGAACATCCTTTTGGTCCTGCCCAGCCACCTCCAGGACGAGGCTCTGTTCTTTAAGGGGTTATATACAGTTGTACCGCGCAAAAATATGGATTTTTATCGATTTTTTTTTGACACCATAGAAAATATTTATGAAAAATGTTTTACCGACGTTGTTTAGTACATGTTTCTATGTACTTAATTAAATTTTTTCATAAAAAAATATTACATAACAAAACTGTTATAGCCGAATTCCCGAATCGTCTTTTTTCGATGGTGTCTTGCGGTGGACATGATTTCTCGAAAACGGTTCATCCGAAATCCAAAATTCAAAAAAGTTTAGTTAGTATATTGTATTATCTAGTCCGTGAACGAGGGATTTTTTTAAATTTTGATTAAAAAAAAAATGGCGACGTTTGAAACAAAAAATTTACTTTTTCAAGGTATAAGATTTTCGTTTTTTGTGCTTTAAAAAGGGAGTTTTCAAAAAAATGGAAAATCCCTCGTTCACGGACTAGCTAATATCATAATAAATATGTGGTCAAAATTTGGTGTTGATCGGATTAGTAGTTTTTTAGTAATCGTGTCCACCGCAAAGGTAATTGCCCAAAAAAAAGATTCTGAGATAATCGCGTTTAAAGTTTCAAGTTTGTTCAAGTTTTATATGCAGATGGTGTGCTATAAATAGCTACAGCTTCGGATCTAATGCTCCGATCCTTATCAATTTTTGTGGGAGTACACCCAATAGAATATACTTAAAGAATATGCAATAAAAAAAAAATCTATTTTTTCATATATCACAACTGTATATAACCCCTTAATTGCTTGAGCATTTAATTTGTTTCACTTTAACAAACAAGCCAGCAGAGCACTAGAGTTCGTGCTTAGATTTTCATTTGCAGCCCACAGAGACAAAAGGTGATTGTGGGAGGTGGATGCCCCCGAGGTGGGGCATGTGGCAGCTACATAGTTAACACCAACGAAAGCAAAAACAACAGCAAGGTAAACAGCACAATGGACGAGCAAGAACGGGGGCGTCGGCGAGAGTTATGTTTATAGAACTTTCCAGGATTGCGGATGGTATGGGGTATGGGTCCCTGGTTGTTCATTTATGCTGTTCCTGAGGATGTAACTCGGCTTGTCCTGGCATTTTCTAACACCAAACTTATCTTTTTTTCACAGATCTCCAGCAATTTCCTTCCATCATTCGAGGCCATTTCCTTGGCCGTGCAGAGTATTGCCAGCAAGCTGAACTGGTCGCAGGTCGACATCTACGTGGGTGGTAAGTTTTCCCCTACCATTTTCTATTTTCAAAACTTTTTCTTTTTTTTTTTTGCTTTTCTCGCTCAATTTACTGGCCGATCGCATTTGCATTGATATGGCCTTTAGTTTATTTGATTTGAAATTGAAATCGTAATTCCAACCGTCTACAGAGGACTTTGTGATTCTTAATAAGACTTTTTGGCATTTTCGTCACCTAATCTAGATTGGTGAATTTTTAATCGGTTTTTTAACGTATTTGGCATCTGAAATAAATATACTTTCTTCTAAATTGTTAAAAAAAAACCCTAGTTCTGTGATTTCGCAGAAGTATTTCCAACTTGTCTCAAGAAGGAATATTTTCAAGATTGTTGTGAGAAATTCTCTCAATCTTATAAACAATTATATTATCCCCAAAAACAAAAATCAAAACCATAGCTTTCAGCAAAAAAAATAATTATAATTACCTCTCAGGAAATTTGACTTTCCCAACCATAATTAAACGAAACAAGAATACTGAGCATAAAATAGTTTTCACTTTAATCGCTTTCGTGTAGACTGTAATAACTTCCGTCGAAACCTTCTTGTTTCCCCAAACTACTGGGGAATATGTTGCTGGCTCAATTATGGCCACACATGTGTTTATGTGTGTATGCATTAGAGCTGGCAATCATCCCAGTAGCCAGATCCCAACCCATCCCAGCAGAGTCAACGGATCCGGCGGTATCCCAGGTCGCTCGTTCCCAATTCCCGTTTATGGTCGGAAGGCAAAAGTTGCTTGCTTAAATGTTAAATAAACACATTTGCCGACGGAACTTGGAGAGCGTGAACTGTGGGCGGTCTCGGCCCGCCGGGGGCGTGTCCATGGTAGCGGTGGGCGAAGGAGGTCGCGCCCACATAATACCAAATTATGGGGGAGAAGGAAGCTGCTTGTAGCCGACTCTGAGTACACGTGTGCGTATACGCAATGCAATTAGTGGTGACATTATTATGATTAACGCTGCCTCTGTGTGGGTGAGTGGGCGCCAGCCTGTGTGTGTGAGTGGGTGGGGCTGCTGTGTTTGCAGAAACGCTGACAGGCACAGAAAGATAGCGCAATATTAAGAGGAGTGGCTGTGGCGGAGGACCATTAAGTTGACACTGCTGCATTTCAAATTTAATTAGGTGACGCAGGCTCGCCTGATTAGTCCTGTTTAAACATCCTGCCCGCCGCCCAATTATCCGACTACCAATCAAAAGCAAACATTGGCCCGGCTCCAGCCCCCGGGTAATCAATTAAAGATTAATCGAAAACAGACACAGCCCTCGCAATCAGATTGCCAGACAATTAAAGCACTTTTATTGCACTCTGCGAATGGTAGTCCCCGAATAGTAGTTCTACTTTGTTTCAACTTAAGTGCCTGCCGTTACTCAACTAGCCAAGTTTGTTGACCTATCTGGTGGGGCAAAAACAAAGCTGGGGAAAGTAAAAAGTGCAAATTATGTGACAGCAGCTGAGCAACTGAGAAATGGCATAAAAACAAAGTTATAAAATAAAAGCCAACGCAGACCGCAGACCCGGCTCCGACTCCGAGTATAGAGACTCTGTGGCGAAAAATGTAAATCCAGAGCAAAACAAACACAGAACCTTACGCAAATTGAGATGTCATGGTTGGTATGAGGATATGGCGAACACGACCGACAAAAAGGAGTCCGGGGGCTTGGAGAATCAAATGCCAGCTAATAAAATCAGTCAGACAGCAGTTAAAGTTCTATGACGAAACCATGAATCCAAAAACAAGGGAGGAAACTTTAAATGTGGGTACTTGAGAGGGCAGTTTCACGAGTATGAGTGAAGAGAAGTTTCTGGAATTCTTTTGAGGTATGAAATAGAGAAATATATGTATATTAAAAACTTATCAAATTTTCTGACCATCTGAAGCCTTGGAAGAAGTGATTAATTCTTATAAATTAGCTAACCCTGAATAGTCTATTTGACACTTGACTATTTGATACAAGTCTTCAATCGACCCTAACCGACCCACACATGGCCAGAAACACACTTACTATCTGCCGGACGTGACCAAGTCAGATTCACACGGAGAGCACGCACATCTGTGCGTAGTCCTTCAGGGAGGAGAATGAGAAATGGCTGGTCCTAGACCTGGGGCTTCGGGTATCTTTGATGGCCTCTCAGAACATGGGCCAGCCCGTACGCACTTCCTTTGATTTATGCCAAAATGAGTCCTGCTGGGATGCGTTTGATGGAGAGCCGAAACATTTTTATGAATTCCATGAAAGCTGCAACATCTTTGTCTATAAATAGGCCATAAACGAGGGGATGTCCGCCAACAACTGGACATTAATCTCAAGTGTTTAACAATTAACGAGATGGGCTCGTTTTTCGGGCCAAGGCCGGGATTCACTTTTATGACAGCATAATTAGAGAGACCTACTCGCCGGCAGCAGTCCGCTAATTTATGATTTCTTTTACACTAAGTGACGGCTAATGGACCTGCCAGCCATAAAAAGGTGGCCAAGACCCGAGTCATATTCAGGCCAATTATTGAACCAGCTTCTGCGCGGATGGCTTTGACTTTCAGCTTGACTTTGGCCGAGCTGAATAGCCAAGGAGCCAAGTAAATTGCAATTTCCATTTCGGCGTATCTTCGCATCTGCATCTTTATGCTCTCGGCCAGGCCAACATCCACAACAACAAAAGCAGACTGCCATTGCCGGCGATGACAACGGCGAGAATCCAATCAATTGAACTTGACTGAACTCTGCGGGCAAACTTTGTTCCCCAAGATTATATCGTTTGCATTATGTAAATTGTGTGTACGGGCAAAAGCAATTTGCAACTTTAATTGCAATTCGATGGACTGCAGTACAACTTTTCACCCACACCCCCAGAAATATCTGAAAAGTATGCTACAAGTTTTTGCATTCTCACACACGAATGTTCACTTAATTATTACAGAGCTCTCTTGCGGCCTGACAAACTCCTGATAAGTTGCCAAGTCCTCAAAAATTCACAATTAAATGTATAAAATACGCACCAGGCTGGCCTACACATTTATGGCTTAATTTTTAATGTCCCTCTTAACCGAGCAAATGTGTGAATATTTTAAGTAATGTTGGCCCGAAAGTTTTGTTTAAGGCACATGGGTCTGGGCGGGCCATCTGTGCGGATAAAGTTGTTTTTGATGGAGGGACAAGTTTATGATGAGCATTTAACGGCCCAGGATCTGGCCCGAGGGCCTGCCTAACTGAATTTCCCTTCCATTTTATTCTGCCATAAAATTTCTTGAGCCAACTTGCAGTTAGTAACTGGTTGGCTGAGCAGCGCATGGCTATGCAAATGATATAACGTATACGCCACGTGCGACATGTGTTGATTGCACTTCTGTGGAAAAGAGGAAAAGATTCAACACCAAAACTACCACTACTGCTGCTGCTACTGCTACTAATGCTGTTGCACGTGGCAAGGCTTAGATAAATGGATGCGAGTCCAGGCAGCGCCCACAATCTGCTACAGTTTACCCCCGCAGCCGGTCGCCGGGCGGTCGCTTTTATGGTTTTCGCCAATTTATTTACCTACCCAGCCATTTATTTGTGCTTCTGTGCAGTTTTAGCCACGATTTTTTTTATTCTATTTACATTTTTCGATTCTTGTGGCAGCAACAAAGCAAAACACGGCCAAAAAACAAGGAAAAACAACTTTATAACGAAACCTAACTGAGAGTAAAAGCGCAGCACGCCCTTTATTTCGTTTACCCGCTTGAAATTTGACGGTAGTCGAGGGCTTCTGTTATTATATTTATTTTTTTGAAATTTTCGATGCAGTTTTTCCTTTTTAGCTATTTCCTTTGGCGGCACATTTTTTGGGTTTAGTGGCACGGCTGGTGAGTTGATTGTAAATAACAGCGCTTGACTGACCAAATTTGCTGGCTAACTTTAAACAAACAAATGTCTGTGGATATACATATGTATGCTTTTTTGGTAAACAGTTGAAGGCAAGGAAATAGATGTGGTTTTTTAATAAAATACACCGAAAGAAATGTTACACTTAAGAACTTATACTATGGGTGGGTATGGAAGTCCTTAAATCCACTTCAAAAAACATTAATCTTGTAGCTCAAGCTCATGCTTATTTACTTACTTTCTTAGTTCCTTATGTTGTGTTCTATTATTTTAGCCTCAGCTGTATAAACATGTAGTTACATTTCGTGGCGTGCACATGCACGCACTGCCACGAGTGAACGCGCCGCAATTTAAATTTTGAGTCAAGCGCATGAATATTTAAATGCTCGAAATGAAAAAGCACAAATGCAAATATGAGCGTGGAGAGCACTCATCTGTGTTCGCCGGCGAGTGGCGAGGAGGATGCATTAGTGGGAATGTGGGGTTCTATTGCAATAGACAGTTGGCGCTAAGTATGCGCTTTTCTACCTATCCTACAAACCCTAGAGGTGGAATGTGGGAAGGGTGGAAGGATTCCCCTTAACCTTGGCCAAAGAATTCAGTAGTGGAGTGAATTAACCACAGCTCGGTTCCCAGTTCATGCGGCAGCCCGTGAAATGGAAAAGACCTGCCATTCTCTGGCTTTCGCTGGCTCGAAACAAATCAGGGGCAACCTGCTGCCATCTGGCTTTAAACAGTACAGATGCAGTGCTTCTTATCAGGAACACTCACTCTAAATGGTTATCCTGGCCCCGGCAGTTATTACATTTTGTTATTGTTCTCGGAAAACTATGCAAATGGCCTGAAAATTCAACCGCACAAGTTTCTCTTAAATATGGCAAGACCGAGAAATGGAAAGGAAATCCCAGCCGGAGTGCATATGGCTAAGGATCCCGCCGCCGTGCAGGATGTCCTCGTTTGCGACTTCGTCTTGGTCTTCGTCTTGGTCCTCGTCTTCGTGGTCCTGCCAGCTGCTCCTACGCAGCGTAATTGCACAATTTTGCACTTGGGCAAACATGCACTTGCCAATCGCAGAAGATGGAACTCAGGCCCATATAGTTTGGCATTACACTAAACGAACAATTTTAAGGAGGAATTTTGTTTTTAAATTATTTATTAGTATTTTTATAGAATTTTATTTATTACAGAAAGCTTTATAGAATTTCGTAGCCACTAACATAAATGAAACAATAAGGACGATTCTAATAAATACTTTCTATACGTTACCCGTTACTCTGCTACTCTATTGTCATTAACCGCTTATAAAATTATTTGTTTTAAATGTTAGACGAAATATAATTATATTTCTTGATCTACAAACTTAAAACCAAATAAGAAAAGTAACAACCAACAATAAATTAAACCACTTAATCAATCCTAAAATAAAGCATATCCTTTGTCGTAAATGTCTTGAACGCTAAATGTATTTTTGATATATTTCAGAAAAGTAAGCCAATTTTTTATTTGTGCATCTCCTGTTGGCGTTACTTTACTTTTCGGTGCCCATTTTCTTTCGTTTCTTTTCCTGTTCACGTGGCAGCTCCAAGTTCTGTCAAGTTTTTCCAGCTCACATCTCAGTTAATTAGCGTGTTGTCAGCTGCATTGCTAATTGAGTTTATAGAGCGGGAGCAGGAAGGAGCGGAGGAAGAACCTGCCTAAGGCACTCTTTAATATTAAGACTAAAAACACAGTGCAGCTCCTCTTACCTGAGACGTAATTGCATTTCAGTCGCCCAGTGACGCGGCACAACTGCATTAAATGCTTTTGACAACACCGCGTATGTGTAATGCCCCATTAGCCGTCCCGCCAATGGAAGCTTTAACATGTTTTCCAGACACTTTATGGCCACCTTTTCGCCACAGTCTGCCGTCAGTATGTGGGTGTGCGGTTCATAAATTATACCAGAGATGACCGTTTCAGAAATCTGCACATTGAGCATGACAATGCAGCAAAATCTATTTACGGGGGATTGCACTTTATGGGCCTTGCATCGGTTCCCATGATCTACGGCACTTTTCCTGGGGGGATATTAGCCAGCTTTATGGGGTCAGGGAGCTGGCCACCGAGAGTGTTTCTGCCCATTGAGTGTCCCATTAATCATGTCGACTTTCCCAGCAAAGCCGTCGTATCTCCCAGGACTGTGGTGGCGCCCCCCAAGGTCGTAATTTCCGGAGAAAATCTGAGGAGATCTAGCATGAAGCTAATCTAGTTTACACCTTATTGAAGATTGGTTTTATTATTATGTTTCTTGGGGCTATTAAATAATTAATTATCTATTTTTTTAACGAAGAAGTCTTATGAGAACTCCTTAAATTTTTTAAATCTACGTATTAAGTTATTGAAAGGTGTGATGTAGATTTTGTTGACTTTAGGGACATGTGGGATGGAGAATCTCTATTGAAAATAAAGGACTTCTAAAGATTTTCTACATCATTTGACATTTCCGTTTAGATTTATAAATAAATTTGGAAACCGAGATACTGCTTGGAAATTATTAGAGATATTAGATACTTTCTTAGAAATATATTTTTTCACGACCAATCAAGATGCAGAATAGTGGGCGCGGAGAGGATCACTTCCAGTTCATCCAGCGGACGGACCGGAAGAGTCTGCATACCCAAATCGGACAATTGGTGGCAAAGGCAAAGCAGGTGGCGCTTCAAGAGCTGCAGGAGAGGAGCCTTCGTCTGAAGAACATGCTCGAGGAGGAGGACAAGCGGTACGAGGAGGAGTTCTCCAACACGGTGAAGACGCGCATCGACCAGGACATCAAGGAGCGCAAGGAGCACCTGCACGCCATCAAGGAACAGGTCGCCAAGCAGCAGAAGAAGTTCCTCGAGGAGAAGCACATTCAGCAGGTGATGCTCGACTGCTACGAGGTTCGCGAGGTGCTGCGTCACCAGGACCTTTTGGAGACAAAGATCATCCAGGAGCAGCAGATCCTGGAGAACGAGCGCAAGAAGCGGCGAGAGTGCGAGATGGAGCTGCGCTGGCAGGAGCTGAACCGCCGGCGCTGGGCCAAGTTCGACTGCCTCCAGGCCGACGAGAACTTTAAGCGCCAGCAGATGCAGGCTCAGGTCAACCACGTCCTGGGCATCCAGGTGGCCGAGCACGAAGAGAAGCGGGCTCAGGAGGAGGCAGTGCGCCGTGAGGAGGAGCGGGTAATCAACGCCCTGCTTGAGGAGATCCGCCTGGAGGAGTTCGACAAGGAGCACACCCCCGCTCCTGTCAAGCAGCTCGAATACCAGGAAGAACTCCTCAAGGAGATCGAAAGGAAGCGGTGCGCCCGCCTCAAGGAATGGGAGGCCGACAAGGCTGAGCACTTGGCCTTCTGCCGGGAGACCCAGCGCCTGGAGGCGGAGGCCCGCGAGAAGATCGAAAAGAACAAGAAGGAGCTCAACCGAGCCACCCTGGATTACCTCGCCTACCTGCGTCGCATGCAGTCTCTCGAGCTGGGCATTGAGAAGATGATGGATGAGCGCACGGCCGATCTGTACCAGCTTGATATCTGCACCAAGGTCAACCTTAGCGAAAGGATTCGCGTGAAGAAGGAGGCTGCCGAGAAGTGCTACGAAATTCTTCGAAAGCAAATTTGCGAAGATTACGAGCGCCGGTTGCTACTGGAGTCTGAAGTGCACGAGAACAAAATGCTGGAGAATCGCTTCGTTCATCCGGAGATCACCCATGAGATGAAGGTGTGTCGGCAGATCAAGTACAAGGCCGACCTGGATGCTCAGATCGTTGAAATGAAGCGCATCCAGGCCGAGGAAGAGAAGAAGTTCGAAAGCCAGCTGATGGCCGCCGTCGACGATCCGCTGGTGTGCAAGCGACTGGCCAAGGAGATCCTGGCCAGCGGCATTGACTACCTGGCTCCGCACCCAAACTGGCGCGTGATTGCCTGCAATCCCAACAAGTACATACCACGAGCTCCCACCACCGAGAAGGAGTTCGACGCCCGGGTGGCCGCCGCAAGTTTGGACAAGTGTCCATGTCCCCGGCAGGCGCGGACGAACTGCGGTTTCATGGCCGAGATCGGCGAGGAGATGGGTGGCGCAGGGGATATGGCATCCGGACACAAGTCGAAGACCAAGCCTGTCGAAGTTCAACTGCCGCAGAAACCACAAAAAGGCGCCTTCCGGAATTGCCACTGCAAATTTTATTGATTATTTTTCGCTGTTGGCTCTCCTGAGTACTCTTCTTACACAGCGATCTTAAATTGTATTGAATGTTAAGGATAATTAAATAAAATTCAACAGACTAAGAGAAGCTATAGTCATAGTTTATAGTTAATAGCTTATAGTTTTAAAACCTTATTTAGAAAGGGATATGCCCCGATGCTTACAAAAGGTTCTTGTTGGAACCCAAGATGGGAAAACATTACACCCCTACGTGCCACTAAATAAGCTACAAAGCTAGTTCGAAATCCTCTTTGGAAACAATCAAGAAGGACTGCATAGGCAAACCGCACTTACCCATGAAAATGCTCATTATGAACCTAACATAAGCCACTGCAGAAGGTTGCATCATGCAACAGCCACACACAAATGACACCAACTCTCTTCGTGCCGCAAAAACGCAATTTAATTTCGATATCCTCACTGCCCTTACCTCTTTCTGTGTCTCTCTCTCTCTGTCTCTTTCTTACTGTATCCCCCTCTCTTTCTCTGCTTTTCAGACGACAATTGGGGCCTAGGACTCGCCATAGCGGCCAACTTGCATGTGCCGTATCGCATCGAAATTGGCAGCACAATACGTGACCTGCATGGCCAGGATAAGCCGGGCAAAGGTGAGTACCGTCGAGCTACGGGTCACGGGTCATTGTAAACTGGCCACTGCACTAAAGGAAAACAATTCTGAAAATTAAAAATATAATTATCCTTCCGGATAAAGCGGGTTTTTTTTCTTAAGAATGTAATTACCGAAACAGAACACGGCTTTATGTAGGCTTGCAGGTGCAAGTTAAGTGATTCTTTCCAGATAAAAATTTAATTTTTAATAAGAAACTTTTGAAATTTCAGATACAATGACTTCAACTTTAAATACCTTAGTTCTAATTAATCCCTATATTAAAAGAGAAATTGATCTTTTATGTTTCTGTGTGATTCCTCAGCAATTATCATAACAGCTCCTCTAAACGATGCCAGCACTCTGCGCCTGTTGGCCACCATCGGACGTGAGTGGGGCGGGAGTCAGAGGAAGGATGCGGACAGGGACACACACCCCCGTAGGCCGCACACAAAAATCCTCTTCATCGACATGGTGGCCGGCTCATTGGATGTCGAGCATCGCTTCTACAAATATTTGGCACGCATCGCCAGTGCGGAACGGGGCAGCAACTCCAATGCCAATGCGAATTCGACCTCCAGCCTGGTTAGTAGCAATCTGTTGGTGCTGACTCTGCTAAGCGACCGACATCGACACTTTCTGAATGCCGCCGGACTGATGGCAACAATGCAGCATTTTCGCACGCCTCATGAAAGTCCAGATCTGGGTGTTACTCCCAGGGGCAACGCCCCACAGAACGACACAGAACCGACAGCTAGTGACCTGGACAAACTGTATCCCTACCGTAGCCTTTTGCCGCTCTACGATTTGATTGTCAACAGTGCCACCCAATCGGATCAGGCAGAAGCCATTGCCAAATACGATTTCGTAGTTCTGGACATTTTGCAGGATGTTCAGGCGGCCATTTTCAAGTGGCGACCGCTACTCATCCTCGAGAGCGATAAGCGGCGGGGAGAGAACGGCTCGCAGGATGGAACAAGTGGCTCCTACATCACCCACTCCGTGCAACCGGGCTATGACGAGTGGCTCCTCGTCAGCAGTGTCCAGTTGTGGCAATGTGGTGCCATCTGCTGGACCATTGTGGCGATCTGTGTGGGGCTACTAGTGATCATCGTGGCAGGAAGTGTGGCGGCAGGAATTGCCATGAGGTGAGTAAGGGATTACTAAATTATTGAATAACTATTGAATAAGAAATATTAAACAAAGAAGTGATCAAATACTTATATTATTCGGCATCTCAGGTAGAAAAGTACATTTAATAATATTGTACATTTAACTTCCATTACACAAATTCCTAAAAACTTCCTAGAAATCGTAAGAACGATTTCCTGAAAAAATTTCAACTATTTAAAAGTTTACTAAGAGTACATTTTCTTGAGTTCTTAATATTTGCGCTCTTTGAACAAAATTTGGAATTCCTTTAAAGTTTGTGACCAGGCTTTGGGGCTAGAATTCTGGGAATTAAGGAAAGCTGAAGCAAATTTATCGCCCACCGATTCGCTTTTAAAATTCAGGATGAAACAACTGGTCGGGTATAATTACGATTCCCCTCACAACTGCCTTGTGCCGATGAAACAACAAACTTTCCTCTCACTTCCCAGCAAATAATCAATTAGACACCCGAAAGGCACCCACTCGTTCGTCCTTTTGTAAATCCTTGTTCCACCCAACGGTCCAATAATCTTTGGATTGGACAGTAACGTGGCAAGTTCTTTCCTTTCCCCACCAAGCACGGGTTTCCCCTTTTCCGTCCGTATTTTGCTGCTAATTGGTTTGTACTGTTCTTCATAGAAATTTTGTAATCTACACTCTATATTTTTTGAAGCATAAAATATAATTAAATTTATGCTTTACGAGAAAGATGGATTCAAATTTCCAGAAATAGTACATGCATACATATTTTAATTCACTTAGAGACAAGTTTAGACACTTTTAATCAAATCTGATGACAGTTTTGGGGAATTCAGCTCATTTTCTATTCAACTAATTATTATCGCCCCTCAACCTAAATTATTCAGGCCGAAAGTCAAAGCTCAGCGGGACTCATCGAGATGTATTGGTAGTGTGGATATCAGAATTCAGATTTTAGTTTGCGGCCTGTTGGCAATCATGCGTGGAAAATCAATATCCAACCGCACACTCGACTCACACAATCCATCCATTCAGCCAGTCAATGGCGATGGTTTGCCATTAAAACGGGCATTTAATTAATTAATTACATTCATCAATGCGAGGCACAAGACGCCACCCACCGTTGACTGTACCGTGACATTTATGCTCGCAAAAAACACGTCAAATGCGGTTAAACAAATCATTTACTGTTGCTGGCATGTCGGTTCCCCGATACCATTTCCAGTGAAACCACTCATTAATTGCTGCCTGAATTGCCAGCATTAAACTAGTTAACAGAATAGGCAACTTTAAACCGCAACAAACCGAGGGATTTATCCCGTCGGCTAAAATGCAACTCATGAAGTTTTAATTAGCGAGAGCGACACGGAACAAAATAGGCAAAAAAAAAGTAAAATGAACAAACGAAGGACACACCTGTCCGGGGAAAAAAAATGGAAAAATCCAGCAAACAGGGAGATATGAAAAAGTTACTCTAGTATGACGGTGCTTAAATACCCTTGGGTGTTGCATTTGACAAAGCTTTAGCATAATCCTGCGCATAAAAGAGGAAAAACAAAAGGATAAACAATGCTGTTCAGGGATCTATGGTAATATTTAAGATACTTACTCTCAAAGTAGACTCAAGTGATTGGATATCAAATTTAAAATAGTCACAAGATTTCTTAATTTCATGACTAAGAATTGTCATATCCTTAACCTAGAAAGACCCTCTTAAACTTTCTCCTAGTTAAGCCCAAAAGTTTGGCCATAAATGAGAGAACCGGAAGCCAAATTCAACGTCAGCTTCCTGCTTTTTCTGTTGTTTTTAGATCGAATTGGATATCTAGTTAACAACCGGCACACGTGTGTCCAAAGAGTTTTTCTTTTCGTGCAACAGCCAGCAGCCCATTAATGCCCCTAATACACTTAACCCGACTTGACTCTGGCCACGTGGCAAACTTCTGGCATAACAATTGCTGCATGAATTTGCGGTTTTGCCAGCTCCACCTTTTTCTGGTCAGGCACAGAGGCAGGAGCAGGAGCAGGACGAAGGAACTGATAGGTGCGAGTAAGTAGACGGCAGTAAAAACTTTTTACGGTCCCAACCGCAAGAACACAAGGGTCGCTCATGGACTGCGTAGGTTAATGGATGCAGATTGCAATGGTCGAAGGTGAAGGATCACCAGGGAAGGCAGGATGTTAATTGGAAGTCCTTCTAAGTAGGTCTAAGCCATGTTTGTTCAACTAACTAACAGAGCTTGTATTTAGAATCAGAATTGATTAGTTAAGACCTACTCGAGCCCCATTAATTAGGAAACACACCCTCTTTAATCTACACTTTTATCCTGCAGAAACTATTTCCTGCGCAAACGTCTCTCCAAGGGACCCAACAAGATAGTACTCTCCGCCAGCGATTTTGTGTTTCCAGTGGATTCTAGAAGGGTAAGCTAACCCTGCTTTTTATTAAGGCATTCTATAGTCTTATCCATTCCGATTCCAGGTGGACGAAGGCATTGAGGCCATGCTCTGTTGTTGGCTGCAACAACTGCAGGAGTTCGGTGGTCCAGAAGTGGACAAGCCCGACCTGCTCAAAGGCTCCATTGGCTCTCTGAAAAATCTTGGATTTGTCATACCCGGGGCAGCGGCTCCGGGGAACTCCAGTGGAGGTGCTGCCACGACCACGGTCAACGGCAAAAGCGGAACCTCGGCCACAGGAAGCTTGGCGAGGCACAATCCCGCCCACCTGGATATGCGGGCGCGGTACAACGGCGATCTCGTCCAGCTGAAGGAGATCCACATGAACGGCTCTGCGGAGCTACGCTCCAAGGCGATGGATCTGCTGGTGATGGCCCACGGGCTTCGGCACGAAAACATTAACCCGCTGATTGGCTGGCTATCCGACCCCAATCGTACGGCCATGGTTTTCGATTACTGCTCGAGAGGATCGCTGCAGGACGTGCTTATCATGGACGAGATCAAGCTAGACTGGTCCTTCCGCCTAAGCTTGCTGACGGATCTGGTGAGGGGCATGCGATACCTGCACACATCCCCGCTGCGAGTTCACGGCGCCTTGACCTCCAGAAACTGCGTGGTGGATGCCCGCTGGGTGCTCAAGATCACGGACTACGGACTCAGCTCTTTCTATGAGTCCCAGGGCCTGACTCCGCTGCCCAGGAGCGCCAAGGAGCTGCTGTGGACGGCACCGGAACTGCTGCGAAGTATGAAGCACCACCAGCAGCAGCATCACCACCACCACCAACACGGAAGGATCCAATTGGGCACTCAGCCTGGTGATGTCTACTCCTTCGGCATCATCATGCAGGAAGTGGTGGTGCGCGGCGAGCCCTACTGCATGCTCTCCCTGGCCCCGGAGGACATCATCGCGAAAATTAAGAAGCCCCCGCCGCTTATCCGACCATCAGTTTCCAAGGGAGCCGCCCCTCCGGAGGCCATCAATATCATGCGCCAGTGCTGGGCGGAGCAGCCTGACATGCGACCAGATTTTAATTCGTAAGTTATTTAGTTTCGATTTCCTCGATCTGAATAGTTTGTTTAACTATTAGCTTTATTCACCTTTCCTCAGAGTTTATGAGCGCTTCAAGATGCTTAACCATGGACGGAAGGTGAACTTTGTGGACACCATGTTCCAAATGCTCGAAAAGTACTCGAACAACCTGGAGGAACTCATTCGGGAGCGAACTGAACAACTCGACATTGAACGAAAGAAGACTGAGCAGCTGCTGAATCGCATGTTGCCAAGGTGAAATACTATTTTCATTTAATTATTTTTTATTTAATATATGTAAATTATTGATACAGCTCTGTGGCTGAAAAACTTAAGATGGGCTTGGCCGTCGACCCGGAGGAATTCTCCGATGTGACTATATACTTTAGCGACATTGTTGGTTTTACAACAATCGCCGCCCACTGCAGTCCCGTGCAGGTTGTGGATTTGCTCAACGATCTCTATACGATCTTCGATGCCACGATCAATGCCTACAATGTTTATAAGGTGGGTGGTGAAGTACCTAATAGTTAAAGGCAAATCTTTGAGAATGTGTCTTACAATCCTAGGTTGAGACTATTGGTGATGCTTATATGGTGGTGAGTGGGCTGCCAGTGAAGATACCCGATCATGCCGAGCAAATAGCCACCATGGCCCTGGACCTACTGCATCAGAGTGGTCGTTTCAATGTGAAGCACCTGCCTGGAGTTCCTCTCCAGCTAAGGATTGGCCTCCACACGGGTCCCTGCTGTGCCGGAGTGGTGGGTCTCACGATGCCCAGGTACTGTCTCTTTGGAGACACAGTCAATACAGCCTCCCGGATGGAATCAACGGGTGAGTTAGGACCTTATTTGTTAAAGATAATTTTCTATGAAAATGGTTCCTTTTTTCCTATGAATAAGGATCCTCCTGGCGGATTCACATGTCCCAGGAGACAAGGGACCGATTGGAAGCTCGTGGAGGATATGCGATAGAACCACGGGGCCTCATTGATATCAAGGGCAAGGGGATGATGAACACCTTCTGGCTGCTGGGCAAGAAGGGATTCGAAAAGCCACTACCAGCTCCACCTCCGATTGGGTGAGTTTAGTTAACTATTTAGTAGCATTTTTTAGCCAGAAATTCCTTTTCAAAAGGAAAAATTAAAAGTTTTTATTGCAAATATTAACAAATTGTTTAAAAATACTTTCAACTGCTTTCATTAGGGAGTCTCATGGGTAGGTATTCAGAAACTGAATTCTGAACTAGGAAATTACATAATATAATTAATTCATTTATTAAATTCCAACAGTTTGGATGAATCTCTCATTCGCAACTCGATAACCCTGAAGGCGCAGGCCAACAAGTCGCGGACGAGCACGAATCCCTCCTCCTCGCAGAGTTCCTCCCTGGCTGGAGAGTCCGTGGAGGTCAAGGTGGAGATAACCCCGCCCACAAACGCGGATCTGGGATCTGGTGCCAATCTGCCCAACTCCTACTCTCTGGACTCCAATTCAACGAATACCATCAGCCCGAATGCGACGCTCTGTCCGGAGTTTCCGGGCAGCAAAACAACGCCCAGCAGCACCAGTCCACAGTCCCGGAAGCTGTCGGAACTAACGCCGGACAATCTCCTGAATCCGAACACCTTCAACCGGCTACCGAACTCAGCGGGCGGATCCAGTTCCCGGCTGTACAAGAAGATCGAGGAGATGATGGACCTCAGTTCGCCGTACAATCACTACAAATGCCTCAGTCCCAGTGAGAGCAACCTCACCCAGTTCTATGATGGCAAATACTTGTACGGGATGGCGGGGGCTGGGGTGGGCGTAGCCGGAACCGGAAGTGGTAACAGCAGCGGCCCGGGCAGCGGCGTCGGCTCCTCCTCAATAATGGGCAGTGGAATCGGAAGTGGAGGAGTCAACCGGTATGACAGCAAGCCCGGCTCCAGTCGCCTGCTGCGTCGCCAGTTCAGCTTAGACCGCGACGACCAGCAGGCGAAGGGAGAGCAGCAGCACCAGCACTCCCTGCAGGCGTCCAATTACGCCTCCTTGGTGGGCGGGGCGGTCGGAGGAGGAGGAGGTGGGTTGGGAAGCGGGGTCTCAGGGGTGAAGAGCTCCATGCTGGATATACCCCTCCTCCACGACACCGCCAGGAGTCCCAAGGGAACGCTGACGCGGGCCCACAAACAGAACTCGGCCTCGATCGCCCAGGACCTGGAGAAGATCGAGGAGATCCCACTGTCACCGGCCTCCTCGCAGCATCACAGCAGTCTGGACAGCAATCTCAACCGCAGCCCTCCCTCGACCCTGGAGGCGCAGTCGCCGCCACTGCCCTCGCTGCCGCCCCTGGCTCTGAGTCCGCCCCTGCTCTCCGCGCCCACGTCTCCCGCCCCCTCTCGAACCCTAAACGGAATGTACGCCCACAGTGGCGCCAACAGCCAAAACAGCTCCAATAGCAACACTAACAGCGGAGCCACCAACAACAATAATGGATCCCATCCTGGCCCAGAGCTCACGCTCAATGCCGAGCAGCTTCTGAGCAGATAGGGCACAATCTAAGGCCCCCAGAGTCGAAATGAAAGGGCGGCCAATCAAAGCTTTAGGTCTCAACCGAACCCAGTTAGAGTGTGCGAGTGAATGGTACGATGATACGATATAAGATTCATTAGAGGTCTATTTTATTCGAAAATATTAAACAAAATTAGTTGAGAAATAGCCATGATACTAACTCATTCTTTGTTTCCATAATCTTTCAAAGAAACTACTAAGGAATACCTTATGATTCCTTTTAAAAGTACTTTTTTGACTAAAATTTATGTCGTATCATCTGAATGAGCATGTGAGTGTTTAGTGTGAGTATATGAATGATTTGCCATTGTTGTGATGTGGAAAGCGAAGTACCTCGATGCATGCCAACTCGGTTCCAGCTGCAAAAGAAAGTACAATTTAGTTGAGCATTAGTTCAAGTTGTGGTTAGTAAAAAGAGTCACTGTCCATTTTCCATAGAATGAATCAGCATTACACAAAATCAAAAGCGTAGTCAAGTGAAATGGTTTGTGTTACCAAAGTAGTACAAATTGAAAACATTCCTTCAACTAAAGATCTATAGATTTTCTGTTTTCTCCCATTAGATTAGTTCCCCATAGATTTTTTAATATATGTATTACCATAACTCAAAAATAATAATCAAAAGAACATCTGCATTCCTGATGGAAATCCTCTTTTATACACTGACTCTCTCTTTAATAATTTAAGAGACTACCATACTCGTAAATTTGATCCAAACCTTTGGGCTGTTTCTTTGTTCCACTCGCATGGGTGTATACCTAAGTAAAAGTAGGATATGTATACCAATAAATAGGGATATGTGTACACGATGTTCCTTTTGAGAATCAAACAAATAATTGAAACTTGAATTCAGTCGAAATATTAGCGAATATAGAGGACATTCAAACATATTTATCGAATAAGAATCGCATACGTGAATTTAGTTTTCTAAAGACAATCGTTGTTACTTTTAAATGAAACGCAGATCTAATATGTGGACTATTGGGGATAACCCGTGGAATCGATGACGAGGATGATTGTTTGTCTCACTGTCTATGATATATGGTATATTTTGTAATCGCTCTAAGATAATGGTGTTTAGAATAGTCGGATTGTAAACTACTCTCATCCAGTGCATGCGTTTCGAACATTAACTGAAGTCTAACCGCATTGAGGAAATCAAACTAAAATATCAGTTAAAATACATACATATAGACTCTAGTCTTTAGCTAATTCAAGCGGAATGTAATTCAAAGCCAACTCAAACTATCCCACAAAACTTTTATAACTAACCCGAAGACTAGTTTTAAGGAAAATCAGCATCACTTTCTACCTTGCATGCTTATTTACTTTGTTTTAAAATATAAATTCATTGGCTGTTCAAAATGTTGCGACAGTTACAAGTCAATTAAGAAAAAGCCAAACACTAAAAAGTGCATTCATATGTTATTCGTTTATCTGGGAAAATGCATTCATTTCGAGGTTAATTAAGATCACACTTTTTTACGGCTGTCAATGTGTTAAAGTACTTATTTTCATTTCTGTCCAAACTGAATTTTATTTTCCGCCGGATCCATTTATGGTAAACAAATAAATAAATGCATAAACTTATTAAAACCCATGTCGCTGTTATTGTTTTAAATGTCACAGAACAAAAACCAATCAGTATTCACTGCGGAAAAATAAACCAATTGGGCATCTCCAACAACTGGGTCAATAACACGTAAGCTTTTTTCTACTTGGCATAAATAATCAGTTTATGTCGCTCTTAAATATAAAACTTTCAGAAATGATTTAAAATTTTGAAGCCTTTCTAGTTTGCGCAAAAAACATATTTCAAAACTAGTACGTTTTTCAGAAAAATTGATATAAATTTAAGTTTATTCAACTATTAAGTGCGCTATTTTATCCTTAAAAATTATATAACCAAGAAGCAGAAATTATGTAAAAGAAACAAGCACAAACTTAAAGGCAGATGTCAATATATATTTCCTTTTTAGTTTTTTAACTGAGCCCCTGATTTTTTTAGGGTTTCTTTCGTATTTTATTGGAAGTGGTTTGCAAAGTATTTCTTTTTTTTTTAATGTATTTGAAATGGATTTATAGATGGTGGGCAGCTCAGGAAGTTGTTTCTTGTTCGTCCTCCAAGTAGTACCTAAGCAAATGCTATTCCTCCTCTTCCTTGTCCTTGCGATGAGACTTCTTCTTTTCGCTGCGACTAGAGGAGCCGGAATTCGTGGAGCTGCTACCGCTGGCTTTACTGCTCCTTTCACTTCTGTCTTTCTCGCGGGACTTGGATTTGCGGCGGCTGGACTTTTCGCGAGACCTGGAACGTTCCCGACGCGAACTCTCCTTCTCTTTTTCCTTTTCTTTCTCCTTATCCTTGTCCTTCTCTTTGTCCTTATCCTTATCCTTTTCTTTTTCTTTATCCTTATCCTTGTCCCGAGATCGATCCTTGTCGCGATGTCGCTCGCGCTCCTTAAGGTCACGCTCCTTGCGCTTCTCCTCCTTCAGCATGTGCAAATAGTCCTCGAAGTACTCCTCGCGATATGAGGAGTCCAGAACTCGGTAGCGCGGGTCCGATTCGAACTTCTTCTTGATGTCGTACCACCTCGTATGCCGCTCAATGTCATGACGCTCACGCAGCATGTCCAAAAAGTCTTTGCGCAGCTGTTTATGATTTTAAATAATGGTTTTAAAGATTGCTTTACAAATTAAATCTGCTTAGTATACCTGATCTTTTTTTAATTGCTTGTCCTTTTCGCGCCGTCTGCGCTCACGATCGTCTTCGTAGCTCCCACGATCTAGTATATAAAGTTCAGGATTATTAACGATAAACATTTATAATGAACATAACTAAAGGAAACTTACCACCCATAGGCATCCTGGGTGGAAGGCCCATACGCATCTGTGGTGGAGGCCCACTGCCCATCATCATTCCTGGCGGCGGTCCCATATCTAAAAGAGATCTCCTAAATTAATACTGATACAGAAACATTTAACGCCGAGAACTCACTCATATTTGGTGGCATGCGCATGTTTGGTGGCATCATTCCACGCAAGTTTGGCGGCGGACCGCCCATTTGTGGCGGGGGAACACCCATACCTGGTGGTGGCATGCCTGGCGGAGGCTGTTGCATGTGAGCATGGCCGGGAGTAAGCTCTTTAATGCCGCTGGGTACCCAACCGGGGTTGTCGCCACCCCACTGCGACTCTTGGGTCGGCTCGTAGCCGTAATCAAAGGGCTCTGGTTCGTGGAAGAATGGCTCGTCAGAGGCACCCGGGGGTGGGAAGTTAGGAGCCATGGGTCCCAGGCCTCCGCGCGAATACTCTCTGCATTCTGCGGTCATCACCTGAATGGCGTTCTCCTTAACTCCTCCGCCACCTCTCTCGCCACCCCGTTCACCGCCAGTGGTGGAGATGGGCCTCGGTGGCCGCTGCATTAGGCCCATGCCAGAACGCGACTGGTGCTGCATCATTGGAGGAGGCATTCCTGGCGGAGGCATCTGCATACCGCCTTCGCCGCCCATACCCACCATCGGCTGGATGTTGTGCATACCAGGCGGGCCTATGGACATGCCTCCATCTGACAAAATACCGATCGGGGCGTTCTGGTTCACATTCTGCGTCAGGCTGGCCAGTCCAACGCCGCTCTCCGCCACACGGAAGCGTTTCTGTCGCTCACAATAGGCACGCCACGTCTCTTCGTTGAAGCCGTAGTTGAAGTAATCCGTAATATCTGCTCCGGGCTTCCGCCACGGCTTTTCCTCCAGCGAGTCGATGCTAAACTCATGCACCGCCACGCCATTGATGGTGCCGGCGCCTTCGAAATCTTCAATGCTGAACTTTCCGGCCTGGGCGGCTGGCTTAGCCTTGTCGCCGCCCGCCCCGCTAGCTCCAGCCAGCAAATTGGGACGTTGCTTTATGTTGTACGTGCTGGGCGCCTGTTTGATGTCCCCTATAACCACATTGATATCGTCGTCGGAGTCATCGTCATCGTCGTCGTCTGATCCTGAACCATTCCGCTCTCTCTCACGACGCATACTTGGTCCATCAGTCATTTCCTCATCCTCTGGGTCACGAAGGGAATGCATATCGGCGTCGCGGTCGGGGTCCCTGTCACGATCTCTCCGACTCCGGCTGCTGCCGCTGTCTGTGGTGTCAGGCAGCGCCTCTTCGTCCTCCTCCATTTCTTGAGCCGGGTCATCGAACTCGTGGTATTCGGGGACCTCTTCTTTCGGAAAGAGGGGAATGTCGCCTTCGGCGAGGTCTCCCCCCGGTGCTACTACAGAGCCAGGCTTCTCACCGGACACAACGGCGGCCAAAGCTTGAGCCTCCGCTGCAGCCTCGTGCTCAGCCGTCAGCGATTCGCCGCCGTTGCCCAAATCGCCGGTGGTGGAGTCCGGATTGGAGGTGCCATACAGCCAGCTGTCCTCGTTGGTGTCGTCTGCCATGGTCTGTATTCGGTTTAATTATAAGCTGCTCGACCGCTTAGCCTTTTTTTCATGCGTTGCGACCAATTTTCACAAAAAACAAAATTGACGCGGTGTTTCGTTGCCAAAGCGTTCCTAGTTTCTTGCAGAATTTGCGGCTGTGGAACGAACAGCTGTGTGCGTTTAACAGCACAATGTTAAGTAACATTTTATACGTTATTCAAAAAAATACTAAATTTGTTTTTAATGTTCCATTATTTATTTTTGTTTTTTGATCCAAAAATTATATTTTTTACATTGTAAATTCACATTTATTTTGGATATTTTTAAAATATGTAGAAGCTAAACAATTTATCGAATTTTGAATTTAAAGTTTTTACCACTTATTTTTAAAGCTTCTTCAATGGGTTTTTTTTAAACCTTTTTTTGATTTTCTTGGAGATAAATTTACTGATTATTCAATTTTTTTTCGGTTACTAAATCTTCAACGTACACAAAACTGACATTAGTATCGAATTGGATCCTATTAAAAAATAACCACCGTATTGCTAGCATATAGTCTCCAGTTGGTAAAGGAAGAAGTAGCAACTCCGGCTTCAGATAAAAATCCTTTACAATTTGAGGACCCTGAAAATTAAAACTAAAATTTGCTAATTTTAAAAAAAGTATAAATATAATACAAACCACAAATGGACACGTATGATTGATATTTGAAAATTCCCGAAAAAGACCGTAAATAATCTTTGCAGCAGGGTTATAGTTCTTGTGCAAAAAACGACAAGCATCAACTTTAAAGTCGAATAACCAGGGCTTGTAGCCATTCGCTCTTTTGAAAATTTTAGCGTGAACTTGCACATTGTTGGTTGGATGTAGCACGGTTCCCATCATATTAAGTAGGACCCTATTACGGCTTACGGCCTTAAGCCGGCAGTGGTCGAAAACAAACCATGAAATATTATGGCTTTCACAAATAACATTTGAAAAACGAAAAACCAAAGCATTCTACAAAAAATAAACTAAGAAACGTGTAAATAAAAACGTAAAATTTCTTACGTTTAATGTAGTTGCGCCGAGAGCTACAAATAAAATTAAGCAGAATTTCATACTGCCGTCTACCGATTCCCGGCTCTAGGTTTGAAGTCCAACTGATCCAAAAATTATACTTTCTGCTTTTATTAAAATAATGGAAATCATTTTAATAATTACTCCAATTGAAATTTCTTTTTTCCAATGAGTTGGAACTAATGGTTTGGAACCTATTCGCTTTTTATAACCGAGTCGATAAAAACACGACCATCTGTCCGCCTGTCCTTATGAACGTGTGGATTTCGGAGACTAAAGTCATAAAACTATTCGATTTTAAACTTGGACTGAGACATACGATATGTCAGAATTTTGCCCACTCCCGGCCTTAAAACTGAAATATTTTGCCACTTAAAACTGCTGCATTTCTTCAGTTGCTATTTCCAAAGCAGTTGTTGTTTCAAAATTTGCTAAGAATCACTAAAAAGGTTAGTTGAAGTGTGGGTGAAACAGATGGGTACCTCAAGATGAGAGAATAGTTTATATGAGATGTTTTTTCACCCTTTTAGTTAATACTGGTAAATGTAAGATTTATTTATAATACACATTTATATTGTTTTCAATATATCCCTGACCACTGTTCGAAACATACAGGACAAAGCACAGTCAAAACGTCGCAGACAGAGCTGTCTTAAGCCCAGTAGAAGTTGGCCAAAACGCAAGTAGTTGGACTGATGGAGGGTATACCTGGCTAAGGAAACCAATGCTGCGTTGGAGTGGCTTCCTAACAATATAGCGTACTCCGCACTAAGAGCCAGCTCTGGAAAATGTGAGTATTTGTTCGTTTATTGTATTTAAACTATTAGTTAATTAGACTTGCCTTTTCTGCACAGAATTAGAGTCTCTAGAAAGTTCAACTCCAGTACGTCGGCTTGCATTTGCTGAGCTTCGAAGATGAGCGCCTTGAGCTGCTCATCGCCGCAACCCTCGATCATGGCGCTTATGTCAAGAGACCAATGGGAGGCCCGTAGAACGAAGATTTCACTCCACACAACCTGCAAGATGGCATCCTGCTGTCCTCGGTCCAGCAAACGAAACTGCTCATTGGACTTTGCCTGGCGCAGGCACGTGACCAGAATCTGGGCAAGAATCTGGAAGTGTAGAGCCTGTGGATGCATAGTGGGCGCCGGAGAGGGCAGGGATGGCGGTGGATTCCTTCGGGAGTTGCGGTAGAGAGTGACCTGCTGGTTGCGCGGACCCCTCTCTTCCTGAACAGCAGAGGCATTCATCCCAACGGCCAAGCAGCGTCGAAAGCGGCAAGAAGGACACCAGTTCCTCCTGGCCTTGTCCACAACACAGTTTCCCGCGAGGGCGATGCATGCGTAGCTACTCCCACGCCGAACACTCCGCTTGAAGAAGCAGGAACAACCGTCACAGCACGCCACTCCGTAATGCTTTCCGGAACTCTGGTCGCCGCAAACGGCACAGCCACTAAATGTGGACATGTTCTATCGCCAATGGAAGTCACCTAAGACTAAGTCCATTTCTTTGGATATTGGCGGTTTTATAGCCGACCAAGCTGTCATCTTTTAGCCGCAAATGATATGCAAACCCAATACACTTAGAATAAAAAGGTCCTTAAAAGGACCTCCCTAAGAAACACAAATAATTGTACATAATAATATTTCTTAACTTGAAGATTGAATAAACAATAAAGTATAGGAAGTTATTAGAAACTGTATATTTTGTTAAGGAAAATAGTTTTCTTCTTTCTTATAATTTTATTTTTATAAGAAAATTGTTATAAATTTCAAAAGTGTAATGGTGCATTGCGCTCTAAGCGTGATTTGTGGTTTTTTATTTGATCGAGACGCTCCTGGCAGAGGGCGTTCCGCGTCAAAAGTGACAATCACCTACTTCTATTGCGGAGCGTGTTAACAATTTGTAAACAATTACTGTTTTGCTCTGTGATTGGAAGCGCGCTGGCCACTTCAACTGTCCACGTTGAGGTCCTTTGTGCTGACATTTTGGGTAAACACCGAAGACATTCAGGGGATGTAACTACTCCTAGTACTAGACCACACTCCACACGTCCATAGATATATTTATATCCTTGAAATTCTGCTGCTTTCTTCACACCTTTATTTTAACCTCGACCCAACTTCGTAAACGAAGCTTATATCCTAACTGTTTTTTTATTTAATGATTTTAGTATAGGATCATTAACAGAGCATCATCGTTAGTGTTTGATAGAAGTCGTAAACAAAGTTATAAACTATTGTTAATCTTTGAAAAGACTTTTTAAAGCTTTTTCGCAACCATTAAAAACAACTATTTGATGGTCGATTCTTCATCAATCTTTATCTAAATCCCGAATATAAATTATTCGTCAGATTTTTGTGAAATTTTCTAGAGAATCCCCTTCCAAATGTAGGAAATGCATTTAAATATGAAAAGAAAATATTTTTTAGATTTTTTGTCAATTTTTCTGGAGGATCCCCTTCAAAATGTGGGATCCCCTTCAAAATGCATGGGGAGGACAATATGACCCACCGCGAAGGCTATATCTTTGTCAATACTTATCCGATTCTTAAGCGGAATACCTTAAGCGGAATTCTCCATTGATCTGCATTAAAATCTGAAAAGAAATTTTTTTTAAATTTTTTGTCAATTTTTCTGGAGGATCCCCTTCAAAATGTGGGAAATGCATGGTGCGGTCAATATGACTCACCGCGAAGGATATATCTTTGTCAATACTTATCCGATTCTTAAGCGGAATACCCTAAACGATTTGTGGACCAATTCTCCATTAATCTGCGTTAAAACCTGAAAAGAAAATATTTTTTAGATTTTTTGTCATGTTTTCTGGACCTCTCATCAAAATGTGGGAAATGCAAGGAAATGCATGGGAAGGACAATACTATGACTACATATTGTCGAAGGCTATGTCTTCTCCAATACTTCTCCGATTCTTAAGGGGAACACCTTAAAGGATTTGCTCATAAATTTTCAAAAAACCTGCTTTAAAAATCTACTCATTTTTAGATTTTTTTAATAAGAATAGTAATAGTAATACATTATTTTTTACATTTATTGTAAAATTGTCCTTTTTTTTAAAAAAAAAAAGGGGATCTCTTCAAATTGATGAAAATGGATGGCTATATAGCCCCAACAAAGGCTATATCTTTGGCAAAATATATAACTTATTAAACTATGAAACAAAATCATGAGCCAACTTTTTCAAAAATGTAATTGAAGTTGGTTCAAACATTAAACTTTAATGGGACCTTACAAAAATACCAAAATTCGATATAAAATACTAACGTTAGTATCGATATATTATCATAGAAGCTAGTGTGGCCAGTTTCAAATCTGGATAAAGCGCTGAAAGATTTTGTTCGCTAACATAGGCAACCACAGTGTCTGCGGTCTTTCTGTAATTATTTTTTCAATTTAACAAATCGGTGGAATATGTGAGCCAATTGGCGTAAAAATTTAAGCAAAAGCAAGCCGCGCGCGTTGCCAACTGAGCCATCAGCAGGTCTTTCGTCATTTCGTAGTCTTTGGCTCGCTTTTCCTGCTGCTCCTCCGTCGGCCATTAAAAAAAGAGAAAACGGGAAAACAATACCGAGCCAGTGTGTGAGTGTGTTTGTGTGTGCTGCGAAGTGTTGTTGTGGACTCGGAAAACTTTAAGACGCCCGTGGAAAAGCTGTAGAGCTAGCTGGGTAAAGCGACCACTTCTAACCGTTTCTTCTTCGCTGCTGCAGGCGGCGTACAGGGTGTCGCATGCCAAACAAGCTGGGGCAAACATACATATATGTAACTGCCGTGAGTTCAAGTGTCCCATCGCGAGCAGGGAGGACGAAGGTGGTGAAGAAGATTACGAATCTGGGAAGGGGGGCAGTCAGCAGAGTCCAGAGGGGGAGTTTCATTCATAAAACGAGAGTGCACCGCAGCAGTCCAATTGGTCTGGCTTCGCTCACCCATACACTGGCACATCCAAGGAGGTGCACACGCATACATGTGCATTGATTTTTCCAACACTCGAGCCAGTGTGTGTTTTCCTTGGCTAAGCAGTTCAAGTGGTTTCCATGCCACATTATTTTCCAAGAGTTTCGGGATTAACGCATAGCTGCTCCCATTTCTCCAGTACGAAAATAATTCTATTGGGGGAATGTCAACATACTGGCGCATACAGGGTGATCTGATCCAACGCCCCTGTCCCGGTCTCTGCCTCTGCCACTGCCACTCCGTCTTACCGCCTTGGCCAACACACGTGCGGTTCGGCTTGGAAAAGACTTTGGGGGGAAAACGTGACAAAACAATATATTTATATAAAGCGGCAGCAACATTTTGCAGCCGATTTGGCATTTAACAGTTAGCTTCGCGTCCTAACGCGTCCTTGTCCATCCCCCAAAGACACATAGAACTCAGGTAACGGAAGGTGGACGGCGGGGAGCTCTGAAAATGAGAAATATAAAAGGCACAACATTTCCGCCTGCTGCTTTCGGCTGGCGTCCAAAACTGAAACCAAAATAGACAACGTCGCCGTGTCGGATAGTCGCATCTAGCGGATACGATTATGCGTGGGAAATCATGATTTTCTCGGCGAATTGCAGTACTCTTCAAAGCGAACTCTTTAATACCCTTTCAAGCTTTTAGTCCAATTGGAACCTGCGGTTCTTAAGTAGTCCAGTATGTTCTTAAGATCCAGAAGAGGGTATAAAGGAGCCCGTGTAAACATAGCCAAGTCTGCCTGCCTGTGGTTGTGGCTTCTTTCAGCACTTGGAGCCAGCGCCACTCAATGCACTTGCAACACGCCATGTTTGTAGTTGATTTTGCCACTGCCGCTGCTGCTGTTGTTGCAACATGCACATATGGCTGCGCCACTTCAGAGACGCGGCCCATCCTTCCCACCTCCCCAGTCCCAGTCGCCCCTGACGCAGTGTCACTAATTTAAATGCCGCAAGTGTTGTTAGTGCTTCCTGTGTGCGAGTGCTTGTATTTTGCTCATTACAAAGTAATGTTGCCCCGCCGTGGTGTTTTGTTTTTATTGATTTTTGCCTGAAGTTCGGCTGGAAACTGGGAAACATTTGATTGCGGTGCACCGTTAACCCAATTCTGAGCGCCCACACTCGCCCCCCTGCCTAAAGTTTACTGCCTGGTTGGTGCCTGATCTAAAAACATGAAATACTAAAGTTTACCTATAGATCTCTCGGCAAGCTGCCAACAAACCTACAAAGACTCGCATGGATGCAGATACTCGGAGGTATTGTTGTTGTTTGCCCAGAGTTTTCACACTCGGTAGCCCCCGGAGTCCCCTTGACCGTCACTCCTTCCACTCAATTGCATTGACTCTTAACGCCCTGACGTTGAAAAATGAATCATAAAAGCAGCGCAGCCGTTGTCGGCGTCGTCGTCACCGGCAAAAGCAGACAGGCGCCAACGTCGCACAGTGGGCCTATTATGATTTTTTATTATTCAAATTATTAGAATATTAAGGCTAACAATTGTATATTTTAAAATAATAAATCTTAAATTGATTTAAAGTGTATGAGTATGATTTGCTCCACTGTGCCTTAGCCTTGCTCCCTCGCACTCGCCCTCGCACGGGTCATAATGTTTGGCTGCGACGCCGCCCACTTGGGAATGTTGGGTGCTGTTGCCCCTTTCCTGTTAGCTTTTAATTTCCTTCTCAGTGTTACTGTAATGCCGAGTGCGTGAGCTGTCTTGTTTTTGTTCCGTGTGTTTACCGTTCACCGAAGCCACTCTTGTTATCGCATCCACTTTTTATTGCTCTCCGTGGCGGCGATCTTCCGTGGGTGGCAAGAGAGAGCCAGCCACTACCGTTAAGTGAGTGCCACACAATACAGTGATACCTGGAAAATAGTTTCCTCAGGAGCAGTGGATATTAAAATAATTCTAATTATTCCACTTACCTGCCAGGTGCCACTGTGGGATCGGTGATATCAGTGCCCGTTGTGGGTCTCCCCTGAGATAGGCTGCTTTGTTGTTGTTTGGGGCGGCTTGCCGGCTGCTCTAGTGGCAGTGACACTCGGCGCTGAGAAACCGAGAGCCAGAGCGACACAAAAAGCCCCCGGCAGTCCGATTCAGTTCGTCGGACGGCCCATATTGATAAATTTATAATTCTCCCCGTTGGTTCGGGTCTGCGAGTGGGTGTTTTCGCAAAAAATACGAAAAAAACAAAATTATTTTTTATTTTGGCTTGCCAACAAAATCGAGAGCAGACGAATTTGACGTGATCTTCGCGAAGATGTTCGCATAAAGAAAGAAATAAAGTGTCAATGTTGTATAATTTGTGTGCAGAATTCTGTGAAATTCCCAGCGCCCGAGTGTTGGTGGAAAAATATAGAAAAACAATCTCGATTCTATGACAAATACCGACTTTTAAGAACCCAGTGACGCGATTGCAACAGGGCGTGGAAGAAAAAGAGTAAAAGAATTATAAGATAACACAATTCGCGAAAGATAAGAGACCCCTAGAAATACCCGAAACATTAAATCACTTTCGTTGGATGTTCCCGTTTACGTTTTAATCGAACGCTTTTAAGAAAACGTGAATAAATGTTTTTTTTTTTGAATGAATTAATTATAACTGTTAATCAGTGTATGACAAGAAATAACAATATTCATCTCTCTCCCTCTCCTCACAGCTGTTTTCTTCAGCCTTAGAACAGCTGTGCATAAAGAGGCGCTAAACAAAGAGGAGGCGGAGGAAGCAGGAGTACAAGCAGCAGAGGAAGAGGCATGTCCAGCGAAGAAGACAAACCGCCAGCGCCGCCCGTGCGTCTCACAAGCAATCGCGGTGGCGTCGGCATCGGCATCGAGCGAGTACCGCTGGCGGGCGGCGGAGCGGGTGCAGGTGGTGTGGGCGGCGGCGGCGGCATAGGGGATGTGCCGCCTGTCGACATGCGACCACTGCCCAAGGGTGAGTACCGAGCGATGGTGATTAGTTGTACGAGGCACTTGGACACTGCCAGTCCGCTCTACAATGTGCTTCTTTCTCTTCCCCCCCAAAGAACCCGACGATGCCGACCGCAAGAAGAAGACCCTCAAGAGCAAGATCAAGGGCTCCAAGCCCTCGCACACGGACTCCAAGCCGAACATCTCCTATCCCACGAACTTTGAGCACACGGTACATGTGGGATTCGATGCGGTGACCGGCGAGTTTACGGTAAGTTCCTCGCCAGCACCTCGCACACCTATCCTAGGTGGCGTGTCGCCTAGGCAAGCGTTGTCTAAGAATAGCAATAGCAAGCCGAAATCTTGTGTTTTCACTGCTTATGTCCTCCATTTGATAAGCTTTTCGGAAAATTGATTGCTGAAAATACTCGCACCGGCATATGACTTTGGTTTTGATCCGAAACTTATGGTTTTGTTGCAATAACGACATGGTTTCTTTACAAATACAGCTTTCTTTTTTCCCAAAATTGGGTTCTCTTCAGTTTTCTTTTGTTTTGGCGCTTTCCAATTATATAATACTCTGTAAACATAAACATACTACTTAGTACATACATTCTGTTGTCTCTATTTCTCTCTCGCGATATGTTCTCAACACCGATTATCTATTATCCATTATTATTTCAAGCTGCCAATGAAAGTAAGTAAACTCCACGTCTAACGCCTCGGAACTTGCCTTCATTAGATTTTCGAAACGAACTATAATTGTGTGTTCCTTTGTCTGTATGATTCGGTGTTTGTTTCTCAAGTTCGATCGGTATTACTCATAGTTTACATTCCGTTACTTTTAATGAGTTTGTTCTGTCACCTGTCCACGAAACACTACACCCACTACACACACACACCCCCTGCAATGGGGCTAAGCCTAGAGTTTGTAGTTGAGATGCATTTATCTGCTTGAGAATCTAAGCCCATCTCCCCCCATCGGACCAATTGGCCAATCTATGTGTGAAAAATCCAAGAAATTACACGATTCCCGCCTTCTTGATGTGCTCTCATCCCTGCTAGCCAGCTTTGTTGTCGGATAATGCCTTCAAAACTAATCTGTTGCCATTTTTCAGGGCATGCCGGAGGCGTGGGCGCGTCTGCTGATGAACTCGAACATCAGCAAGCAGGAGCAGAAGAAGAACCCCCAGGCTGTGCTCGATGTGCTCAAGTGGTTCGACAACACAACCAAACAGAGGCCAAGCTCCAAGTACATGACAAATGCCATTACCACGCATTCTGGTGGGTATACCTTTCATTTGGTTTCCAGTTAGTAGCATTCAAATCTTTCTTCTTGACAGGATCCTCGCTTAGCCGCGTTAGCAGCAGCAGCCCCAGCAGCACGCCAACGGACTCGGAGCTGCACGGCTCGAACAGCGGCGGCAACCTGATCGGCGTGCAGCTGGGCAGCATGACACTTGGCTGCAATGCCAACAATGTGGCCGCAGCTGGACAAATCCTGGGCAACCACTATCAGCAGCAGCAACAGCATCTCCTCCAGCAACAACAGCAGCAACTGCACCAACACCAGCACCAGCATCACATGGGGATCAGCCAGTCGCACTCGTATAACTTTACTGGTCACACGGCCTCCTCGTCTACATCGCAACATTCATCCGCCAATGAGGATGATATGCTGGGATCACCGCATCCACATCCGCAGCAATTGCCGCCTCAACAGCCGCCACCGCCTCCGGTGGCCTCGAGGCCCGAACGCACGAAATCCATCTACACGCGGCCCATTGAAGATCTGCCACCGTCGCTGCCACCCGTCAACCATCAGGCTGTACCAGCAGCGCCCGCTCCCACGCCCACAACGCCACTCCAAAACCATCGGGCGCCTGGCGGTATCGCAGCGCCAGTGGCCTCGCCGTTGCTTCATAACAACACCACGACGACGCTGGACAAGAACAAGAACAATGCAAGTGAGTGCCGCTGTAGGAAACCCAAAAGATCGAGGCCCAATAGCATCATCCTTATGACAAGCCCTGACAAGCCTTGGTTGCATCTTCTTCGATTTAAGCTCTAATCTTGAGGTGTTTAAAGTGTATCTGGGATGTTTATGAACTTCAGATCGCTTTACATGCGTATGGAGCTTCAAATATTGGTTCAAGTTAAAGAAGAGTAACCTGGGATGCTTTTATAAGATACCTAGTAGCTGTCAGGGCCCTGAGGATGTGCTGTCCCTTATAGCTTCTGTTTGTTGTTGCCCTTTTTTAAACTAATGATCTTTTTGTGGTGATTTTGCTAACGAATATGTGTGTATTTTGGTATTTGTATCGCCTCTCTGTGTTCTGTTTTGTTCTGCTTTTAATTGCTGCTAAAAAAAAAAAATAAAAAATTAAAACAACTGCAACTGCGACGCCAGCACCAACATCCCCAACAACCATAACAACAGCAACAGCAGAAACAGAAAGCACCGATGCAACAGCAGCAGCCACTCCGGCTGCTCTTTTGTCTGCTACTAATCCTAGTTGTACTACCACTTCTGCTACTTCTACTACTACTACTTCCACTGCAATTACTCCTGCTCCTGTTCCTGACCCAGCTGCATCCACGCAGCTCGCAGTTGAAACAGCAATAGCAACCTCTGCAGCAGCAACAGCAGCAGCAGCAGTGTCTTCAGCCACAGCCACAACGACTAACCACCATTCCTCTGCTTCCTCCTTTTCATCATTTCCTTCGTTCCACGACGACGATGTCGCCACGCTGCACCACGCCCTACCGTCGATCCACTGTCCCACGCCGACGTCTTCCGCCCGCAATTCGACGATTCCTGTTCCGATAACGGTTGTTCCCCTACCGCCCATCATCACGCCCGCCTCGCCGACTCCCGCCAACGCCGGTCCCTCAGATCTATACACCCCGGACACGACAGCACCTTCTCCTGCGCCGCCAGCTGGCAACCAGATCGCCGTGCCTCAGGCGGCTGCGGCGAGTGCGGTCACGCCAAACACCCGGGCAGCCAACGCCAAGAAGAAGAAGATGTCCGACGAGGAAATCCTCGAAAAGCTACGCACCATCGTCTCCGTGGGCGACCCCAACCGCAAGTACACCAAAATGGAGAAGATCGGTCAGGGCGCCTCGGGCACAGTGTACACGGCCATTGAGTCTTCAACTGGCATGGAGGTGGCCATCAAGCAGATGAACCTCTCGCAGCAGCCCAAAAAGGAGCTGATCATCAACGAGATTCTCGTCATGCGGGAAAACAAGCACCCGAATGTGGTGAACTACCTGGACAGCTACCTGGTGTCCGAGGAGCTATGGGTGGTCATGGAGTACCTGCCCGGCGGATCACTCACCGATGTCGTCACCGAGACCTGTATGGACGAGGGGCAGATAGCCGCGGTCTGTCGCGAGGTGCTGCAAGCGCTAGAGTTCCTCCACGCCAACCAGGTCATCCATCGCGATATTAAGAGCGATAACATCCTCCTGGGCCTCGACGGCTCCGTTAAGCTGACTGACTTTGGTTTCTGTGCGCAAATCTCGCCGGAGCAATCGAAACGCACAACGATGGTGGGCACTCCATATTGGATGGCGCCCGAAGTGGTCACCCGAAAACAATACGGACCAAAGGTAAGAATATCAATGTGAGTAACTAGAGCCATTCTAATGGTACTTTGGATTCATAGGTGGACTTGTGGTCGCTGGGAATCATGGCCATCGAGATGGTCGAGGGCGAGCCGCCGTATTTGAACGAGAATCCGCTTAAAGCCTTGTACCTCATTGCCACCAATGGCAAGCCAGAGATTAAAGAAAAAGACAAGCTCTCCGCAGCGTTTCAGGACTTCCTCGACCAGTGTTTGGAGGTGGAAGTGGAGCGGCGAGCGAGTGCGATGGATTTACTAAAGGTGAGTTAATGCTTCTACATTCTTAAATTATAAATTAAACATTTTTTTTATTTTTTTGTTCAGCATCCCTTCCTAAAGCTGGCACGCCCATTGGCCAGCTTGACGCCTCTGATTATGGCCGCGAAGGAGGCCACAAAGGGCAACTGATTGACAACCAAGAAGAAACAGCTTATTTAACCATTACTAATGAATTACTACTGCAGAAAACAACAAGAACAACAGCAACAACAACAACCACAATAGCAACAATAACAGTTATTCATATGAAGAGATGAATTATTGAGGATTATGATTACTATTATTAATTATTTATATAAACGTATTATATACACACATATTATTATATTATATCTACTCTAACGATACAAGCAACCAAACCCTGGATGCATCAAGCAAGAGATCCGCGTAGTTCAATTCACACAGTTCGATTTTGGCTTCTTGAAAGATTTAAGATTACTTTGGCCACCACAGCATCAACGAAACACGTTTCCAACATTTGAGATACCAAAACATTTTTAAAGTTGTACTTGTATAGACCCAACACAAAAGTTGAATGAAGCATTTTGAATGCTTTTTAAATTGTAAGATTAAAGTTCATTTGAAAAAAAGTAACAAGAAGATACTTACATTATAGTTTTGAATATTTATAAATTAAAATTGGTAACTTTTGCATTTATAACAAATGATAATACACATACATACCTACTTTTACAATGTATAAAGCACATTAAATTCGTTTATTTCGTAAAATTTCTATAAGAAAGCCCAAAATGTATGAGTATGAGAAGGAACGATTTGAAACGCTGTTACTAATCTAATGACTTGGAGTATTATTGCTGATTTTAGTAGAAGTTTCATTTAGTTCTTACATTGCTTTATGTAATAAATATATATTTTTATATGATTTTAAATATCTTTCGTTCATCATTTTTCGTTTAGCTTCTTTTGTTGCCCTGTTGCCCTTTCAGGAAATGCACCATTCTATGTATACCCTTTGATTTCTGCTTTCTAGTGCGCCTTCTGATATTGCATATGACTTCCTTTGTAATATGAAAATCAAAACAGCAACATCAATATGTAATAAAATGTACCATTTAACATAGAACACGACACAAACACCTGACATTTTAATTTGCATACATAAGTAAACGAAGATGAAACACCAACTTGTAGAAATATATATAAATCTATAATGATATTGAAGAGTTTTGAGATTCACACCTAACTGTTCAATAAATAGTAGTACTAGTAGTACTAAATATAACTAGTAAATTAATAATAGAAGTGTACAATTCGACCCTGACCCGAAAGAAATTAAATCCAGTTACTTTGTGCCTAACCAAACAGAAAAATGAAATCAATAAGAGCCAGAAGTAAATAATATACTGATAGTGACTAGCAGTGGTAGCGTAACATTAAAATAGTGAAACATAATTCTAGCATATAGAGAGCATTCGTCAACTAAACACCAGCTATAGTAGGGGGTGTGCATGTACTGGAGCGAGTTGGGTTATGAATGCAATCTTAGCATACAATATATTTGGTTTTCATTAATTTTCAAGATTATTCAAAAAAAGCTTATGTTGCTTAACCTAATTTATATAAAAAAAACGTATCCATGTAGATTAGTTGGGCTTATAACACAAAGCGTTAAAAAAAACACCAAATCTTTAAAGATCTTGAAAGTAGGAAGAAAACCAATGGGTTGGTTTTTCTTACAGTCGGCATTATTTTATATATATTAGTTCCTAAAAGAAACATTTGCATAGTACTTTGATTATTCAAATGGAAAAAGACGAGGAAGAGCCAAAGGAAAATAAGTCTGGCATGAAAAACGAATAAAACTACGAAAGTTATTGTATTTGTATTTATTTCTAGAGTGGCGATATGCATGTGTAATAAACAATAATGCTGGCGGTGATGCGATCCGTTGAATGGCTAAATAAGTACATTTAGAAATAGATTTATTAAATTTCAAACACAAAACGATGTAAAACAAGATCAATATACATACAAGTATATATATAAATATATAAATAGAAGAAAACGCAACTCAAACTGGACATATAAATGATCAATAAATAATTACGAAAGAAATCAATCGCTTATTTGGGTTCTTCATTTAAATTGCAATAAATGGTATATTTTATTCATTAAAATAATAGAAGCTACAGGACATAGAGCGCCTTAAATAATAAAATAGACTTTAAGATTATATTGAATAGTGTTAGCAGTTTGTTAGTTAAAATGATGACACTACTTGTTGCGACGTGTCGACTCTGAGGCTGTGGGAGGCGGTGGTGGGCCACGTTTGCTCAGCTCCTCCAAGAAGCCGAGCACAATGGTGTTTCTCTCTTCCTCCATATGATCCAGCACCAAATACCTGAAAGTCATATTAAATCGATCAGATGTTGAAAAAATTAAAGCATTTGTTGCTCTTACCGCTTGTCGTTTTTGAGGATGTCCTGGATCTCCTTTAGATGGTTGGGGTTTTCTTTAATGAGATCGCTGCTTTTGTGGGTTATGAACTTGCACTCCTGCAATAGTTCCCGCAACGCAGTCTTTGCATGCATTGTTTTATCTTTAATGTAGTCCCGGAACTCCCTCTCGCCCTTATCCGAGTTGTACTTCAGATAGCGCGGATCCTCTTTGATTAGCTTCTTAATCTCCTTCCAGGTGCTGGTCAGCTGCAATGTATTTACCTCGTCGAGCATCTCCCGGAAGCGCTCGCGCTTCTTCTTCATGAGATTGTCAATATGCTCGTTGAATTTTCTAAAGTGAAAGTACTTTTCCGTTTAAAAACAGTATGTTAAAAAATGGTGTACTACTAACCTCTCACGATCGTCCCGATCAAGAGTCTCTATCAGCTCCCAGCGATGGTCTTTACGGAGCTGACGTTTCACTTCCTTCCAGGTGAAGTCCGGCGTTCGCACCAGATCCGTCAGCAAGGCGGTGAAGTGACCAATGCACTCCTCGCGCATATGGTGCTCCCGCTCCTTGTCCCGATCCCTGAGATGACCGGCGAGGGTGCGCTGCACTTCCTTCTCTCGTTCCCGAATGCTCTGCTCAGCCCGAAGCTTCTTTTCACGCTCCTTCTGCTTCTGCTCGGCCTCGTTTTCCTTTTGACGGGCTACCTCGCTGTCCACGCTACCGGCCCGCTCCTCCCGGTCGGATTCTTCCCGATGTTCACCCTCCTCCTTGAAACAAAGATGGTAAGATGTTGTTCTTATATTGAAATTTTTCTACATACAGGACTTTCCCTTTTCCGGCTCTTCTCAGATTTGGGTTTTTCCTCCTTTTCCTTTGAAGATTTGCGCTCCCGTTCCTTGTCTCTCGATCGACTGCGGTCTCGATCCTTACGATTCTTCTCCTTGTCCTTGTCCTTATCTTTATCTCTGTCCTTGCGATCCGACTTCCGTTCACGGTGTCGCTCCCGTTCCCGTTGCTCCCGCTGTTCACGTTCCTTGCGCTTCTCCTCCTTCATAATGTGGAGATAGTCCTCGAAATACTCCTCCCGATACATAGAGTCGACCATTCTATAGCGCGCGTCCGATTCCAGCTTCTTCTTGATGTCATACCACCTGGTATGTCGTTCGATGTCATGACGCTCCCGCAGCATGTCCAGAAAGTCCCTGCGGATCTAGAGTATGTGTTTTTGTGGAAAAGATTATGGACATGACAGCCATATGGAAGATAAGAAAAACGTAACAGAGAATTAGGGGTCTGGAATTGATGCGAATTTCACTTAATCATCTATATCTTATGGCTCTAACTTAGGGCTTAGCGCTAGTTTTTATTTTAGTGAATATAGTTACACGATTTGTTGCTGAAAGAGAACGGGCTTGATTAACAGGTGGAGATGTAGCTGAAAGAAAGCGTTTGGTTAGCTAAGGATCTGCCAGCCGAGAGAGGACGGCGGGAAGTCATCTACGTAGATACTAATGAGACGGACCAGAATCGAACCACAGGATAGACAAAGTAGGAGAACAGAAAAGATAAAATAAAATCTAACAAATAAATTGATCTCTATTGTAGGTGCATAAATAATAATTAGGAATGAAAACTAAAAAATCGGAGGGCTTTTTATTGAGGAAGCAGACAAACTAAATCCGCTCCTCTCTCCAAAATTCGCAATGCAATCCTTGGGATTCCATCTTCAGCCAGGCCGAAGGGTTATAGTACAGTAGGCTATAGAGCTAAAGTAAACATACGGAATAGAGTAACTTTAATGGGCAGAGACCCTTCCAGCGGCTATGTGCCGCTGCTAGGACCTACGAGAGCAAAGTCGTGGAGGCAAGGCTCTCCCCTTTGCTTTGCGTAGGACTGGTATCTGGTTCGGTTCCTTGGGCTTGCCTATTTAGGTGACAAACTGCTGAGTGTTCTCATTATTGATTAACAAAACGAAAATAGTGGGTTAATTAAATTAAGTATTATCATACTGTTTGCTCAGAGCCGCAGACCCCTTCACACGAATTCCTGCTTGCTGCTGTTCTGGAACTCTGTCTCAGTCTCAGTCTCCGGTGATCCGATCTTCATAACCATGACTCTAGACCTCACAATGCCACAAGGCTCACATCATCACATCGCATCACATCCCCTCTAATTGCATCGCCATTCACATCCTAGAGGAGCGACATGGGTTGTGGAGCCGAGCCGGGAACGGGAAAATCACACCAGCGATAAAGAAGGTATTTTCAGTTTTGGCAAACCTTTCGATATTTTATATGTTTTTTATTTTTTGGGATAGTTTTGGTTTTATCCAAATTTGTTTCTTATTGCAGGAAAACAAATTTAATGGTTTGTCTTTGTATGATTTGGAGTAACTCACCACACAGATTGGAAGCGTGTGCGTGGTCATGTTGATTCAGTGGGCGACGATGGCAGGCGGCAGTCGGAGTTTGGCTGGGCTGTTGGTCTTGACGTTGTTGAGAAGGATGTTGGTAAAGTTGCTGTAGAAGCTGTTTTGTGTTTTGGTGTTTGGGGTGGTGGTGGTGGTGGTGGTGGTGCATTTGTGCTGTAACCTGCTAGCTAGTGGCTAATATATCGGGTGGCAAACCACCGGGAACCCAACACGTTCAGGGACAATTCAACCGGTTCGGGTTCAGATTCGGTATCGGATCAGTTTCAGTTTCATGTTCAGATTGGTTTGATTCGTTTTCGATTCACACGTTGTTTATGGTTTAAAAGTTAACAAAAAATCAATCACATTATGTAAATAATTATGACATATAGGTAAGTTATTATATAAATAGATATGCATATGTTTAAACATCGAGATACGTAAGGTGATGGGATTGGGGCGAGAGCATGCCCTAGGCCTACCTGCTCTTTTTTCATCTGTTTGTCCTCCTTCTCGCGGCGGCGCACCTCCACGATGTACTCGTTGAACAGACTTTCCCGCTCGCGAACCTTCTCTATGGCCCGGTACCGCTCCTCCTTTGCGTTCTTCTGACTGAACTCGGAGAAAGAAGACCTAAATTCGAAGAATAAAAAGTTTGTTTGTGAGCCTGAAAGGGGATGTCGAATATTTGGCCATTTCTACTTACTTTCCATGCAGCCTAGCCTCCTCCATCAGACTGCGGAAGTCTTCCCGCTTCTGACGCATCTTATTTCGCTTCTCCTTGCGCTCCTCTTCGGCCCGATCCTTGACATACTTTTCAAATACCTGTTTACGCTCCTTCGAAGTCAGCAACAAATACCGGGGGTCAAACACGATCTTGTGCAACTCCTTCTCCCAGGTGCTAAACGCCGAAACATCCTTCTCCCTCAACATCTCCTTGAACTGGGTGACACGCATCTCCAGCGGTACCAGAGCTCGTTCTTTGGCCGCTCGCTGCTCAGCCTCCAGTGCGGCGTCTTCCGAACGCTTTGATTTTGAAACTAAAACGATGGATACATTTTAGATTCATTTTCTTACACATCTTGAATATATATCTCTGAAACCAAACTTACTAATTCGAACCCGTTTCGTAGGCACTTCCTCCACACTAGATTCGGATTCGGTCCGAATCTTGATCACCTCGTCATCATCGTCCTCCTCCGGCTCCACTTTCTGAATCTGCTGTTGCTGCTGCGTCTGAGCCACTTCCCGAGCTTTTTCTTGGGCCGACTCATCGGTAGACTTTTGTTCGGTCTCGGATGATTTTTCTTGCGGGGTTTTAAGCTGCTCTGGCCGTTCGTTTACCGCCTTGTCCACGTCCTCTCGGTTCATTAGCTCCTCGGGGCGGTCCCACACTGAGGTCCTGGTGGAGGGATTGTAAAAAAAGACCCGGGCATCCCCTGTCCATACCACACACCACGGAGTGCCAGCGATGGGGGTGCTTGTCACAGGTCGACTTTTGTCCGTCTGCTTCGCGGTGGCCGCTGCCTTCTTCTGCTCTTCCTCCTTTTTCCGTTTTTCCTCTGCTGCTCGTTTCGCTTCCTTCTCCAGAGCGGCCGCCTGTGCCGCCTTTGAGTTTTCCGTGCTGGCTTTCATTGCGGCGGCAGCTGCGGCAAACGCTGCATGAGGGTCGAATCCTGGCGGAGCTGTACCTGGTGGCATGTGCATTAATGGGTTTGGCAGCAGATGCGGCGGTAAGCCGCTTGGGGCAGCAGGCACGTTGGGGGCCACGCCAGAGTGCGCAGCCATTCTGGCTGCCTCCATGTCTCTCAAAGCCTGCGGCTTTTCCCAAACGCTTTCTGACCGCCCGGCATGAAAATAGTAGGGCCTGCCATCGGGAGCACGGTGCTCAGACCACTCGGCTGCTCGGGCTATGACTGCAGGATCAATAACTCCGGGTTTAATGATAAGTGTCTTGGCAGGCTTCTCCTGACCTCCGGGAGGACCGTGCATGTGCTGTTGTTGCCACGGTGGTACGCCCACTCCCCACGGTGCTCCAGCTGGAGCAGCACCGCCGGGAAAACCGTAAGCTGGCGGCGGCATGCAGAAGGGTGGTTGCCCAAAGCCTGGTGGTGGCTGCATTCCTGGAGGCTGCATGCCTGGTGGCTGCATACCTGGTGGCTGCATACCTGGGGGCTGGAACATGGGTGGGGGTTGCTGCCGAACATTAGGAGGTGGCTGAGAAAGCAGCGGTGCGGCTGCGTTCGGCGGAGGTTGGCTCATAAGGTGCGCGGGTGGCTGTGACGAGAGGTGTGGAATTTCGCCAGGAGGTTCAGTTGTTTTTGCATCCGACTTGGCAGCAGCTTGTGCCGGTCGCTTGGCCATCTCCTCGACCTCGGTCTGCGTCATAATTTTGACGGTGGGACCATCAGGACGCGTCCATGTTGTTTCCCTCGTTACAGCATGATAATAATATGAGCGTCCATCGTCCGCCTTTGTCTCTACCCATATTTCAGGGGCACCCCCAGAACCTGGAGTAACACCATTAGCTCCCGGACCGGGTTGCTGTTGTTGTTGATTCTGTTGTTGTTGCATAGCCTGCTGCTGTGCTGTATGCTCCCCAATAGGTCGACCACTAAAGGCGTTAAAGGGTTTTGTCCTAAAATGAGTCAAAGTTACTAATGATATGTTACCCAAAAAAAAAAAATCTCCTTGACTACATACCATTCTTTGGTGCCACTATTAGTTGTTTCCTGGCTTCCTCCGTTTCCACCTCCACCTCCTCCTCCAACACCATTGTCGTTTCCATTGAGGCCAATTACTGCAACTGGAGATTGCTGAATGCTGGTTTCTGATGGACCCTTGCTAGGCGAAATAGCTTGCTCGCTGTCCATGCTCTCGTCTAAACTCGTTTCCATTATACACAGAGTGCGTTTTTCGCTGTATCTTCTATTTTCATTTAAAAATTTTCAGATATTTTCTGCACTTTTCTGCCGCTAGGGATGTAAATACATTCAGGCATGCTTTCGATAGGTTTGCTATCGAGCATCCCAAATGGCAGCACTAATGGGACTGCCATATCGGATAACTTTTCTAAAAACTATCGAAAATAAAAAACAAATGGTTTTTTTTCTTTAACTTTACTTTGTTGTGTTTACAAAACAGTATTTATATATCTGGATAAAGTATTTTATAAAACATATTTTTCATAACATTTGAATACATCTACATTAAATTTATGTCAACAAGTTTTCTACTCTAGTGTTAAACACAATCTGTAAAGGAGAAAATACATATTTATATTAAAAATCAAGATAATCCAACAAGCTTATCACGAAATTTACTTCTGTCAATCCTAGTCTAGGTTCTAGTAAAATGAGTCTCTTATATTAAAGATCGATTTGAGATTATGAATTAAAAATTTTGTTCTATGTAAATTTCCCTCTCAACTTTAGATTTAGTAATGAATAAGTATTCAGAGATCATAGTTACATTAAGGATTCTAAAAAACGTGCAACCATATTTATCGAAAATCTGTCAATTATATTTAATTAATTTCATGCATAACAAGGGATTACGCAATCACGCTTTTGAAGATTTGTGAAGATAATCATTTCTTAATTTGAAATAAAAAGAAACATAAAATAGATATGAGTCTTGCTGAAGAAGTAAAGTGGGATAAAAATCATGAAAAAAAGCTTTTAGATTTATGGAAAGAAAATGTACAGGCCATGCAAGACAAACAAACTTGTTATGCAGTTTATGAAAAAATTGCAAAAATTCTAGAAGGGTCTGGTTTTGAAGCAAGCTGGAAGGATGTAGAAACCAAAATAGAAAACTGGACGGAGAGATACAGGTAATAAAGTATTGAAGCTTCAAACAAAAATAATGATTAAATATATATCGTTCAGATATGAGCAGAAAATGTTCGAAGGAGACTATTCGACGTGGGAATATTACCATATAATCAATCTTATACAGAAGTCCGTGGAATCGGGTGATCAGAATGTGATTCATAAATCGGGTTAGTAAATATATCATTTTTTGCCAAACATAAATTTTTTTGAAATTTTATCCATTTATGTTTTTAGATGATGCTTTTGTAAACGAGGGCGCTGTAGAAGATTCCAACCGAGATGATGATTGTTTGGATCGATGTGGGGAACTCTGCTGGCACCTTTTTTGCTTCTGGGACTTTAATCGGGTTTGCGAAGTTTTTGGATTATGTTGTTTCTTTTGTATTAAGTAAAGTTTTAAATTCAAGTTTTTTTTTAAACATTGAGATGCAAAAATATACATATTGATATAAATTTTAGTTAATTTATAATTTCTTATTTACACATATTTTTGTTTCCAAACAAAAAACATTTTTAAAATAATCTGTGTTTATAAAGTTTAATTAAATTAAAAATATTAAATTCGACACTGGATTGTAATTGAAGTGCAAGCTTATTATAAAAGCTTAATCTTGGAAGAGTTTCTTTAGTTTTCGTGTTACAGCATTATTATATGGGAATTAATCCATTGTATTGGTCTACCTATATTTATAATTTTAATATTTATACATATTTTTGCTTCCAAGAAAAAAAATTTTTAAGTTCAGTCTGTGTTTAAGTTTACCCATATTCAGGGGGCCCAAGAACAGGAAGTAGATACTATATATGTATGTTGCAATTGTTGCTACAGCCGCTTTGCTTTGCTTGTGATATATCTTCTTGACTACTTACGAGATGTTGGTGTCACCCACTCAAATATAATTTTCATTAAGCCCAACTGCAATGGATATGGATAAATGCTGGTTTCTGGTGAGCCTCTTTTTGAGCAAAATGACTTGCTGTGCATGCTATTTCCTAAACTTGTTTAAATTATACACAGAGATTTTCTCTGCATCTTGCCTTTCCAAATCGAAGTTCTCGGATATACATAAATACATTTAGGCTTGCTTTCGATAACTTTGTCTTGGAGATCGCAGTTGACACCACTGATTGCCAGATCGATCGGTTTTTACTCTGTCTCAAATTTTTCGTCAAATGTTGTCAAAAGTGGAAAAACATAGATTTTTTTTGTTTTTTAAAATCATGAAAAGACAAAATCGCAAAACAAAACTATCAAAACTACCACCCCAAGGTCATCACAAAACTTAAGGTTACAAGTACGTCTGTCAATGTTCAAATTCAAACATCTAATTTTCCTCTAAAAAGTTTTCAATACAGAAATAATTGAAAAATGACTCTCAGTCATTCTCATCTCTCCACATAAGGGTAACTTTGTCCTCAAACTAATTAAAAAATAATGGAATGTGATTTTATTTGTTCTTTCCTCTGATGTAATTTTCAATTCAGTAGTGAATAGACATTGAGTGAACAAGGTTCTATTGAGTGAAGTCTGAAAACGCGAAATAAACTTACTCATCTAAAAAACCCGTTCCCTGCATTCTAGTTAAGTATGGTACTTAAGCAAAAAATGATGCCTGAATTCTTTAGGCATATTTTTTTTTTTCATATTTCAAAACAACGTTTTTTAAGTATAAATTCTTCAAAGAAGACAAATTAAAAGCGTTCTTCAAGAAGATTTGTTTTAAAAAATGATTTATTTGAACATTTTAATACTTCATTTAATAGTTCTATAGATTGAGCAGTTTTTTCTAGGCCCTCCATGTAATAGCAATATAAACTGCCTATTCTCCTTTGTAAAACTTTGATCTTTGATGTGGGGAGTAATAATAGCGAAATTGCCGATGACTACGTTGCACAACCAAGATTAGCGAGCGTGTTCGTTTAAACTTCGCGCCTCACTCAGTTTGTCGTTGGGAATGTCGGAAAAGTCCTTCATGGCGATGATAATTTCACGTTTCTATCAACCTCATTTTGGTTTTAAAAAAAACTTATCAGCATTAATAGTACAATGGTAATATTTATATTGTAAAAAAGCGCTGCAGATGCTCGCTCTCGATGGGCAGACAGAAATAAAAAGCTTAATATGCTATATATGTATATAAAACATATGCTGTTTATGTACCATGTATGTAAATACATATATATGTAAGCAATCATACAAAGTGGATGTTCTTGGAAAGCTGAGTAATATCTATAATCGGTAATATTTCATTTGTGGGTTTATACCAGCTTTTAAATTAATTTCCACTGATTAATGGAATCAGAGAGGTCGTTCTTGATAATCTTTACTACATAGCTGTTGCAATTATGTCTACGGTGCGTTGACATCACTGATTGCTAGATCTATCAGTTTTAGTAGTTTTTTTTACTATGCAATACAATATATTTTGTCTCTAATTTTGAGTTTACAAAATGTTATCAACACAAAATAAATAAGTCTGGAAACATATATTGATTTTTTATTTTTATTGTGGTACACATGCATTTAGTTCTTGTTAAAAGAAGTTCAACGCTGCGAATAAGGCAAACTCATGAATAAAACAAAATAGTTTCGCAATCAAAATTTCCACCTTAAGGTTATCATTAAGCTTAAGGTTACAAGTACGTCTGTGAAAGCCACTGTTTGAATTAAAACTAATTTTCCTCTTAAATGTTTTCAATACAGAAGTAAAGAGTCTCCATCATTCTCATCTCTCCACGTAAGGGTAATTCTGTCTTTAAAATAATTTAAAAATAATGGAATGGGATTTTATTTGTTCTTTCCTCGAATACAATTTTCAATTCAGTAGTGAGTCGACATTAAGTGAACACGGTTCTATTGAGTGAAGTCTGAAAACGCAGAATAAACTTACTCACCTAAAAAACCCGTTTCCTGCATTCCAGTTAAGAGCGTAAGCAAAAAAAATGTCTGAATGCCTTATACATAGATATATATTTTTAAAATATTTTGAAACAACGTTTTATATGTGAAAATTGTTTAAGACAAATTAAAACCCGGTTTTTTTTTCAAATTGGTTGAATCCAAGTTTATCGGTGTACGTATGAACCTATTGAATCTTTAAATTCTGTACCTCCAGCCTAAACATAATACGAAATGGCATAAATCGCTTATGTATACAGTAGGAGGAAACCCGCTGATAAGGCTGCTTTAGGAATATCGACCAAAATACTGACGCTATCAAGTATCAGCTGTATTCTGTATTTTCCAAGGCTTGAAAAATGGGACCAAAAATAAAAATTCCCTTATATGTAAATGTCATGCGTAATGCTATCGAACAAGTTCACCACTCTAGATTATTTATTTTGAACATCATTTAATAGTTCTATTGATTGAGCAGTTTTTTCTAGGTCCTCATGTAGCTTATTGCCAATTAAAATCAATATAAATTCCCTATTCTCCTTTGAAAGACTTTAATTTTTAATGTGGGGAATAATAATAGCGAAATTGTCGATGGCTACGTTGCACCACCCCACCACCGGACTAACGGATCGATGATAACTTAATCGAGCGTGCTCGTTTAAACTGCGCGCCTTACTCAGTTTGTCGTTAAAAATGTCGGTGAAGTCCTTCATGGCGATGTCAATTTGGCCGATAGCATTGTCGAGTTCAGGAAATTTCACGTTTCTGTCAAACTCATTTTGGTGTTTAACAAAACTTAACAGCATTAATAGTCCATTGGCAATATAAACCATTGTAAACAAGCGCTGCAGATTCCCGCTCCCGATGGGCTGACAGTTTTCGTGATCAAACAGTGACTGATATGAAATAATGAGCTTCATATGCTATAATGTATGTACAAACATATATAAAACATAAGGCTGCTGTTTATGCACCATGTATGTACATATGTGAGTAATCATACAAAGTTTATGTACTTTGAAAGCTGGATTTTTAAAACTTATTTCATTTGTGGGTTTATACCAGCTTTTATACTTTATATATATTATTTTCCACTGATTACTGAGATCAGACCTCTCTGATCAATAATTCAGATAGAAATAGAATATTTATACCTAATATACATAAATATGGGTATATTCAGAAAATATTCAACCAATTATTATCCAACCAATAATTATTTCAAAACAAAAAGTCCTCAAATATTTCCTTTAGAAAATTAAGAGAACTGATTAAATTTGTTCTTATTTTTTTCTCTATATCACTACCTATCTCTCTACGAATGATACTTTCGCGATCCTGGAAATGCTCTTATAGACTAGTAATTATCATTATCTGGAGCTTACAACGATATAACTCTTAGAAAAATATATTCATTGTTAAGTTGTTATTACAAAATATTTTTGATTGGTTTTAATGAAAACATTATACAATATTATATGGATCACTGGCATTGACCAAAAAGTTCCGGTACATTAATGTCTTAAACCTTAATCTTTGTTGGTTAATCTCTTATATTTGAAGCCCATGCCACACTGTATACTTATGGCATTGAGTAATCAATTCCTGAAGGGATGGCATAAACAAAGCCCGGAGAGTTGGGCTGTCGACTTTTAAGAGTGGGTTGTTCTGAAAATAAACACATATTTAATATTATTTTTTTCATATACATAGATATCATATATGTTTGCTTACGTTGTCTACCGCGCCAGCTTTGCCTCTAAGTGCGAACAAGTTTGTTTTGTCCTCTTCCAGATACGGATTTACACAATTTTTTGCTACCTGGCTGGCATGTTGAATTTTAGGTACGATTCTATCCAATTTTTCATCAATATTTGACTTTTTAATATCTAACTCCATAATTTGTCGACGGTATTCTTTAGCTGTCACAACAATAGCACTTACAACATTAGCAAAAGGAACCCATTGCAAATAACTATCGACATTTAAGTAGTATTCTAAATCATTGATTTGTTTTTGAGCATCACTTTTAATTTTTCCATAATAGCCGCTTGGAGCAAAGTCATCGTAGGTCTCATGCAAAATTGTTGTAAGGAGGTTTATCACTTTAGATGATTTACTTTGAACGTCGTTTAATAATTCGAGTGAAGAAGAAGTTTTTTCTAGACCATCATGAACAGCAGTTACAGTGACATTCCATATGTAGTCCTTGTCTTCTTTTGACAGATTTTCTTTTCTTATATGGGGAAGGATAGTGTTAAATTTGTCAATGGCCTCCCCACACCAGTCGAAAACCGGGGCAACGGATTGCTGGTAAGTTAACCGAGCTTCTTCGTTTAAACTCCTGGCCGTATAAACATTTGGTTGGGCGTTACCGGAATAATCTCCCATGGCATAATTAATTTGATCTATTGCATTATTGAGCTCAGCGAACTTAACTTTTGTGTCAAATTCGCTTCGATGTTTTACGACACTCAGAAGTAGTACTATTCCATTTGTAAAATTCAACATTGCTTATAGGACGAAGAATACACTAAATAAATTGAACAGTTTTAATCTTCCGATCGATTTTACAGCGTTTTACAGCTCTTGGCGATTAAACTAAGACTGAAATGAAGCAATATATTTGCAATATACATATATGAAGAAATATTTTTTCAATATATATATGAAGCAATATATGTATGAAAATATTTCCATTTAAAAAGCTAATGAATTTCTGTATTGAAAAGCTCTGTTTTTCAGTCACTACGCATATTTTAGCAGATAACATTTAAATAAATTTTTATTAAATATAATTCCCTTTCTTACATATAAACGAAGACATATACATAGAACAGTGATGTGCAAAAGCAAATACAATAGCTAGGGAAAATATAAATCACAGGACCCAATAATTTGATTATCTTAAAACATCGTTTTTTCATCTTTTGGTATATTAGGAAAATATTAAAAAAATCAAATATATTCGAGAAACTTAATTTTTATTTTCATTCGGTTTGCTTAAAAACTTTGCTTATTAGCTAAAAAACGGGAAAATCATAACAGAAACACAGAATAAAAACAAAATTAGCATATTAGAGATAAGCACAAAAAATTGGCAGCGCGAAATGGAACGCAAACGGAATTTGTATTTTTTTTTTATGATTGAGGTTGTCGAGTAACAAAATAATGAGGTTTATTACTTTTAAGATGAACCCACCGAATGCAATTATTTGGGATAAAGAAAAAAAAAGACTGCTATGCGCCTTGTGGAAAGAAAATGTTGCTGCTCTTCAAAATCCAGAAACTTCCCACGAAACATATGTAAAAATTGCAAAAACCCTGCAAAACCCTGGATTCCAAGTGAAATGGAAAGATGTGCAGGATAAAATAGCTGAAATGACTCACCAATATAAGTAATTATTTTATTGCTACATTAAAAAAAAAATATTATTTTATTCCTTAATAGGCGCGAAAAGGCAAATAACAACGGCTTTGATTCGAAGTGGTACTCCTACTCAGACGTTGATAGCATTTGGGATACTCTTGACCTTATTATTTTGTCTAACAATGCAATGGTGATAACATGTAAGCATATTACATATTATAATAATCAAATGAAACTAACATAAATGTACATGTGTTATATATTATACCTTTGAAAAGTTAAAAATTTTAAAAATTTAACCGATATATTTAAAATTAAAAATTTTTTTTTAGCTGAAGCTACTTCTTCACTGTTTTCATCTGTGCCACACGTCGAAAACAATTCCTTTGTGGACGATTCTATCTCAAATGACTGCTGTAGCGACTGTGCAGATTGTGGAGATTGTGACTGTGGAGACGGTGACTGTGGAGCTTGCGATGACTGCACCATACTATAGTTAACTGGGCCTTCCATTTACACTCCTGCCAAAGCACTAAAGTCTTACAAACTTGGTTGTATTAAATTATTTAAGAATTAAATTGCCACATCATAGATCGCTTTCCAGATAGATTGATGAATTAACTAATTCTCAATTAACGATAATCATCTACATAGGTGTTGTAAAACAACAAGGTGATTTCGACCCAAAAGTTAATTTTCCGAAGCTCAACTCTGCAATAGATTAAATTGATACCACAATGGGACCTTATAAAGATTCTCAGCCAACTTGTCAAATCTGTTGGTCTCTTTGTCTTTTCCATGCCTGATTCAGCTGTTTCACCTCTTATATGTCAGTCTGAAACAGGGCAGCTTTCGAACGGATTTTCACTTCTGAATTCGTACTCGTAATTAGGGATGGCTTCGAGAGACAAGCAAACGGAAAGGGAACGTGATGGGAGCTATTTAAGTCGGGACAGGATGAGGCCAATAGCGATTGGGACCTATCACAGCCAAAAGGAACTACGGAGGGAACGGGATTTTAGGATGAGAGTTATTCAAGTTGCGTGATGCTTCACGACGGGCTTCTACTACGCTTATGGTTCGCTCGACATCGCCCGTTCAAAAAAACCCAGGCGCCGAGAGCGATTTTGCCCTATCACTCCAATTGAATTCAATTGAAGATACGGACGCAACGGAGGCAATGGGAGGATAGGACGGGCTTTGATGACGAATTCTTGGAAGTAGCAGGTCGAAAATTCGTGTTCTGATAAGCTTAAAATTTAAATGTCTTTTTTGCCATTTAAGCAAGTATTCATCTCATCAAAATTTAGTAAAAGTTTAGCGGGCAACAGATTCATTAAGCTCTTTGTCCTAATATTAAAAAGTAAATATATTTAAATCGCATATCCTTATTAAAGTAAGGATGAATTTTACAAATGGAATAGTACTTCTTCTAAGTGTCGTGAAACATCAAAGCGAATTCGACACAAAAGTTAATTTCCCGCAGCTCAATATCGCAATAGACGAAATTAATAACGCCATGGGAGATTATCATGGCAACGCTCAACAAAATGTACGCGAGGCAGCGCGTTTAAATAAAGATGCTCAATCATCTTATCATAAATCGGTTGGCCCGGTATTCGACTGGTGTGGGGAGGCGATTGACAATTTCAACGTTATCCTTCCCCATATAAAAAAAGAAAAAGTGTCAGATGAAGATAAGGACTTCATATGGATGCAAACTGTGACTACCATAAACGATGGACTCATCAGAACTTCAAAATCATTGAGAAAATTGAACGATGTTCAAGTTACATCATCCAGAGTGAAGAATTTACTTGCAACCATTTTGCATGACACGCACGAAGATTTTGGTTCATACGGATATTACGGAAGAAGGAAAAGTGATATCCAAGAAGATATAGACCATTATGTGAAATGCGTAAACGAGTTAGATTTTGCGAAATACATTCCGATTGCAAATATTGTTGGTTGGATTCTTGAATATTTTAACGAATCCAGGAAAAAGTTAAGGCAAGCTAAAGATCAAAAATGGGATATTGAAAACAAGTTTAATAAAATCATACCTAAAATCAAAAACGCTACTAAAGTAGCAGAAACGTTAGTTATTCCCTATTTGGAAGAGGATATAACGAACTTGTTTGTCCTTAGGGGCAACGCTGGTAATGTGGACAACGTAAGTTAATAAATATTATATAAATATTGAAAAGATATATATTTAAATGATTACTTTTAGCAAAACCCACTCTTAAAAATGGAAAGTCAGACTCTCCGGACATCATTGGCGGCTCCCATTCAGGATTTGATTAACCAATGCAGTAAATACAGGGCGTGGCATGGGAAAATTTAGGTCCATGAATGCGGCATTAATGCGAGCAGTCCTTTCATTAAACTTGAAATCAAAAAATTGTTTCTTTTACTTTTAATACCTTTTTATCAAATATTGATTTAAATATATTTTGTATGAATTTTTTTTAATGACAGAATTTGCTTAAATATAACCACTCCAATATGATTAAATATAACCACTGTTTTTAGTTTCAAATGCCAACAGCCATATTATAATTTTGCCCAGGAGTCACGGCAACTGGAACTCCTCTAGTCCTTTCTTATGGAAGCATCGGCAGCAACAGGTAGCTGTTTTCAGGGAACGAGCAGGACGAAGGGACAAGGACTACAGTGGTGCTGCTGTTTGTGGTTGGCATCTTTGTTAACAAGCCTGATTACACATCGGACACCAGTAGGGTAATGGCAATACCCTGAGCCACCGTGAAGTAGGCTGGACCCACCACCTGTGGGTCCCTGCCGGCTGGTCTCATATCCACCACCGGGTGGCCTTTCGTCGCATCATATTCAAAGCAGAAGAGGCTGGGCCCGTTGACACTGACGATGTGTTACCCTATTTTACCTATTTACCTTTATGAAATTTTGTTTTTAAAATTAAATCGCATTTGACTATCTACTTCCCGGGCAGTCTTGTTTCTGAAAGGATTTCATTTTTCTGAGTAAGATTAGCCTCATCCCCAATGAATTGGTGAAATTGGTGCACCAATGCATAGCCTCATTTTGGGTTAAAAAATTGGAATCGGAATAATCGCTATGAAAGTTTCTGCAGATTCTTGATCTTCTTGGTCAAGTGGCGTCATTCTGATGGACCAGTTTTAACAGGAACAGCCTTGCGCTGTTGGAGAGTACATCAAAATGCACCAAAACCAGACTCTGGCGCAGATGCAGGAACTAGTCGCAAATTGAAATAACCCAAAATATTTTCAGTAAATACTGGTCATGTTGTTCATCGTCACCGCCGCCTTCGATGGGTAATGGCCGGACCCAAATGCTGTGGAAGCTCTAATCGACCACCACGAAGCCGAAGACCACAGCTACAGAAAAACTATGATGAATTATAAAAATGATTATAACTGTAACGAACATAGATGCCGCGGGAACCTTGCTATCGACGGTAACGGACGAGAGATGAGCTGCACGCGTTTGCCGGCCTAGATCTCGTCGGCTAGTGGGTGGGTTCCCTGAAAATCTCATCTCTCCCCGCAAGGTTCCTGATGTTCATCATAGCAATCGAATTTGTTCGAATGCGTGCCTGGCCTAACGAACGGCGTAGGCCTGACCGTGATCCCTATTGAAGCTCCCCTGCGGGCTAATGTTTTGCCCACTACGGCATCCTGGAACGGCTGGGTGTACGCATGGCGGCTGCAAACCAGACTGGGACTACACTATTTACCACATTATAAAATTTTATTGATTAAATTCATAAAAATATTTCATCTAGAGTTCTACGCTAAATACTATTAAATTCAATTCAAAAATTCTCGTATGTTCTAAAATGACCACAGATGTTCCTGTGAAAAGACACTATTGGTAGAGATATAAAATCCAGCGATTCACGGCTCTGTCCAAGGCTATCCTGGTTTTCTGATATTCACTTAGAATTTTAATCATAGCTCATTAAGCAGAGGTCGATACTTAAAGAATACAAGGCTACATTGTAGTCGTGTGACTACATATACCCATATTCATATGTATGTACCATTTCCCTTCCCTTGGATTTCAAAGACTGTAAAAAATAGAACTATTCCATTTGGAACTTTGACTCGTATGGTATCCGCGCAGATCAAGTTTGTGTCAAATTCCACGCCCACTACCGCCCCCAAAACAGAAATCTCTTTGTAGCGCCAGTTCACTTATGTTTTTGGAAAATGTTTTGATGCCAAACTTTTCCTACTAAGCCCTAGTAAAGTGCTTCGATTTTTCACCCCAAGCACAAAAATATGCAATAAAATTGTTTTGCAATTGTCCTTTCTTGTTTTTTTCGAGAACACCCAGCGCTGGTTAAGGAAATGTCACGAACTATGTTTTTTAAACGCCATCTACTTTTGAGTCTGTTTTCAAAAGCTTTCCGAAGCTTTTTAAGATGCACTTAAAATAATTAATTTATTTTACTTATCTGTGAAGTTTTTAATGATAGACTGAACAATACTCAATTTTAAGAACTTGCGGTCTTTCATAAAAAAAAGGTTCAATGTTTAAATTTTTTAAGCTTATATTGCGGTTTTCTAAACTGATAAAACAAATGTCTAGACTGTTTGACCCATTTAGAAATATCAAGGCTTTTACTTAAAAACAAGCATAGCTTTGTTACACTTAAAAAACTAAAATAGGAAAAAATAGGTTGTAATTTTTACAAATCCTCTTTAGGGGGTAAGAGGAGTACCTCTTTTACTGCCAAAGAGGTCGAAAGGACATAGTTACCCTATTAGGAACTAAAAAAATTAGTTTTTCTATAAGTAATTTTGAATCACCTGTCCAAGAATAAGCATAAATATGAAGTAGCAAAACCCCAATAAAACAACGTCGCTCTTGCAATGGATGTAGGTTTAATAATTTTAGCCGGCAACGATACGCTGAAAGGCAAGTGACAAGGGTCCCAGTTAAAATTTTTAATGCACATATCAGAAACTGCTTTTGGACAGATTCAATACTTTTGATGAACCAAATATTGCAGAATCCAACCACACGCACAGTATTCTAAGATAGGAGGAACAAAAGACACAAATGGAGTCTAAGTGGTAAAAGAATCATCAAATTCTATTAACCAACGTTTGTTAAAAGCTAGAAAACCCCTATCTTTATTAACTTCCAATAATATAAGTTCATTGAGCGAAAACTTATTGTCAAAAAGGACTCCAATGTCGTTAATGAGTACGAGACGATGTGAGGCACATTACAATTAAACTTCATAACCTACTCTTTAAGCAGTTTAGTAAGAGTTGTTTTAACATCACAAAAAGGCTTTTTTAAGGTCCCATTGCAAGTTTCTATAAAGGAAATGGTCTGAGAATAAAAAAAATAACTTCACATCATCAGCATACATACATACATATGTGTATGTATGTACATAAATGTAGTAGCTTGGTTTACAACACTAGGTATATAGTTAACAAACAGAAAAGGACCTAAGTGACTACCTAATTAGGTATATAACTTTAAGCTATGAACATTAAATCATTAAACACCCCAGAAGGTACTAATTTCCCACTTTATAAGCATTGTTTAAACTTTAAAGTTAGATTTTAGTGGCTTAATTGAAATTACATTTGACCATGACCACAGCACAAAACATGTTGCAATGTTTTTTGTGACAGTTTTGCAATTCAAGTTACAAAACAAAGCTTAACTTACAAAATTCACGAATTTATTTACACTGCAAACAAAAGTTGTTGAACAGCAAACTACACAAAGTGATTAATTTTTGTTGACACAATTCAAGAATGTTTTTAAGTATTTGTAAAATAAAATATAATCAATCTCATTAAAATCTGAGGACAATTGAGGCAACGATTCGTTTGCTGATAAAATCAAAAAGCTAAAGATTTGACCAACCCGACTAGTAAATGGCCTGCCTAAACGTTTTGGCCCACTGACTCCAAGATGACCCGGAATTGCATTTGTATGTCTGTTATTATTTTTATTTAGTTACCAAGTGCAACCGACTGGGACGCGATGGTCAGTCAGTGGGTTGCCTTCTCTTATATCTTAGCTTATTATTTTATAATTAGGCAGCAACAAATTGCTGCATGGATTTGTGTGCGGCTCCCAAAGGTCGTTGCGTTTAGCCAACCGCTCATGATTCGTGGAGTCCAACTCAACACCTGAGCGTCTTTAAGGCTGAAACGATTAATCAAATACAGTACAGCCTTTAAAGATGGATTTATAAAAATTATTAAAAAAAAGACAAGGTAAAATATTTATATTTAAAAATATATAATTTTTTGACTTGTTTATTAAAATTCAAAAAGAGTAAAATAAAAAAGAATCTATTGATTTATACATATAATTTTAAAAAGAAGCATAAAGCTTAAAAAAAAGAAATTAAAATTAAATGTAAAAAAAATTTTTAACTTTTCAGACTTACAACTTTAATGTTTTCATAGCTAGGTATACCTGTGTCCGCCTGGGGCCGCCCGAAATGACTCAACACTCCGGCTAATGTCGCGTGCTCCCTGCGTGTGCGAGGAAGTGAGTAGGCCTGCTCTGCCACCTGTCCCACTCACACCTGCACTGACATTCTCCTTTGGGCCGCTCACTAACAAGTGGCCTCTGGTAAAGCCGCGTTTCGAGTGCGCGTTCAGTTTTTGATTCAGTTTCAGGCGATTCAGATTGACAAAATCGAGCGCATTTGCTAAAACGCAGTTTTAATTTTAGTTATTAAAAACTTTGAATAATTTAGGGAAAATTTCATGTGGGCAGCGGCCACAAAAAAAACAATCGCGTGTTAAAAGTTCTAGTTATTGTTTTTCTGTCATTGTTCCCAAAGTCTATTTATATTTGTAAAGTTTTCAAGTGCACTCATTCGAACTAAAGTAAACGAACTCGACCCACAGCTTAGTTAATTAATCAAAAATCCACCTAAAATGGGAAATTCCAGCTCCATTTGCGCCGATCGTAATGCCATAAGGAATTTCGATGAAAATGGGTAAGGAATAATGCAAAAGTAAATACTCAAACCACAAAGCTAGTGTTAAAATCAAAGGGAATTCCGGAAAAAAAAGAAACGCGAGAGAAGTTTTAAAAATATTTGAATTTATAGTTACTTTAAACACTGTTGAAGTGATCCTCATGAAGGTACATTTTTAGTTCCTTTTTTGAAAAATTAACTTTTAAAAATTATAAGTAAATTTTGTGTTAATTTTCCAAAAGCTAAAAATTGTATCGATTAAATTAATTTTGTTTCAATTTTTAATAGAAATTTAAAAACATTTAATATTTATTCGATTTAAAAGAACAATCAATATCACGCACCGTGAGTTTCCTATTTTTCCCAATTAAAATTTCAAATTTCAAATAAACCAACTTGTGGAAGAATCCTTGTAATTAACAAGCTTACTTAGACAGCACACCCCGTGCAAGCAAACGCCCATAAGAACGCCCTTTCCAAATCACTACCTGCAGGTGTCATTAGTGTTTAACGATGCGGTTTACTAGCGATTTATCAGCGATTTACTAGCGACCCATCGCGACAAATAAAAAACACTTGGCACATGCCGTACCGCCCACCGATATCGAGGGGCGGGGCGAGTAACCCTAGATCTGTAATTACCGATTTTGAAATTAAATAAATCACAAAAAAGAAACAATCGACAGGTGTGTTTTGCGCACGAAAATCCTCGTAAACGAAATTTATTTCGTTACAAACCGCAGCTGAAGTAAATTGTTAATATTTATGAAGGTTACTGAGGCACACACATGTTTGATGTGTTCCAATTTATTGGCATGCCGTGTTTTACTTTCAATTTTTTGTGTAATAACTGAACGGAGCAGACGTTGAAACAATCGCCGCCATAGCCAACAGGGCGTATGATTGATTCAAGTGCAAGCCAAGGTGTCCTAAAGGTTCGGGCACTCGAGCTAAAGGTTTCGATTCGGGCCGGTTCGTAATTAGATATCGGCTTCAAGCCGTCTCTGGAACAGGCTTAAATAATTTATGTCTGATGCGTGACATAAAAAGAGTAAGCCGATTTTTTAAATTAGCTGTCAGATACAAATTATGTTGGATTATTATTAGTGAAACCTAAATTAAAAAGAAAAAATTAATAACATATGTACTATATGAGGAATACTGATAACTAAAAGCTGGTATCTGAGAGAGTTGTTTGATTACACACTTAGATCTCCTTTTTTTGACCGCCCTTGTTATCGCACAATATTTTTCGCATGTTATTCACGCTGGAGGGAAATGTTTTCCTAAAGCCAGACAAATGACTATTATCACTATTATTATGGTTATTATAGTACATAAAAGTCAACAAATACATGTGCGATTGTACCGAACTTATCAGTCAGCTGATATTCACGCCCTCCACCACCCTCGCCTACTGGTGATTAAACTAATCAGAGAGCGAAAAGACGCGGAAACAAAACAAACACTGCAAAAGTGCAAAATGTAAAGGCGAAAAAGACTCGGCGGCAAAACAAATCGAATATAGCCGCTCAGTTTCGTTCGAAAGCTGCCACACAACAGACAAATATAGGGAGATAATTGCAAATCAATATCAAGAAAAATATATTATTTATGTTGAGAATATAGTTTACACCAAGGGCAAGCCATGTATTCAGTTCTGCAACGTTTTTCCGTCCTTAAGAAAACCTTTGGGCTGCGAGTTCAGCTGCAGTGAGTACAGAAAACATATGTATATTATAAGGTATTATTGGACCATGGAACGGAGAGGGCGTGTTTTTAATAGAGCTTTAATCAGTGGCACTTTGTCACCCCTTATCGCTATCAATCTCGAAGGCCTGTCTGCTCGAGCATCACCTGTTCTCCGGGTTCAATTGAGTTAAAGGCAAAAGTCTAAAAAAATATTTAAATGATTTTTATGAATGTTAAAATACTCTAGCTTTAATTTATATAATTAATTCTGATGAAATTCTATGGCTTTCGTTCATATGAGAGAATGAAATATGAAAGGTAAATCCATGAAACTTATAGGAATTTTTAAAGAAATGAGTAAGAGCATTTCTGACAGCTGATGGGAAATATCGTTTTTTTAGCTCCCGCATTCATTCACACTCGATGAGCTCAGGGCTTTAATTGAATTACAGAGAACATTGCTTGAATTCTACCCGCACAATTCCGGTATTGTCTACCTCGCTCATCGTTCCCCATTTACCCCCCGTTCACCCAACCACCCACTCACTCAATTCCCTTTATTTGTTCTCTCTCTCTTTGCATCCCCCCAGCACGCCGATTTACCCCACGGCCGCCAATTCCCAGAGTCCTTCCAATGGCCAAATATCGCCGTTCCTCCAGCCCCACCGCCCCCACAGCCACCACCCAGAAAAAGAGAACCTAAGAGAGCGGGAGAATGGCTACCCCACTTCCGGTAGCTCTCAGAGCAGCTGCTCACATTGTCGAACAGCTGATCCGCTCTCCCGTACCACAACCACCAACAACAATAATAACACTCATGCGCACGCACACACCGAGAAGGCGGGCTGCGAGTGTAGTAGTCGTGTGTGTAAAAATCATACGACTACAACCACAACTACACTCGAATACGAACTTTCCAATTTCGCAAAACTCACAACACGAATCACAACGCAAAGCAACGCCGAGGCGGTAGCAGCAACAGCGGACCCGCAACAGCAGCAGCAGCAGTTGGAAAATAGCGAAATTACTGGCCACTTGCCACAAGGACTTCCGTTATCCTCGCGCCATCACTGGAATCAGCTGCAGCGCAGCTTGCACGCCCTACACACCCAACAACAGGCAATCAACAGCAAAATCTGCTTGCAACAGCAACGTTCTTACACCACCAACAACAACAACGACACTACACAGTGCGAAAACATGAGCAAGCCAGTGAACTTGGAGAAATACGCTCCCCGCGATCGTCTGGGGCTTTGGGGCACTGGTGATAATGAGGTAGTGGGCAGCATCTCTGGACTTGATCGTCTCTATGGAAAGCGTTACGCCAAGGTGAGTAGTACTACTGGTTCTGTTCTCTCATCATTCTTATTTTTTGTGGACCACCCCTCCGCCGACCCGGTCTTCTCGGTTCTAAAAAAAAAGTAGTGGAAAAATACCAGGCAAAGGTTCCAGGGTGGGTTTCTCGTGAGGTTTCGCTTTCGGGTTCGGCTTCTATGTGACTGTGTTTGTATGTTATTTTTTGGGGATATGTATTAGACATGGGGTTTATAAACATTAAAGATGAACAACCCTTTCAGAGAGTGAATTATTTATTTTTCCAAAAGTAGGTAATATTTTTTAAGTAAAATACATTTCAATAATATTAGCTGAGTTATTATAGGCCCTTGTTCTTGAAAGTGATGCTCTTTCTATTTTTAAAGACAGCACGAGCATAAAAAATTCCAATTCATAAATATCTATTAGGCGGAAATGTCAGCTGGCAATTCAGAACAACTAAAAAAGATACTTTTTGGCAGTGGCTTCATTTTCGGTGGCTGGTGTGGGTGACCTTTATATGACATAGAGACAGCAGACAGCAAACAGAGACCCGTCCAGTTTGAAGCAAACACGCGCCACACTGGAAGACCAAAGCTCATATTATTTGTGTTTTTTTTTTTTTTTTTTTATGGCGGCTGGCAAGAGGCACAAAAATCGATAAAGGACTGTAATAATTGAGCCAATTAAAGTGCCGGTCAAATATTAGAGGGTATCAAGCGGTTAGAACAAACGAATCCGATTGAAAATTTATAAAATGTTTATCTCGAATTGCATTTCAAGTTCAATGCTGTTGGTTGTGCTTTTTGCCAGCAATTGTTTTTACGCTATTTTCCCACAAAGACATGAGAGAGCTAATGCACGAATTGTTGCTAAAAATGCTCGAGAGCCTTAGAAAGAGAGATGGCGCATGGGCTTTAAGTGTTTTTCCACACGAAAAGAAATGTTTTCAAAATATATCGGAAATGTATAAAAAAAATAAATATTTCAGTCATTAGATTGAGTTTTTTTCCCCTGTGTGGAAGCCTATACTTTTTTTTAAGCTAAAAGGGGAATATTTCGTAATGCAAACAGAAGCGTTGTTAAGAATAATGAAGGAGCTCTCCAAATAAGTTTTCCCCACAACTACCGCCATCAAGATTTGCAAGCTGACGTCAGGCCACAATCTCATTCAAGCCCAAAAATTAATAATGTAACCAGAAATTATCTTGGCAAATCATTCTTATCAATAGAGGCTGCCACTTGTGTCCTACAGTTTGTTATTATATGGCCTACACGCTCCCATCAAGTGCCATTTGTTTATCTTAAACTTGGACTTCAAAGAACAGCTGATGTTTATTTTGATTTCCTTGTTTTTTCCTTATTTTTTTTTTTACCCATGGAAAGTTTTAAAGAGCTTATCAAAAATATGAGACAACCGCAAAACCCCAGTCCGACCAGCAAACACTGACCTACATTCAGCCATAAATTTAACTTTGTTTCGAATCACAAAAAAAGAACTCTATGACGATAATCAGCTAATAATATATAGAAACATCAGAGTGTTTGCCCACACCAGACACAGTTAGCGAATAGCAAATTATATTTGCATTTCTACGCTTTTGTTTGTCCCTCGATTGGTTCGCTCTTTTCTCGCCATGTTGGTGTTGTTATTTATTGTTTCACTGAGGAAATTAAAAATTTAAATTAATTCAAGCGGTCAATGTGCTGAAAGAGCAAAGACTTTGCTACTTGGTGAAATAGTTGGATTATTTCATTGTTTATCCAGTGGATTGTTTATATTAAACGGGAAATGAAAGAATTATTTACAAAGCTGTTGTCAATGGTAACAAATGGTACTTGAAATTTTCCAATTAATCTATTAATGAATCCCTAAGTTCAGTCTCGATTGGAAAATAAAAATAATCGTTTCATCGTCTCACCTCAGCGAATAAAACAATTTGTTTGAAATGGGCTGTTATGTGTCTGGCTCAGCTCGTGCTGATCAAAGCAACGCTTTCGTCATCGAAATCTATTCAAAGTTCAGCTTTGATTATCATGATCTGTGGTCGCGCCAGACAGCGAAAAAAAATCAGCTGAGCGATTGCTAATTCGTGTTTTGGTCCGCTAATTTGGTTTTTGATTTTTGGGATTTTTTTTTAGTTTTTTTTGCAATAACATACGAAATGCGTATGCGTAATCGTGGAGTTGCCCATTACGTATACGCAGGGTGTCTGTGTTGGATATACAGTTCAGGTCACAACCATAGCGTTCTTAAAAACATAAAATTTTAATTTTTTTTCTTTTGCACTTTGTTTTTAATCTATAAAACGTTTATTATTACCTGTTGCTATTTTTTGATAGCCAATACCTGATGAAGCTGGTTTTATAGTAATGTATGGAAAAAACTTGTTGCCAAGCGGCATTAAAACACTTTCGCACGCTTATCGCTGGTGCTGCCTCGCTTTCAATGTCAAAAGTGTCGTTCCCTCCGGTTGTCGTATTTCACCAGCCCACCTGTGACGTAGTCCCAATGATAGTTAGCTTCGAGCCCCTTCTGCCGGCAAATTATTGTTTATGGGTATCACTAGAGTGTTTATGGCCCAACAATAAGCTCCCTACTAAGTGAATTTAATCCAAATGCCAACGAAACCTGACGTACTCAATGTTAGGATTTCCCTTTCGCTTTTATTGAAAGTGTTTGAGGTTTTTATTAGATGACATATCTAGCATAGCTATACTACTACTAAGAACTGTTTTTCTTTAGAATTCGTATGAAAAGTTTCCGTCACCAAGCCTCTTAAAATGACTTAGCTAAAAATAAAAGTACTAGTCATTTAAGACCAATTAAATTATGGGGAGTTTTTATTTTATACTGAGTCATTATGAGGGTGGGGAAATTGAAAACTTTTACAAAATGGCTCTCAAATCTGGGTTAGTTTAAAATTTAAAAAATAAAGGGGATAATTACTCATCTATCAAAATGACAGATTTTAAATAATTATACAATTTATCAGGAAAAAATAAAAACGCAAACTTAATCTCTGCTATTTAAATTTTGAAGCGCCCTCAGGGCTATGAAATTACATAAATATAATCTGCTGATGTATAAAATAGAGAAATTGAAAAAAAAAATCTTAAATAACTTGATTGACCAGATAGTTAAAAGATGACGAGCTTATAAAGAAATTCTCTTTACATCGTAGATCCAGGGTTGTTGAAAAACAAAACCCAGAAGTTTGTAACAGCCTTTGTATGGTCACGATCTCCCAACAGCTGCCACTTTTAAAATTAGTTTTAAGGCACGGGTTGAGGTAATTATTCCCTAATGTGCATATTAGCAGGTACATCCGTTGCTGCCACTTATTAAAATCCCACATAATCCAGCATGTTGAATGTCGACTTGCACGTATTTTTTTATCTGTCCGGGTGACCTAGTCAAGAGTTACAGACAACGCCCCCAAGATACGTATACGTAATATAGGTTCATTTTTATGTCTATTTCGTCGCAATAGCCGCAGCAATTACAGAGCAAAACTTTCAAAATCGGCAGCATCATTGTGCGTGAGAAACGAGGTCGGCGCTGAGTCATTCCAACTCGAATAATCACAAAGCTTTCGAAATGCAAAAATCGATTGCCAGTTCTCTAGTGACTGGGTGCTAGAATATGACTTTGAACTTGAGCCGGGCCTGTGCCCCTGCCCGTGCCCGTGCCTGGGCGTGAGATCTCGGAAGATTTGCGATGGTCAGGTGATTACTACCGTCTCAGTGGACATGCTCGCAATCGGATTGGGTAGGAACTGCTCCGGCGCGTGCTCAGGCCATGGGTCAATGATAAGCCCGGGAGAACTTTTCCGCCAGCCCATTTTTGTTTTGTTTTGTTTGGGCTGATTTATGGCCTTTGGGCCGTGCAAGATCAGGCCATTAAAACTAAGTACATTTATTCTTAATTAGTCTGTTATTTTTTATCAGATTATGGGAGAAATCTAGATCTTTATGAGCCTAACGATTGGTCAACAAAATTAAACCTTTATTCATTAAACCCTCTTTTAGGGTCTGGCCTTTACCCACGAGGAGCGCCAGCAATTGGGCATCCACGGACTGCTGCCGTACGCTGTGCGTGATACTGCGGAACAGGTTGCCCACGCCCGCCAGCTGCTGGATCGACTGGAGAATGATTTGGACAAGTACATGTACCTGAACAACCTGGCCGAGCGCAACGAGCGCCTCTTCTACAATGTCCTCAGCTCGGACATTAGCTACACGATGCCACTGGTGTACACGCCCACTGTGGGTCTGGCCTGCCAGAAGTTCAGCCTGATCTTCCAGTCTCCCAAGGGCATGTTCATCTCCATCAAGGATAAGGGTCATGTCTACGATGTGCTTAAGAACTGGCCGGAGCAAGATATCCGGGCAATTGTGGTTACAGACGGAGAGCGCATCCTGGGCCTTGGTGACTTGGGAGCCAACGGCATGGGTATCCCCGTGGGCAAGCTCTCCCTGTACACCGCTCTGGCCGGTATCAAGCCCTCCCAGTGCTTGCCCATCACCCTAGACGTGGGCACCAACACCGAATCTCTGCTGGAGGATCCTCTGTACATTGGTCTGAAGGAGCGCCGCACCACTGGCACCATTTACGATGAGTTCATCGACGAATTCATGCACGCCTGTGTCCGCCGATTCGGTCAGAACGTTCTGATCCAGTTCGAGGACTTTGCGAACGCCAACGCCTTCAGACTGCTCTCCAAGTACCGCAACTCGTTCTGCACCTTCAACGACGACATCCAGGGCACCGCTTCAGTGGCCGTCGCTGGTCTGCTGGCTTCCCTGAAAATCAAGAAGACCAAGCTGAGCGACAACGTTCTACTCTTCCTGGGAGCTGGCGAGGCGGCTCTGGGTATCGCCAACCTCTGCCTGATGGCCATGAAGACCGAAGGTCTGACCGATGAGGAAGCCAAGTCCCGCATCTGGATGGTGGATAGGTAAGGGACTTTAAGAAATTATTTAAGTGTTTAGTTTAATAACCATGGTATTTCCTTTGTAGCCGTGGAGTGATCATCCGTGATCGTCCAAAGGGTGGTCTCAACGAACACAAGCTGCACTTCGCCCAGGTGCACGATCCCATTGATTCCCTCAGCGAGGCTGTTCGTAAAATCCGCCCCAATGTCCTGATAGGAGCTGCTGCCCAGGGTGGAGCTTTTACCCAGGAGATCCTCGAGATGATGGCTGAGATCAACGAGACGCCCATTATCTTTGCTTTGTCGAATCCCACCAGCAAGGCGGAGTGCACCGCCGAGGAAGCCTACACCCACACCCAGGGTCGTTGCATCTTCGCTTCTGGATCCCCGTTCGCCCCGGTCACTTACAACAATCGGAAATACTATCCTGGCCAGGGAAACAACTCTTACATTTTCCCCGGAGTGGCACTCGGCGTTCTGTGCGCCGGCATGCTGACCATTCCCGAGGAGGTATTCTTGGCCTCGGCGGAACGTTTGGCGGAGCTGGTCTCCAAGGACGACTTGGCCAAGGGCAGCCTGTACCCACCACTAAACAGCATTGTCAACTGCTCGATAGCCATCGCCGAGAAGGTTGTGGAGTACGCCTATAAGAACGGACTGGCCACTGTCCAGCCCGAGCCGGCCAATAAGGTGGCCTTTATCAAGGCCCAGATGTACGATCTGGATTACCCGCGCTCTCTGCCCGCCGTCTACAAGCTGTAGGATGCAGGACGAGAGTCCATTATTCCATCACAGATATTCGGCGAGGGCAGCGAGCAGTAACCATGTTATTTATTTTATAATGTCGCACATCTGTCGCCTAACAAATAGCTAAATTGTAACGCGCCTATTTTACCCCACTTACCCCTAACCACTACACACTATCCACACCATTCTAGCCCCTGTTCGCAGCCCAAATGATCATGTTTAGGAACCAAAAAGAGTGTCACCGAAATTGCAGCGAAATATTTTTTATGATGTTGACTCTATGTAAATGGGATATTGATCTATAGATGTGTAAACAAATTTCTATGTAATCTTCAACCACACAAACTACTCTAAGTATCTACAAATAAAAATAAATAAATATATTCAATTCTGCCTTTATTTTTGGTTCTCTCATAGCTACAGGTTTGTAAATAGGAAGATCTTTTTTCATTTTAACTTTTTTCTATTTTATTTTAACTAAAATTAAGTACTTAAAACTATTTAAATTTATAATTTTAACTAATCTATAAAATTTACGACTTTTAAAATTAAAAAAAAAACGGAAATTAAAATCTATTTAAAAATAGCAGTGCTGCCGGACAGATACAAAAAATACTGTGTTTGATATTGTATGTAGAATGTAAAATATCTGTATAATCGTATCTAAAATGTATTTTTCATTAGCGCAATTTATAAAAAAAACACAAAATGTAATGAAATCTAACCTTCTGGAGGCCAAAGAATAGCATTTTCTACCTTGAAAAAATTAAGCCGCCAAAAGTGTTAAGAGGTATAAAAAAATTACAGTATTTTCGATACTTAGACCTTATTACGGTATAAAATATCGATAAATTCTTATTTCAGTAAATTTTCAACAACCCTATACAATTTGCAATAATAAACAACAAAAGTGGAAATAATGCAGGAGCTCAAGGTGCGTTGGATGTCAGAGATCAGCCATAACTTTGATACTATATATATTCTATTTTAATAAAAATTTTAGCAACGCTTTGAGCGCCGCCACTTGGCGGATGACCTGAAGCAAAAGCAGGTGAGTGCCATGCCGTAAAAATGAAACTATAAATAAACCTTACATTGATTTATTACAAAACAGGCAATCCAAGATCGTCTGCTGCAAAAGATCCTCTTCTCGAAGCGCCTACTTGTTGACCATGTGGAGGCGTTGGAGCAATGCTTGCAGGAACTGTCGAAATCCACCAAACCTAGCCGGCAGTGGCTGACCACGCGGAATGCCAGCCTCTTGCTGGGCGGCACTTTGGTGGAGCATTTGGTGACCCCAAAGGGAATTCGTTACACAATGGTTCCCTCAATCCTCATCACCGGCACCTTTGCTGCATTGTTCGCAGTTAAAAGCGTGTTTGTATGCCGCAACAAAATCGTGGAACGAAAGTTAGAGCAACTGGTGAAAACCATCGATGAGTTTGGCAACTGCATCCGCCGGAATATGACGTACTTTCAGGAGATCATCATAATGAAGCAAGCAGAGCTTATTGAGTGAGAGAAGAAATCCCTACATTTGTGAACCATGGCTTATTATTTTGAAATTCAAGATCCCGGCAGATTGAACGCGCCTGGGATTGCATAACAGCCGCCAAGGAGGTAACCGAGATTCTTTACGATGCCACCCGCAAGCTGGAGACTGACTATCCTCTGCCGGCTAAATATGGCCCGTATTATGTGCCCATGGAGGAGCTCAGGGAGTGCGAGTACTTTAAAAACAATGTCACGGACTACAGCCCCAAACACATAAAGGTAAATAAAGGGATATGTTTCCGTATGAAAATGTACATATGGGCCACCCTAATGTACATTCATACACTCTTATCTCTTAATTGATTCAGATTAGAATAAATAGCAATATGGTATCAACAAAGCTATTTCGTCGGCAATTTACAAATAATATTTACATTTTTAAGGAATAGATTGTATAAGAACCTATTCCTGGTAATTATTTTGAAAGCGTAGAGACAAACAAGATCCATTACCATACCTAACTAGCTTCTTTTTTATCTTCCAGGATTTTCACAACATCTTCGCCTACGTTCAGTCCCAGTATCTTCTCCGGCTAGCGCTGACAATCACCACTCGGCCTTCGATCTCCCAGTTGAGCGAGGACCTGGTCAAGATCGATTCCCTGATTCGGCAGTTGGTCCAAGAGGAGGAGCAGCACTTTAGCAACCTGGCCTTGGCAATGCAAAACAGGAAACAGATGGAACTGGAAGAACTAAATGCCGTCAAGGTGGAGCAGCAGAAAAGCGGCCCCATTGCTGTGTTGCAGCATTCCTCTCTCAAGTTGAGTGCCTGTATGGTAGCCGTTGCCGGGGAATGCCAGGCTCTAGATGTAACTCTTCAAAAGCTCACGGCCACTGAGGCGGCGAAAAAGAACAACTCAAAGGAGCTGGTGGCGGTGGCCAATAACATGCGAGGCATTGAGAACGCCCTGGCTGTTTGCTGCGATGACTTCCAGAGACTGATGCTGGTGTATAACAAGTTCCTGCACAGCAAACTTGACTTGGAGGATGAGGTTCCACAAGCAAAGAAGGACAATCTGGACGAGGTATTCCCCGAGAGCATTTTGCGGGTGGAGTTCTCTCAGAACGTGGATGCTCCTCAGCAAAAAGATGACTTTTACGCCTACATGTACGATGAAAACGAGGAGCAGCAGTTCGAGGCGGAGCAGCACGCTCCCTTCCCTACTCCCGAGAAGGAACTTCTTAATTTCGAGAAGCGCATAACCAAGGGCAAGTTTAAGCCCGTTCTCAAGCAGCTCAAGGATCGCATTGATCCCATTCGACAGGTGATGCTGGAAAAGGAACGAGAAGTCCTGGCGTCCAAGGGTATCAACGTGGACGAGCTCTTCGGAAAAATTGAGAAGGTGGAGCAGCAGCAACAGGAGGATAATCGCTTAACGGATAATGCCACTTCTCCCAGCTACGACTCGTCCGACAATTCGGATTCGGACTCAGCAGACGATTCGGCCTATTATCGGCGGAGCAAGCAGCACAAGGAACGCGATAACTTTGCCGAGATGCGTCAGTTTCTGGCGCAGAAGCAGGCTATTAATCTCTTTAAGCTCCCACCTCCACCTGTAAATGCTGCCGAAGAAGAGCTACTCGAGAGCGAGTGCTAGTCTTGTTTTTGTTTTACGGTCACATGCCTACCATCTCTTTGACTCTGGGTATTATCTTTTTATGTTTATAAAGTTTATCTCACTGGTGGGGTAGATAATCTGAGCGTCAAGCGACGCCACCTGCATCCTGCCTTGTTCCTCAGTTTTTGTTTCCCATGATCCTCTGTTGCTGTAAAAAGAAATTCGTGCGAAAATAAAAGTTTTTATGTAGAAGTGTGGAGTTTATTCAAATAAGATGCTGGACTTTCGTAAAGGATCTATAAATAGTTCAATGAACTAGCCTTACCTGCTACCCTTGACAAGAAATAATAAAAAATCGACTAGGTAATTTCTCTATGAAAATTTTTTATTTTTTACACACTAATTTTCGAAACTTAAGTACAATACAAACATCGATGGCAGCCCTTAAAACTAGGTGGTTACTTTCGATCGGGGTATAGGAATCTTGAAGAAGGTCAACCTCCTTTATAGGGGATTTATCATTAAGGACACATTATATACAGGAAAGCACGTCTTACTCAGTGGCTGGAACACTCGCGTGAACATCTTTGGCTCGAAACTTGTGCAACTTACTCGGTAGTCGAAATTGATGCGGATTTTGAATCCCGGCTCCTTTTCAGGCATGCGAAGCTCCTGTTGTGGCAGGCGCAGAGCTCTTGGTGGAGTGGACATTATTGAATTTACTAGCCCCCGAGGTGGGTTGAAGTTGCGAGATAGCCGATATATTGCTACCCCTAACACTTGTGTATCGAATGGGCTGCACCCCGTAATCAGTGCCCTTAAGCCGCCGGCGCACGCAGCTGACAATGAAGCCGATGATCAGGCCAATCACCACCACCACACTGGCTATGATGGCCGTGAGTATGATGTAGCGGCGGCGCAGGAAACGCGGCGGTTCCTCATCCACTGGCCTGTACTTCTTGGGAATCACCATACTGCATATTTTTTCGGACGTTAAGTTAGAGATTGGTGCTCCGGCCAGCACATACGGAGTCTCACAACGCGCCTCCGACCCATCCGTCTGCTGTTCTATGTGGCTGAGGCCAGTTAGTTCCAGGGATTTCAAAAGTTGGCAGCTGCAATCCCAGGGATTCCCAGAAATGCTCAGACGACGAAGACGTGGCCACGGTTCCTGAGCTGTAGAGTTGCTACTGGTTCCATTTAATACCAGAGTGTTCAGGGAATTCCTGGATATGTCCAACTGTGAGAGGTTACGACTCACCAAAAAATCTGCCAGATCCAGGTGCTCCAGATGAACATTTCTAGAGCATTCCACCTGCTCCAGGGCTGGTAAGTTGAAAACTCCCTTCTCTATAATTCTCAGACTATGCATTCCGCTGATATTGAGGCGCTTCAGAGCATCCAAGCCCTGGAGGCTCCCGGATTTGACGTGGCTGAGCTTGTTCCCTGCCAAGTTAAGTTGCACCAGTGACTTGCCCAACTGTTGGATGCTCGGAGGAATGGCAGAATATTCATTTCCGGAGATATCCAAAACGCGCAAGCTAACCAGCTTTGGAAAAACTTCAGCAGGCAGCGACATCAGTCCATTGTGCGAGAGATCCAATCTCTGGAGAGTGCTCACGGCCGCCAGGGAGGCAGCGGTGGCTGCGTCCAGGACGCTCAGTTTATTGTAGGCCAGGTTCAATGCAGTCAGATGGGGTGTGTGCTCAAAGAGGCGTCTATCCAGGCGGGCAATCAAATTGTGACTCAAATCCAAGTCCCTCAAGCCGATTGGCTCGTAGCGATTACCGCGAAAAGGTCCTCTGAATAGATCCGGTACCAAAGCATCATCAGTCAGTTCATTCCAGCTAAGGTATAGCCCCTCCACGTTGGGTACATCCATGAAGAGCGGGGCCTGCAGATCCTTTAGTCCGCAATGACGACAGGACAGCGACAGACTGGCATTTGTGGCCGGCAGCTGTTGGAGCAACTTTATCTGATTGCCGGAGTACGAAAGGAGGATTTGGGTGCTTGCTCCTGCTGCCAGTGCCTGGGCGCTAAGATCTGTCGGCCAGCGGGCCAGGATGTGCTCAAAATTTCGCACCGAGCAGTCCAGTGTAAAGTGTGTCCGATGTTCGCTGTCCTGGGAATTTTGGCAGGTGCAAGTCTTGCAGATGTCGGCCACCGCCTGGTATGGAATGTCCTCATGCTGGGCCAGGACTTCAGTTTTGTGAAGTAATGCCATTCCGGCCAGAAGCTATAAGAAAACCACATATATTTTTTAGTTCAACAAATCTATTTTAAAATTATCTAAATCTATATAAAAAAAAACTTTTAAAACTTTAATTCTTTTATTAAAATTAATTAAACTTAGTTCTGAACATTGTTTGATAAACCTGATAATGGTTATTTTATTTTTTATGCGGTTTTTAAGGTCATATTTTTAAGTCAAAATTATTCATTGTTTAGCTCGATTTCAAATTAAAACCACCTTTTAAATGTCTGTAGTTTATATTATATTAGAATAATTATATATTTATATGGATAGAATTAGAGTCTTAATAACGTATAATTATTTTTAAATAAAATCTGACTCTATAGTTTTCGGACGACGATGAGTTTATAACTTATCTGTGTCTTAGTTATTGTCTTCATTTAGACAAATATGTGTGTCAAGAATTATTAGAAGTAGGCTATTTTAAAGTTTAATCATTATTTTTTCAATACTACACATGTTGTAGAACTCTAAATCGACTGTAAGTAGCTTGAAGATAATAAAAGTATACGAACACCACTGAATAAACATCAATTACCTAAGTACCTTTAATTGAAGGTACCTGTAACCTGTACTACCTTTTATAATAATTATATAAATTGTATAATTTATGGTTCCAACTACATACTTCTTGAAAATATCAGAATAAATGAAAAATGTGTATATTTATTCAACCTCAAAAATACTCAACTCTTTCTTCATAACACAAAGAACAGATATGTGTATGGACATATGTATGTATGACCATTTGACACGTTCATTATACCCTTGCAGAGGGTATTATAATTTTGTCCAAAAGTGTGCAACGCAGTGAAGGAGACATCTCCGACCCTATAAAGTATATATATTCTTGATCAGGATCACCTCCTGAGTTGATATGAGCATGACCGTCTGTCCGTGTGTCCGTCTGTCCGTCTGTCCGTCTGTCTGTTTCTACGCAAACTAGTCTCTCAGTTTTAAAGCTATCGACTTGAAACTTTGCACACACCCTTCTTTCCTTTGCACGCAGTATATAAGTCGGAACGCCCGGGATCAGCCGACTATATCCTATAGCTGCCATATAACTGATTGATCGGAAATGGTATAACTTTGGTGTTTTTAGAGTTAGAGAGTTCAAATTTGACATGAGAGCTATTTTTGGCAAAATATTACGACATGCCAAATTTCATAAGGATCGGCTGACTATATCCTATAGCTGCCATATAACTGAACGATCGGAAATGACCCAACTTTCGTGTTTTTAAAGATAGAAAGCTGGAACTTGGTACAGATTATATTTTTGGTCAGTTAATCCGACCTACAAAATTTCATTAGGATCGGCCGACTATATCCTATAGCTGCCATATAACTGAACGATCGGAAATGACCCAACTTTCGTGTTTTTGAAGATAGAAAACTGGAACTTGGTACACATTCTATTTTTGGTCAGTTAATCCGATCTACCAAATTTCATAACGATCGGTTGACTATATCTTATAGCTGACATATAACTGTACGATCGGAAATGGTTTTTGGTAGAAATATGAACTTTCATATTTTTGAAGATAGAAGCTTGGGACTTTTTTTTAGATTTTTTATTGTAATTAATTGGTTTTATTATGATGTAATCATAAGGATCGGCCAACTATATCCGATGTTTGCGATATATATCCGGTTTTAGCTGCAAGGGTATATCAACTTCGGCTCCGCCCGAAGTTAGCTTTGCTTTCTTGTTTTATTTTTAAGAAAGGTATAAATTAAAATGCTTTGTTTCAGCCATAAATCTGGATGTCCTTTCCTATATCTTTTTTTTACTAGTAATCCTCATATAGGTACACTATAATTGAATTAATATTTCGGAAATTGTTTTCAAATCATCGATCAAAAAGTGAGTCACATTGATTGACTCACCGGCGAAACCATAACATCCTCGATCCCTCTGACATTAATTTGATTGTTTTGGTTTTTTTCCCCAGATGGAGGTCAAAAATGTCTCATAAAAAGGTCTCCCAACTGAACCTGAAACTTGGGCTCCTTTCACAGAAAACTAAACATTCTCTCTAATTTCTACTATCTTACTTGAAAATATGTGCGATAAGATAACGATAATGTTTTGGAAGGCTACAATATTTACTCACCAGCAGCAGAAATTTGTGCTTCATTGTAGTATCAGTTTCGGTTTTTAATTTCGCTTTTCCTTGGATTCTACCGTATCGGGTAACTTCTTGAGTATATTAGGTAACTATATCTCTTGTTGCACTTTTATATGCGGTTTGGAAGTCTTTCTTTATATTGTTACTGTTGCATTTTTTTTAGAACAGGTCTGTACGATCAAACCGCTTGCTTCGGAAAATGGAACTGAATTAATGAATCAAGCTGCCATGAGCCGACAGAATTATTTGTTTTGATTAGATAGCAGTCCCCAGAGAGAGATACTGAGAATGTGTCGCTCCCCATTTCTCAGTAACTCTCTGATACTCTCTGCTGTTGGCTCTCAAAATTTCTCAGATTATCTTAACGCGAATCATTAAGGTAAAAGTGAATTTTAATGGAGTCATTTACTGCAGCCTTCTGTTTTCGCTGTTCTTTGATCCCTCCCCACTCGACAGCTCTCCCCACAAGGTCGTCGGCTCCGGGTCTCTCTTGATTTCTTTGCCAGCTAATTAGTAAAAAGCCAAGCCCTATCTACGATGGCTAAAGTACTACCGCAAACACATTCATCAAATAGATACATTTATACACATAGACAGTGCAACTTCACAAAACCGAATTTTATCTAAGATGGTTATACCATTCCATAATTCTAGATACCAATCACGACTCTTGAAAGATTTTTGTCAATTTTTGTTTAATATATTGAAAGAGAAATGAGTTCATTAGATTTTTAAAAACATTATATTGTTTATGTTTTTCGTAACAAATTATTATTCATTACATTAAAAGTAATTATTTCTACAAAAATACAAGTTCTTGAACGATTATGATATTGGCAATAATCTTCTTTTTATTTAACTTTAATTTAAAAAAAATTTACAAAAAAGTTGGTCACCCATTTTAAAATTATAGAAGTTGCACTGTATTTATTTAGCTTTGAGCAGATTATTTCCAGATAAGATAATTGAGCTGACTCTCGATGTGCCAACATATGGCGTTGGAGACCGAAAAAAAAATAAAACACATTTCTCCTCCCAGTTGACTCAGCCGATGGCAAAGATTCTCGAACTGACTTTTGATTCACTTGCCGGTCGATCCAATTAAGAGCGATCGCAACTGCGAGTGTCACTGGGATCCATTGAACTTGCTCCGACGACTCGGCTGGAGCCGGGCACCGAGCATCCACAATGGAGAATTGAGCTGTTCGCAGCTGCCGCCGATGAGAAAGGCAAACAAGAAATGTTTGTGGCTCTGGAATTGGTTGCATAAACAAAACACTTTGCCCGAACTGATGGACAGAGGGACAGACGGACGCCGGACTGGGGGACGGGAGATGTAGACGGACGAGAGCCAAGCCAGGGCCCGACCAAAGTTGCCCAGACACTTGTGAGTCACTATCCCACTGGGGGCAAGTACAGTGAAAATATTTTAACTGAAAAGTGGGGGAGTGAAATTAAGCTACTTTTCTTTTATCATCTCCCATAGTTGTTATATTAGTTTTGTTAATATCGATTATATCACTTCATTTTTATTAAACGGAATAGCACTTTAAATAGTTTTTTGTATAAACTTTCTCAAATAATATTATTTTGTATATTTCATTGTTTAAAACTGTCTATTTAATTAAATATTTTATTACTAGAAAAATATTAAACACGGTCCCTGTTTTAATTGACAAAAAAAATCCAATTTTTAATTTCATTTTTAGCCAAGATCTACTGTAATGTTCTACTTGAAAAAAGATATGATCTATGTCGCCTCTCATCCAATTTTATTTCTTTCATCAAGCCGCAAGGCCTGGTGCGGAGAGACTAGCACATCCATGGCAAAGTTCCATGTGCTTAGGAGATGTTCTTCTGTGTTTAATTTAATGATTAAGGCTTTTTTGCATATCTCAGGAACTGCACGCGACCTAACCACAGACTTGCTGCGAATAAAACCCGTTTTAAGATGATGCTGCTGCGGTTGATGTTGCACTTTTGCAGCTGCCACTGAAATCATGCTCATCCGCGTCTTGAAAACCACGCGCGAAAACCGAAACCAAAGGAGGAAACCCTCGGGAGAAGCACTGATCTATACCTGACCGCTGCTCAAATCGAACTGAAACTGGAAATTTGTTGCCGCTGCCGTTGCTGCTGCTGCTAGGAATCGAGATTCACGTTCCCACAAGCTGGACACAGTCCCCACCGCAACAAACAAAAAACCGGTCGGGGGCACTCTGGCCGAATTTGAAATCGAGACTGTGGCACATTGTTTATGCCACACAGCCGAGCCTACAATACAATATGTGTGCCTTTTGATGAGAGCAATATTAATGGCTGGCAGCTGCACTGTAAATGTCAGGGCTCCCAATACCCCATCCATGCAGCGGAAATGGGGAGCACCAATCGTGATGCAGTCATTTCCTTGGCGGCAAACTTTCAAAGAACGCACGTTAGTTGGTAACAAACATTTATACGATACAAGGTAACCAAAAGAAAAGCCTATCTAGAATGCATATAGTAGTCGATGGCAGTGGAGAAGGCTGCAAATCCAAGGCCTCCGATTACGCCCGCCTTAATGCCTGCGCGCAGGCCAATCAGTCCGCCGGTAATGCCTCCAGCATATGTACCATTTCGCCAGTCCGTCACTCCTCGATGCTGCAGGAAAACAAAACATATTCAAATACATATACAATTTTTTGTTTATAGGGGGAAACTTACACTTTCAATAGTGCACTCAACGGCAGAAAATACGCAACCGATCAGGGCAAAATTCTTAGCATAAGAGTGGGTGGTTGCCCTCATCTCGCGGAACACCTCGCGAGCTGTCTGTTTCTTTTCATTCGCAAAAGGATCAGCCATGTTGGGATTGACGGAGGCGCTAAACAAACCCAAGGCAGCTCCCAAACCATAACCTTTAAGATATAAAGACAAAGGGTTATACAAAACCATAGTTGACAAACATGGTTGTTTAATCCTGACTTGAGACTTACCCATAACACAGGCCATAGCGCATTTAAAGCCACAGCTCTCCACTGCGGTCTCGATCATCTTCTCTTCGTTGGTCTTGATTTTTACAGGTCCATTGCTCTTGGGGATTACAATATTCTCGCGGTAGCGCTGCATATTCCCCACAAACTGCATGGCCATCTTGTCCAGATCTTTGTCATCGAAGAGACGTGGTTTCTGGACTGCCTGAGCATTGTTCCCGGCATTCGGCAACACGGACATCTCCGTAAAAAAATAACAACAAAAGTTTCTATTCAGAAAAGGGGATTTTGTAATGGGTCAAACGTGTTTGGAAAAAAACCCGAAATTATTATCACATCGCTCCACAGCTGTTTGCTAGAGACGGACTTTAAAAAGAAATTTGTCTTATCGATATACAAAAAATACCAAAATATACTGCATGGACTAGACTAGCGGGAAACAGGATACCTTTTGAATTGTAAAGATTGATAAAACTTCTGAAAATTAGCTTTGATACAAAAAAATTAAAACAACTGACTGAGCTCAATCAAATTTATCTTCTCTGTGTGAAAATAGAAAATGATGCATTACAACTGTTCCCAAATTATTGTAGCGACTGCTCGAAACCTTTTTCAATCACGTAGATGCGTTTGGTTAAATCCGAGATGGTCTTCTTGTAGCCAGCAATACGTTTACGTTTAGATTCCACATCTGCCATGCAATTGTCGTAATCGTACATCAGAGCCGTTTTGAAGAGAAGTCCTCCCTTGGTTTCCAGTTGGGCACGCTGAAGTTTCAGATTGGCATGAACCGCCTGGAGATCGGTCAGCATCTTGCGGAGGTCGTTGCGCCGCTCTACGCAATCATTGTACTCTTTTTTGGCCTTTGTCAGTGAGCAGGAGATCATGTCCCGTTTCTCACGGATGCAGGTCTCCTCGATCATTGACTTCTTGTAGTTCGATTGCATTACTGCTACATCCTTGCTCTTTTCTATAAACACGAAACCGAAATATATTGTAATGAAATGTATTACATTTGGAGACCCCCCGACTTACCTTCTAGCAACTTGCTTAACTGAATAATAGCCTCATTGGCGCAAAGCAGCTGGGAAATTGTCAAGGTATCTGTGACCCTCTCGAATCTAGTGACTTTCTGTGGAAAAAGATCAAAAGAATGTGAATGCTATATAAAGACAAGAACCCACCTCGTCCACAAAGGCCAGAGTGTGTAGGTTGAGGTTGAGTTCATATCGCTTCTGGCTGATTTGGTTGCGCATGTCCAACATCTTTTTGATATCATATTCCAGGGCTCGTCGTAGTCTTTCCATGTCCCGACGGACAAGGGTCTTGCGCATGAAGTTATCCAGACCCAACTCCTCGTTGTAAGAGAGGACATTAAGGGAATTTAGCTCCAACATCGCCTTGTGCGATTCATTAAGGTGATTGTTTTTCACGGTCTTAAGGCGCTCCATAAGGAAGTCGACCAGATTGAGTGCGTTCATGTAACGGATGGACTCGTTGAAGGAGTCATCCGGGGATAGGGTGGCGAAGTTCTGGAACTTTCCCTGTCGGCGATAGTAGTCGCAGACGACATTGTTGAGAGAACTGTTGGTGGTTCTTTCGAACATGAACTCGTCTACCTCCTGCTGCAGAGCGATGACCAATTTGTGCTTGTCCAGTAACTTAGCGATGTTATCGAGTGATTCCACCTTGGCGACCACCATGTTTATCAGATGGTGTAAAAAATCGGCGGTAAGGCGATACCAGAATGGATCTTCCACCTTAACTTGAGCTTCCGCCTTGTCCTCGACTTCAATTTCCACGATATCTATAAACATAGCCATAGTGTCCATTTCCTCTTCACCACGCTTATCTGGCACTTGCGGTTCTTCAGGAATATCATCAAAAAAATCATCATCCTCTGTGCTAGACTCCTCCTCTGATCCTGTCACTGCGGCAACTGCACCTCCAGCACCAGCCTGACTGCCCTCGGACTCTCCTGACCCGCCTTCCTCCGCTCCCTCCTCGTGGCCAGACTCTACGAAGTTGCCATGGTCGGAGTCACGGTAGGACTGTTTTTTAGGAGGTTCGGGTTCGGTGGGCTCCGGCGTTATGTCCAGCGAAATATCCGAAAGGCTCGGCAAGCTGTCAAAAGTGCGAATGAATTCCCCCTTGAGGGAGGTACCCAGTCTCGGCAAGGGAGTTATATCGCTGTCCGACTCTGGATTCTCTTCTTGGGTGTCTTCCGGGGACTCCGGCACCTCCAAGTCATCGTACTGATTAATAATGCCTCTCATTTCGGCCAAATCGTCTTCGCCGAGATCCTCACCGCCCTCAGACTCCAAAATAAAGGAACCCTTCTCCGAAGACTTATCCTCCTCCTTCCTGACTGGCTTCGGCTTCATGGCCTCTTCCAAAGCCAATTCTGCTTTCTTCTTCTCTTCTTCTTGCTCTAGTCTTTTCTTGATCCTCTCAAGCTTTTGGCGCTTGCGTTCGTCCTTTTGCAGTACTTGTGCAGTTGCTCGACTTTGTCCCGCCTCTTGCCCCTCCACTGGTACGTTCTCGCCATCCTCACCTAAAGCCTCCACGCCCGCCTCTACGATCTCTCCCACAACTTCTTCTAGTGGGGCTTCTTCGGAAGCACCAGCTGGAGCTGTAAAAGAAGCAGGAGCTGCATCCGCGGCAGCTGGAGCGCCTTCAGGAGCTGGAGCGCCTGGAGATACTTCTTCGGCTTGACTTTCAGCCATTGTTTAAATGGCTTCTTTGCGACACTAGACTTCTTTAAGAAAATATAATATTGTGTTTCAGTCTTTGGTGTTTTCTACCTTTTTAGCTCAATATTTAGATTATTTGTAGATGAAGGATTTGGCAGTAACTGCTACGTCTTATATAATACATTTTATTGCTATCACAAGTTAATCATACACATATACCGTTGGAGAAAACAAACGAAAATAGTAGATGTCCGTACTGGAGTTGGATACAAGCTCTATCTTTGGCCGAAGGCTGGAGAGAAACTAGTTGAAGGCGTAGAGAAGCAGCAGGATTACGCAGAACCCAATCACCGCGCCCAGGATGAGCGAATCGCGTCGCTTCTTAATGTTTATGCGCTGAATAAGACTGAAAAATATTAAGGATCATGATCAGACATCAAATATACAAAATATATTGTAGGTATTGACTGATGAGTCATTTGAATGATAAAGATACAAAAGGGTGGATCTATATGGCAACTAACAACCGTAACAATTAAAAGATAATAAATTAGTGATTTGAAATAATGTATCTTTTACCCACCTGGAAATCAGTGGGAACCGATTCGAGATGTCGTTGAAGCGAGTCTGCAACCGCTTGAAGGCCTGACGTTGTGCATGCAGGTGATCTCGTGTCTCGATAGCAATGTTGATCTGGTCATTCACCAAATGGCTGGCACTACTCAGATGACCGCTCTCCTTCAGATACATCTCCCGCCGGCTTAAGCCTGAGATAGAGGGACTGCCGGAGCTAGTAGCCAGTCCAGAGCCGCGAAGCAGCTCCTCGCGCTCGATTCTCATTGTGTGGTTGGCGCAAATTTTGTTGAACTCCTGGCGATAGCCCTGCAGGATTTCCCTGTGCCGCTGCAGCGTGTGCATGGCGGCGGCCCCCGTGGCAGGCAGGTCCGACATTGATTCGTTCAGGGAGGATAACTAAAAATGGAATGATTCATTTAATAACTGCGTAGTCGATAAACGTATTCCTCCTCTTTTCGCACCTTCTCCAGCATTTGTTCGATCTCCTCGGAAAGCGAGTCAAAGACATGCTCGCCCAGCAGCGGTGATGTGTCAACACCGCCTCCCAATGCACCGCTTCCTCCGCTACCGCTACCTGCTCCAATTTTGCTGAATGCCACAAGCTTTAGGTCTATTTCGTTTTCCAGGCTTCGCGCCTGTTTGCGCAGCACTGTTGGCAGAAGGAATTAACATTTAAAATTCAAAGAGACTATGCGATCTTTGAACTCACCATCATAGCTTGATCCTCCCATTTGTCCAAATTAATTTATTTTATTTATTCGCCTTTACAGTGGCAAACAGTATGACCAGTCCGGGAATATGTGAATTAAACAAAGGCGCCAGTATTGCCAAGAAATGAGAAAAAAACAATTTTTAAATAAATAGAGTTTTTGAAAGCGAAAAAGGAGGATTTCTTGCAAATGAAATTAAAATTATGTTCCCCAATATAGTAGTTATTTTTAATTTAAGCCAACCCAGCTGATATCAATATAATAATACCAACAAAACGAAATATTTGATTGCTGATACTGAGATCATGAGAAATATATTGCCTGCTGTAATGAGATACAAAAGAATATGAAAAACAATGTATTTTAGTTGTATTTTATGTATCATAATTGCATTTTAATTCCAATATATACCGTTTTTTGAATTTAATCTTTGTACTTTTTCGCGCCACATATACAAAATCACCTTGAGTTATCGATAACTTGTCACCGATAAAAAGTGCTATCGTACTGAAGTCGCATTGTTTTATTGCCGGCGATTTGTGAATTTTGTGTTCTTGTTTATTTTAATCAATTTGACAGAATGACGCAGCCGACAAGCGACTCTCGGGTGCCAGATGAAGAGAGTGATCTTCTACAGATCAAGCCCCTGTAAGAGATGTCAAGTTTGAACGATAAAAGCTAAAGGAAATTATAAAAATGTTTGTGCTTTCAGTGGCGCTGGCCAGGAAGTGGGTCGCTCCTGCATCATGTTGGAGTTCAAGGGGAAGAAGATAATGCTCGACTGTGGCATTCATCCGGGTCTGTCTGGCATGGATGCTCTGCCCTATGTGGATCTCATTGAAGCAGACGAAATCGATCTGCTGTTTATTTCGCAGTATGTACCCTAAACAGATTGTATTTCAAAAAGTAGCTTATGAGCAACTTTTAAAACGATTTCCAGCTTTCATCTGGACCACTGTGGCGCATTGCCCTGGTTCCTAATGAAAACCAGCTTTAAGGGCCGCTGCTTTATGACCCATGCCACAAAAGCCATTTACCGCTGGATGCTGTCAGATTACATCAAGATCAGCAATATATCCACCGAACAGATGCTGTATACAGATGCTGATCTGGAGGCCTCCATGGAGAAGATCGAGACCATCAACTTCCATGAAGAACGGGACGTGATGGGTGTTCGTTTCTGTGCATACAATGCCGGACATGTTCTCGGAGCTGCTATGTTTATGATTGAAATTGCTGGTATTAAGATTCTGTACACTGGAGACTTCTCCCGTCAGGAGGATCGGCATTTGATGGCAGCCGAAGTGCCGCCAATGAAGCCCGATGTTTTGATTACAGAGTCAACCTATGGCACCCACATCCACGAGAAACGGGAGGATCGTGAGAATCGTTTTACATCGCTGGTGCAGAAAACAGTACAACAAGGCGGAAGGTGTTTGATACCAGTCTTCGCTTTGGGCCGAGCCCAGGAACTACTTCTTATCCTCGACGAATTTTGGTCCCAGAATCCGGATCTGCATGAGATTCCCATCTACTATGCTTCCTCGCTGGCCAAAAAGTGCATGGCCGTGTATCAGACGTACATCAATGCCATGAACGATCGGATCCGACGTCAGATTGCAGTGAACAATCCCTTCGTCTTCCGGCACATCTCGAATCTAAAGGGCATTGACCATTTCGAAGACATAGGACCTTGTGTTATCATGGCGTCGCCCGGTATGATGCAATCCGGGTTGTCAAGGGAGCTCTTCGAAAGCTGGTGCACAGATCCCAAGAACGGTGTGATCATTGCCGGTTACTGTGTGGAGGGGACGTTGGCCAAAACTATACTATCTGAACCGGAGGAGATTACGACCCTATCCGGGCAGAAGCTGCCCCTGAATATGTCCGTGGACTACATATCCTTTTCTGCACACACAGACTACCAGCAGACCAGTGAGTTCATCCGCATGCTTAAGCCTACTCACGTGGTGTTGGTTCACGGAGAACAGAATGAGATGTCCCGATTGAAGTTGGCACTGCAGCGCGAATACGAGGCCGACGCCAGTACGGATATCAAGTTCTACAACCCCCGAAATACACATGCCGTAGATTTATATTTCCGCGGTGAGAAAACCGCCAAGGTGATGGGAAACCTAGCTGCCAAGAACCCCGAGGTGGGCAGCAAGCTCTCAGGCGTACTGGTTAAGCGGGACTTTAAGTACCACCTGTTGGCCCCCTCCGATCTGGGCAGTAAGTAATACCTTACAAATAGTTTTAATACATTACTTACTCCATTACTTTCCCAGAATACACTGACATGAGCATGTCGGTGGTTACCCAGCGACAGTCGATTCCCTGGGCCAGCTCCCTGAGCACTCTGGAACTCCTGCTAGATCGGATTGGAACCGGGTGCGTTGAAGTTGTGGAGCCAGAACGAAAACTAAGAGTTTTCGGATGCATTGAGCTGACTGTGGAGCAGAAGATCATTGTCATGGAATGGCAGGCGACGCATGTAAACGACGTCTATGCGGATGCAGTGCTTGCGTGCATCATGCAATCGGAATTGGGGGGCACCAACCTCAAAGGGGCCACCAAACAGACCAAGTCGGAGGACTCGAGATTCAGGGAGTGCCTCATCGAGACCTTACAGGACACCTTTGGTGACAGCTGTGTGCCCAAAATGTTCAAGGGCGACCTTCTGCCAGTAGTGGTTAGCGGCAAGCGAGCGGAAATCAACCTGGAGACACTGGTATGTCAATTATAAATCTTGAAAATTATTTTTAAAACTATCCATCCTAACTTCTAGGCTGTTCACTGTGCAGAAGACGATGTCCTGCGCCAGATGCTCAACACAACGGTACAGAAGCTGCATCAGACTCTAGTCTCCGCCCACTGATCAGCTCGTCATTCCAAAACAAAATAAATCTCCGAAAGTGAGAATGTTCTTTTATTGATTGATTCAAAATATTTTTGCATTTTTAAATTAAAAGATTTTAAGTTAACGCTGGGTGCTCTTGGCAATCTGCTCCTTAAGCATAAGGATGCTGGCCCGCTGCTCCGAGGGCAGCTGGGCGATCTGCTCGTCGGATAGCTGCAGCACCTGCATGATCAAGGCTGCTTTCTCCTGATCAGAAGCATCCGACGGCAGAACCCCATGGGCTCCCAATCGGCTCTGCAGCTGCTGCGCGGCAGTCTGTTGCTGCTGCGTTGGCGGTGGTGCCTGGGGCATCACCTGCTGCGGTGGCTGCTGCTGTGGGCCCGGCCCAGCTCTCAAACGAGGATCCATCGGGCGCTGACGCGGATCGCTAGGATAGGGTGCCGGGGGCGGAACCTGTGGGGCCACCTGTGGCTGTTGGGCAGGCATCTGGGCTCGAGTCCTGGGATCCATTAGCGGCGGTGGCACCGGATTGGGCATCACCTGGCGCATGTCCTGGTCAATATTGCGGCCCATAATCCTCGGGTCCATGGGCATCGGCCCACCCTGGACCATGCGTAGGTCAATATCATTGGAGTGAACGTTGGCATTGAAACCGGGACCAGGAACAGGCATAGGCTGAACTTGGGGTGGTGGCTGCTGCGGCATCTGCTGTTGCTGGGGAATGGGCATTTGCGGCTGTTGTTGCTGCTGCTGGTGAGGATTTCCACCCAAAACAGGAGGCATCTGGTTGGCCTTGAAGAGCATGCCCAACGCCTGCTGCGGATCTACGATGCGCATGACCACCATCGCCTGGAGCAGGGCGTAGGCCAACTGGGGATTCAGCATCAGCATTTGCCTAGCCTCCGATGGGTTGCTGACGATGCACAGCTTCATCTGCTTCATCAGCTCGTACATTTGCTCTGGTGGCAGAGAAGCAACCGTTTTGGTGATCAACTCTGGGGCATCCTCTGGCTCGCAGGGCTCTCCGTAGGGATTCTCCACCTGGGGGCCTTGCAGTAGCTGTTGCATCTCCATGCGGGACTTTTCTGTACAGGCATTGTCCACGCGCAATGTCCGACCTCCAATCTCATATCCATTCAGATTCCTCATGGCACTCAGTGCCGTTTCCTGGTCCTTGTACTCGCAGAATCCAAACCCCTTGGGCTTGCCACTTTCCCGATCGAACACTAGCCTGTCAAAAGAGTGGATTAAATTCAATTTTCTTTGTATATCTTTAGTCGGCTTTACTTCAGTGACAGCACGGGTCCTACTTCGCTGAATATCTCCTTCAGCTTCTCCTCGGTGGCCTCGTAGGGTATGTTGCCCACAAAGACCGACCTCATGGACTTGTCCATGATACTTTGTTCCTGTGCCTTGTCTGCCATTTCGTTAATTATTTATTGATCCTTGTTATTCGTAAATAAAAACTCAATAACCGCCGAGACTCTTTATATTTCGATGCCGCACTATTCTTCTTCTTCTCAAAAACGATTACCACAAGTACGGAAGCAAGTAGAGCTGTCGTTTTAGCCGTTTTTGATAGTTTGGCTAGAACTTTTTTTTAAATATATTATTTCTTTTTATTAAAGTTCTTGTAAATTATTGTTTTTAAGAAGAAAAAACAGAATAAATTAAAATTTATGTATCCAACAAATATGACAAATATGTATCTCAGATTGTCGTCCGAATTCCGTTTAACATTTGTACTTACATTACTCAATGAATCATAGTAAGTAAATAAATTGATCATTTTTAACGGTTTATTTTTAATAAAATCCAAAAACTGTTTTACTTTATTGATTCAAAAATTACAAAAAGAAATAATCGATGGCTGGAGGCAATCGATCGATTTCAAACAATGGCAAATTCAAGCTAGAATGGATTATTGTTCCAGCACTACTTCCACCCATCTGGCAACACTGTGGTGTTGTAATTTTTTTTCTTGTCGCAAGGTGAAGACGAATTGAACGGTTTTTGCTAGTAAAAAGTTCTTTAAAAGGCTCCGATTCCGCACCAAAGTGTAGTTAAGAAAATAGTTTATCGGGTTTCGTAACCAGAGCCGAGAAAATCGCACGAAAAATGCATGCAAAGCGCGATTGAAAATTTTACTTTGTGTGTAGCCGAGGCGCACGCACACGCACTCAACACACTCGTACAAACACACACGGACTGAGAGACGGAGATAAACGCAGCGATGGCCTCGCATTTTTACTTGAACATATAAAAGCTCATATAGCTGGTATATTGGAGAAGCAGAAGGAGCGCATATAACCATACAGAATCAGGTGCATACTCTTTTCAAGGATACCAGCCACAGCCACAGGCACAGTCAGCCAGATACGGGCCGTAATTAGCTGGCGTCCTCTCTTTCTCCTCTGGAATAATTGTCGTCCACTTCCATGGACGAAATCGAAATCGATTCAATGGCAGCACAGGCGAACAAAAGCGGAATTATGTGCATTTTTAAATTGTGTCTACTTTTGGGGTATTCCTCTGTGTGTGTGTGCCTGTAATTATGAGAACCAGAAAGAAGCAACTGCGGTGATATGAACACAAAAAAAACTCTGGCCAAGATCACTGACATTAACATACACACAGCACAGGTTATCGCACTAGCAGTCAGAAATAAAAAATACTACTGACTCTGAAAAGAAAGTGCAGGTAGAATTATCACTGCAGTGTACAAGAAATGTCTTCGATCTGTATGTATTGGACACACGAGTGTATTCGCTCGTACATCATCCTAATATCCGGTTTTCCTTTATGTACTCAAGTGTGTGTTTCTGCTAGGATATCAAAATCGTCCAATAAATGAACCCAGATCGGTAATTAGGCTGCGGGAGTTGTATTATTTTACCCGCAGGTGTTGCAACCTGCGGGCAGCGCAGAAGAGGTTCGCCTCCGCTAGTGAAATTAGTGTTTAATTGTGAAATTTAAACGCATTCATTAAGTGACTTCGTGCTCCACGCACTTTCTGCTCTTTGGAGCTCACATTTTCGGGTGTTCGGTGTGTGTGCTCTCGTGTGTGTGTCCAGTGTGTGTGTGTGTAACCTTTGCAAAGGAAAAATCAATAGCAACAGACGTAGACATTTGTTTGCCGCTGTTTAAACATGGGTACATCTACATGTGCCGTGTACAGCCCTCCATCCCTTGGACAGGAGCACGGGCACGAGCAGCAACCCTTGCAGACCCCCAGCTCAGACGGGCATGCCAAAAATTAAAATACAAAAAAAATAAACAGCCGAGCAAACAATAAATATGCTATAAATAAAAGCAAAAGTTCGCGATTCCCGCAAACAAAAAAAAAAAGTAAATGAGAAAAAAAGACCAGAGGAACCCATAACTCGTCATCGGGCCGGGTCGTTGCCTCTTCCTCTGTTTCTCCCTCTGCTGCTATATATGCCACTGCGTCTTCCTGTGACTCTTGCCCATTGCCCAGTACTCCCCAAGCGGCTGAAGTTGAAAAAAGCTGCTCCAGAAGTTGTCTCAGTCTCAGTATCAGTCCCACCTCACACCTCAGTCTTCTCTTCGATGACCAGCATTCCAATCCGCCACTTCCATGCTGCTCCCACTTGGAAACTACCGACTCGTCACACTGCATTCAATATTTGTCTGAATACACATGTCCTTAATATGCGGGGTATGTGTGTGTTTTGTGTCTTGGGGCAGGCTATTGCGTTTGAAAAGTAATATTTGTAGCTACTTGGGCATTCATGAAAGGAGTAACTTGATTAGGAAACACATTTAGTAACCACTAAGTGATTAAGTTAGTACGAGTGACTCACAGACTTAAAGTTTGATGAATATTTTAGTACATTTGGTCAGGAGTTTTGCTAAAATACTGTTTTCCAATAGACTTTATTGATTTTTCGATGCAAACCAGGCTTGTGGTTGGGGCTGAACTCCCCACTCATGTCAAGATTTAGCTTCACGCATTCCTTGCCAACCGATCCGACGGATCGCTGGGCTGCGCATTCTTGGTGTATCAACTTACTCACCGCGGGGCTGATATCGGAGCATAGATTGGAGCACTGGCGCTGGCACGAGTGACTCCACAAACTGAAATTCTTTTTTGTTCTCGGTTGCAGCTCGCACGAGTCGGATCACCAGAGGATTCAGAGCACAATGGCCGCCCCACCAAGGAGAGAAACGGTTTTATGACTTTGAGCGGCAGCGAACCGAGTGATCCGTCGCACTAGAGACCGAAGCCAGCCCTCCAAGAGAGCAGAGGAACAGAACTAAATAGTTACCACTGAGATTCAGCATTCTGCCCAAGAAGCATCTGCCAAGATGGTCGACAACAGTGTCCAGTGCCCCGTGTGCACCCTGTACCTGCATGCGGGCATGAATCTCTCCGATCACTTGGAGACTCATCCCAAGGAGCAGGTGATCAAGGCACTGGTGCAAATGACGATCGTAGGGCCTGGATCCGGGAGCGGCGGCAGTGCCCTGGCGGCCGCAATGCTGGCAGGAGCTGGAGGCGGTGGAGGATCAGGTGGTAGTGCAGCGAGTAGTGTTGACACCATCGCGGTAGATGACAAAACAGCTATTTCGCCTTTGAATGCCGAAGTGAAACCAGTTGTGACAGCCAAATCCATATCAGCTGGAACGCCAGCGGTGCAGACGCAGACGCCGCCGCCGCCACCGCCGCTCTCCTCAGCTCTACCAACGCCCGCCACCACCTCTACCTCCGCCGCAAACAGCTCCAAATCCCCAAATAGCAACAAACTGAGCAATCCACCGATAAAAGCACTGAAAAGCGCACCGCCCCCGACTGAGGCGCGAGCCAACACATCCGCACATCCCACCACAAGCAGCATGTCCAGTAGTCTGTACCAGCCAACGCTGGTTACCCCGGATTACCGCTTCAATCACCCACAGCAGCAACAGATGTTTGGGCGTGGCGGCAATGCTCCGACAGCCACACTGGTGATTCCCCAAGTGCCCCAGCAGCACTTCCTCGCCAACTCCCAGCAACAGGCACACTTCTCCCATCAGCAACAGCAACAGCCGTCGACGCAACACCAGCCTCCACAGCAGCAGCAACAGCAGCCGGCCTTGAAATACACCTACGCCACTGCTTTGCCGCCGCCACCGCCGCTGCAGGTTCGCTCAGCCTTCGTATAGTTCGTCCTTGACACTTAAACACTTTCCTTCTCTTGCAGCTCTTCACGCAGCAGCAGGCCCTGCCGGCACCTGCAACGCAAACCAATTCGCCGCCACACGTGAAACCTCCGCCCGCCTATGGAGCCGCTATCAGTCAAATACGATCTCAGCACAACCAAAACAAACAGCAGCCGCAGCAACAACAGCTGCAGCCGCAACCCCCACACGTAACCGTGCACCACAATCACACTCTAACCCTGACACCACCGACACCAGCCGCGGCATCATCAGTAGGACCGGCAGCTGGCAAGCAGCTTGTTTCTAGCAAAGCCCATACGGAAGTTTTCCTGAATCCCCCACCACCGCCGTCGCAAGCACAGATCCAGAATCTGGGCCATCAGCAGAATCCAAACTTAAACACGCATGCTAACCCCCAGCTTCTGGGAACATCGCCCTCCGGCAGACTACATCCGCAGCATCAGCCCCTCGGCTTGCAGGCCTATGCCTCTGGCTCAGGAGCCAGCAGCAGCTGCAGCTCCTCGCTCTCGCTGTCGGTTGGTGCATCCAGCTCCACATCGGGCAGCATTCGCGGCCATCGTCAGACCAACTCGCCCTTCGGGGCATTGCTTAATGCTGCTGCGGCGGTTGCCTGCCCTTCGCCTGCCTCGTCCACGGCATCTTCGTCAGTGCTGCGCTACGCAGAGTCGCCGGTGGCCCATTACTTGGAACGCGAGAACGGGGACTTCATTGTCCAAGAGACTCCCAAGCACATTGTGGAGTGCGTGGAGAAGGAAGATGGCGAGTTTTCGGTGATTGAGCGCATATACCAGTCTCCGCCGAGCGTCCTGCATATCCACGATGAGGACGAGGACGATGAGGAGGAGGAGGACGCTGAAGACGCCCACGAGGCGCCGCTGGAGGACGATGACGGGGATGATGAGCGAGAGGAGAACAGTCGAAGTCGCACCAAGGCAACCAAGAAGTCCCGAAAGACGAAGTCGAAGCGAAACTCAAAGCGTCTGTCTGACGATGAGGAGTTCATGAGCATCAGCAGTGGCTGCGAAAGTGAGCCCGAACGGGAGCGGAAAAAGGATCATCAGACCGCGAACTCTACAACGTCTTCCCTCCCACCCTTAAGCACGGCTCCCTCAACGAGTAGGGCGGCTGCGACGGCCACATCGCCATCCAATACAGCGGAAAATCATTCCAGTTCTGCTTCAAATTCCATATCCGCCAGCACCACCACCAAATCCAAGAAGAACCGGATTACAGTGCTCAGCGACGTTCCGCTCAACATGAACGAGTACCTCGATCTAATGGGAAACATTGTGGCCTCCAGTCGCATTGGGGCGGCTCGTCCCTTTGCCGCCGTGGCTCCGATTCCGTTGGTCAAGGTGGAAAAGGAGGAGCCGCTGGATGAATATGACAATGAAGCTGAGCAGCAGCAGCAGCTGGAGCAGAAGCCCAGTCTGGAGCACGGCACCACTAGCGTAATTCGAATGGCCAGTACGTCGGTGGCGGCCACATCCGTTTCCGCCGAGGACCTAACGCAGCCGCCACCCATGAAAGTGGAAGTAGATCCCAACACCAAGCTCCTGCCGCAGCGCTTCTCTACTCCCGCCCAGCAACTGCGAGGGCCCAAGAAATTAGTCATTAAACCAAAGGCGACGGCGACGGCAACGGCGACAGCTCCAGCGACGAAAAAGACTGACACCCCATCTTCCTCCAGCAGCAGCAACAGCAGTAGCAGCAGCAGCCACAACCCAACCATATCAAAGGATTTGGTGCAAGTAAAGAGTGAAAGCCTAGAGGCTCCAGCGAGCAGTAGCATTCTGGAAAAGCACCTGACCACCAACAGCGGCCGCAAGCTGCTGCATCATTCGGCGGCGAATGACGATGATGCCCGCGTCCTGCTGGAGTTCGCCAACTCCAAGCAACCACCTCCGTTGGCTGCCGCTAGCACCACTTTTGTGGTGAACGCCAATACTGGATTCCCCTCGGCCGGATCCGTTTTCGCCAGCACCTCCAAATCAGCAGCTTTAAGCAAACCAGAAGATGAGTACATTCTTCCAGACAACAACAACCTAGATGTGGATGAGATTGTGATATCCTCGTCGTCTTCCTACGCTTCCTCGGCGGCGCAGGTGCAGGCCGCGCTCCAACCGCCGGACTTCAACTTCCTGTACCACCAGCAGACCACCAGCACTACCACAGTCACCACCGGTGCATACTTCAATGCCTTCTCCAAACAGCAGAATCTCCAGCAACATGGAGCGAGCGACGCCACCAATGCAGCCACTCTGGCCTCATCTTCGAGCAATTCCATGGACCACGACTCGATGAACGCCACATTCCGCGTGGCTAAGACTCAATCGCAGTCCTGGTATCAGCAGGAGCACGACCAGGATGCACATAATCAAGGTGGCGTGGGAGCCGGATCTGGTGCGGCTTCTGGTAATCAGGGTCACGATGTTGTGGCCCAGCCGACTAACTTCAATGCTGCCCTAGCGTCCGTCGATTGCTGTAGTGTGGCGTTGGACGGAGATGCCAAATATCTGGATCTGGACGCCTGCAAGCGGGAGCAGCTGAGCAGCAGCAACTTGCCCTCGGCCTCCGCCTCCACTTCGACCACATCGTCATCGTTCGCTGGAGCTGGCACGGAAAGCAGCTTGGTGGGCGGCTTGAACATTCGTACAGATGAGAAGATGCCCGCCAAGGGTGAAATCTCGGAGCAGGAAAGCAACTGCGATGTAGAAAACTCGTGGAGCGAATCGGTAATTATTCCATTCATGTTTGGTAACAAGGATCTTACTCAAATGTACTTGTAACCTTCCAGGTATACGGCGATATTTCACAGCGGTACTTTAGAAATCAGTTTTCCGGAGGATACAATCCAGAATGGCGGCAGGACTACTTTCCCACTCATGATCTAAGCGGTCAGCCACGAGAGCAAAAGCAGTAAGTCTTGGGAGTTTTAGGAAAAAAAGGAATCATTTATATCTTTGTTTTCCAGTTTCGACTTCAATGCACTTGATGACGAGGCCTCATCGAGCTCTAGGAAGAGCGATCTGTTGGACATTGACCCTACGGCGGGCACCTCCATTTGTACTTCCACGTCTTCGGCTTTGCTGGCTGGTCCACCCATAGCCTCGACTTCGCGGGCTGCTGCCGAGGCGGAGGCGGCTGCCATGGCCATCGCCCAAAGGAAACAGAATCGGCGCAAGCTCTACAAATGCCCCCACTGTGCGTCCATCTTCGAGAAACTGAAGGATCGGAATGCGCACATGATCGGAGAGCATAACTATGTGCGTCAGAACCGTCGGCTCATCTGCACCCAACCGCAGGTGGCAGGTTCCGAGATGCTCCCACCCCAGCAGCAAACAATGCTCCTGCCACCGGCCGAGGGGAGTGCACTTCAAGAGGACTCCAAAGACGGCATTGTGAAAATCAAGCAGGAACAATGCCAAGATAAGACGGATGTGGAGCAAATGCACCAAAACTCCGAACTGCTGACAGACGTCAAGGACTCGGAACTGCTGGGAATCGGGGATGCTGATGGAGACGAGGATGGCGAGGGCGATTTCAAGCCGCCCAGTCAACTGGACGAAAAGATCGTACTACCACCGCTGGCCATGACTACTCCGGCTGCTAAGCTAGCAGCGCTCTATCGGATGCTCATCGCTTACAATGAGTCCAAGCTGGGCCAAGAGCGGAACAACCTCAACGAGCTGGAGCAGAAGGCCATGGAGAAGTCAATCTTCCTGTGCTACGTCTGCCGCACCGACTTTCCGTCAGTGAAGCTGTACGATGCCCATCTCACCGAGCACCCGGCCGAGTGCTTCACCTGCGGCAAGAAGTTCTACCGCTGGAAGAACTTTTCACTGCATCTCAAGCGCCATCTCGGGTGGAAGGAGTTCGGCTGCTACGTCTGCGACAAGAAATTCGTAGTACGCAGTGCTCTGGTCGAGCACATGCGGATGCATACGGGCCAAACGCCTCTCAAGTGCAAGATATGCGGTAAGTGAATGATTATTTATGAAGTTCTATCTATTTATGAAGTAATATTACCTATCCATCCACATCCTCACAGGCAAGAAGTTTAAACGGTACTCGAATCTAACACAGCACCGGAAAAGGCACACCAAGATGATACTGCGCAAGAAGGAGTACGTGTGCCACTGTGGGGAGGTGCTGCCCTCGAAGGCGCGCTTCCTGTGGCACAAGGAAACGCACGATCTGAAGCCAAAGTGCTGTCCCTATTGCTGCGATCGATTCGTGCATGCGAACTCGCTGCGACGCCACATTCGTCTGGCGCACTCGGAAAAATTCGATTACTCCGAGCCGATAGAGTGCCCGATGTGCAAGCAGACCTTCGCCAAAACCTCGATCAAGGCCCACATGGCGACGCATTCGACGGATCCCCAGTACGACTGTACCATCTGCAACAAGAGCTTCTCCACCAAGTGGAACCTCAAGATCCACTCGTGGGTACATGCCAACCGAACGGCCAAGCCTTTCAAGTGCGAGTACTGCCCGAAGGCGTTTGTGCGCGAGCTGGACTTCAAGAACCACATCAACGCGCACAAGCAGATCAAGCCGTACACGTGCGAGTACTGCGGCTGTAAGTTCATCCGCAAGTACAACTACATGCGGCATCGGCGCGAGCACCACGGAACCAAGAAGTTCACATGCGACCAGTGCGACAAGACCTTCCACCGGCACTACTATCTCGTCGAGCACCGGCGCATGCACACCGGCGAGCGACCCTTCACCTGCACCATTTGTGGCAAGAGCTCCACCACCAAGACCAACCACAACAAGCATCTGAAGATCCATCACTCGCGCGACCCCTTTACTGTCGAGGTCTAATCGAACTAACGTTTAATCTAACCATTAACTAGGTAGTTGTTCATGATTCTTCTATGTGTGTACTGTGTGTATGTGGTTATAACAAAGAAAACAAAACAAATTAGTATTACTTATCGAACTATACGGATAGTTTACATATATGCGAATGCCAACTCTTGTTGAATGGAAAACGAACAAGAATCACGATTATCACAATAATTACATTTTACTCATCGTACATATTTTGGATGTGGTCTAAGAAAGTAGCTAAATGTGAAAGTGTTCCCCTTCACTTCCGTTTCCTCCCGATTCGAATCGTATTCGTTTCGCCCGCTTTAATCCCATTTAGTTTAAGTTTTAGTTTTAAACACACTTTAGTGAAATGGCATACCTAGTTCAGTGCAATATACATCGATTAATTCATATGTCGCGATACTTTCATTAATGTAGCCTAGTTCGCTTTAAGTTTTATCACTTATATATCCCCTATTGTGCATGCCCATGCCTGCAGACTAGTTAATTTAAGTTAGCCGCAATTGGTTTTTAAACATTCGAGTTCTCCCTCGGCTCGAGCACATTTTGAGCGAGCAACACACACGAACACACACTGAAAACGAATACCCATCTATAACTTGTTATATATTTTGTATTTTTCTAATGAGGAGGCGGATGCGGATGCGGATGCGAACCAATCCCCTCTGCCAGCATTCGAACATAAGCGAACACAACTGTCATATTGGATAAACAAATTTCGATGTACGTAGCATATTCTTCATTTATAGTAGTTGCAACTTCTCTAGGCTATTTTAAAGGATTGTTTCAATGGTTTAAACTTTAAAGCAGTAATTAGTTAAAATTTCTAGCTTGTAAGTAACACACATCTTTTAAGTATAAAACAAACTTCATAATACCATGCATCCGTGCTAAATAATAACGAAACAAATGAAAACAAATTTTAAATATTTACAACTTACATTACAAATTTCAATGAGATCTAATGGAAGGAAGCTCATTCTATGGAAGAAATAAATTCAATTTATGGATAATTAAAAAGCCCTGCTATTTTTTATTTGCCTGGGTTTTGGGCGAAAATGTATCAGAACCAGGACAAATGCCCCTTGAGGTAAGCGGTAGGTAAAAGATTACAAAAAGGTATTTTTGCACAAGGAAACCCATGATCCGTCTATTTAATAATGAGCACAGGAGCATCGAGCAGGAGAGACGGCGGGCGAGGCAATCCCCACCAGCCCACACTCGCGCCCGTTATGAGGGTGCTGGCGGCAACCTCGATTCAACCAAAAGGGTAGAGGCCAAGGAGAGGTCGCTCACAGCCTGGCAGGAGTGCTGCGACACATCGACGAAGGCGTCTCTTCACCGTACACCCTCATTCCTATTCCCTTAGGATGTGGGAGCATCGAAGCCACAGGCAGGTTGACTTTTACCTGATCCAAGTCCTGATTGGGCATGGCTGCTTCAAACAATACCTTTTTTTTTATTTTGTAATAGCAGGATAAAGTTTATTTAAAACTGTCCTTTAGGGACAACCATTAAATGTTATCACATAAACATCACTTATAGATAATTTAACATATTAATATGGTAGAAATAAATTAGAGTAGTAAGGGGAGGTCCAGCGGGTGTGTCCTTTTTAGTCTTCTGGGCTGCTCGCTGTTGTCGAGCAGGGAGCTGGCCAATACCTGAATCGTTTCGGCCACGATGAGGAGGACTTGTGCCCGGAGTGCGGGAGCTCTGTCGTCGAGGACGTCAAGCATATAGTCTTTGAGTGCCGTCGGTGACGTAAGCGCCACCGGCTGGACACGACGGCGGGCCGCTCAGTCCATCCAGGAAACCTTGTGGGGGTCACGCTGAAGAATCAGGGAATCAGGGGCTCCGGGACGCAGTAGCATCCTTTGCTGCAGCGATCATGCAGAGTCTCAGGAGCATCGAGCAGGAGAGACGGTAGTTTGGAGAGTGAGGGCCAGCGGCGGGCAAAGCAATCTCCGCCAACCCCAGTTTCCCATATCTGTCTGTTATTTATAATTGTTACCGAGTAAATAAAAGCAACATATATAAAAAAAAATCCCAAAGGAACACTCTCGATGTTATTGGTATCTTTGCTTTGTTTCACTGAATTTATTGTTCGACGTGATTGCCCGAGCCCAGAAATAGTTCAAATAGCATACAAACTTTATAAAACCTTTACTTTGAGGCCTCTTTGTAAAAAAACAACTTACTCCCTGTTCTCGACGGACTCCGCATTGGATCCTTGCTGCTCCTCCTGGGTTTCCGCTCGGCTCCGCCGTCGGCGTGCCGCTTCTGTCGCTGCTGCTGCTGCAACGATCCGTCGTCGCCGTTGATGGATGCTCCGTCGCCGGCACCTAATCCAAGTTGGCTCCCAATAGGCACACCGCGCAGGCATACGCCGGGGAGGATCCACTATTCTGGTTTCTGGCAGCCGGACTAGGGCACGAGGGCAACGGAGCAGTAGCAGCGACAATAGCAAGAGAAACGGCCATCAATGTAATATTTCAAACAAATATATAAAAAAATATTTATATATTTCATATTTCAATATTTCAATTTATTGCAGAATTTGACCTAATTAAAAATATTCCTACTATGTGTAACGAACACTCAACCTTGTGAGGTGGCATCTTTGGATCACCGGCTGAGAGAAGGGGTTGCACGCGGTTGCCAGCTAGGTCTCGTCGGCTAATGGGTGGGTCATATAGGGCCCCCTCTCTCTCCCTGATGCCTGCCTCAGAGATCATAAATTAGATCAAGGGATGAATGCGTGCACGGCCTCTCGAACTGCGAAGGCCTAACATAGTCCTCTCAAAACAGATTTTATCTAGATCCTCAAGATCCTCGAGGCAATCGTTCACTTGGTGGGCCCCCTTCGGCCAGGAATCGGACGATGCGGTAGATTACCGACCGGAATGTTCCGTGTCGCTTCTATTGGCTCTATGTGAAACTACTAGTACTCACTCACCCCTTTCATCCGCGACGAGCTGGTTGAAGCGCTTCCACGTGCTCGAAGCTGGAAAGGAATAATATTACGGGAAAGCTTTCGCCAACCCGTTCACACAACAAAATATTCACTTAGCTAGCCAAACGAAGCCTTTATTCGGAACGGAACCCTCCGCTCACCAACTCCGCACGGTTCTTTGTGGCACCACGAGGCCACCAGATGGACTGATTTCACTCCCCTTTTCTGCGGCGGAGCGTTCCTTAAAAGCGCCTCAAACGCTCCAAGCCTAGCTCCCGAGCTTGCTCGCCTCAGACCACAACCAGCTCTAGCTCCTCCGGCGACTGCTCCGACCGTGCTCTCCGGTAGGAACCCCATCCTCTCACGGCCGCGCCTCGTGGACGGTTTCGTGCCGCGCACCGTCTCGATTTTCGCCGTCGACTGCTCCACTGGGAACCTCGCACGACTCCAACGTCTCTCCTTACGACCGCCCCGTACTCCTTGTACCAGGCCCTCCGTTCTAAAAAGCCAAAATTATACATCAGACCCGATCGACCCTGACCTAACCTAACACACTCACCGCCACTACGATCCGTGACCTGCCTCACTTTAGCGCCGACCCTTTGGCGCGTCTGCCAACAAGCTGCGCTTCGGTTTTGCTGTTGTGATTTGCTGGTGATTTCCGAATGTGCTTGTTCTCCACCTTGCTTGTGCGCTTCCCACGTAAATTTTCCTGCTTTAATTGGATGAACTTTCTTGGGTCACGCCAGAAACGAAAAAGTGCTGTACCCGCGCGGATTTCTACGTCTAGCTTCCAGCTTCCAATAACCGATTCAATCCGTTAGCCAGACCCTAGACTCCGGCAACGCCTAACGCCTTGCTATGGTCCTACTACGGCAAAAGGTACCCAGATCGGTTGCCATCTCCCCTCCCCGGGGCTGCCACCTACACCGATCTAACGCCGACGTTACATATGTCTCATTAAAAGTTTCAAATCTCTGGTGCACTCATAACACAGCCGAATTTTGAGCCAACTGATAACTGATATAAGTAGAATTCATCTCACAAAATTTTAGTCAACGTTTAGCGGGCAGCAGTTCCATACGCTCCTCGTCCTAATATTAAAAATAAAATACATTTAAATCGCACATCCTTGAAAAACAAGGATGAATTTTACAAATGGAATAGTACTGCTTCTAAGTGTCGTGAAACATCAAAGCGAATTCGACACAAAAGTTAATTTCCCGCAGCTCAATATCGCAATAGAAGATATTAATAACGCCATGGGAGATTATCATGGCAACGCTCAAAAAAATGTACGTGAGGCAGCGCGTTTAAATAAAGATGCTCAATCATCTTATCATAAATCGGTTGGCCCGGTATACGACTGGTGTGGGGAGGCTATTGACAATTTCAACGTTATCCTTCCCCATATAAAAAAAGAAAAAGTGTCAGATGAAGATAAGGACTTCATATGGAAGAAAACTGTGACTACCATAAACGATGGACTCAAAAGAACTTCAAAATCATTGAAACAATTGAACGACGTTCAACATACATCATCCAAAGTGAAGAATTTACTTTCAACCATTTTGCATGAAACGCACAAAGATTTTGGTTGGTACGGATATTACGGAAGAAGAAAAATTGATATCCAAAGGAATATAGACAAATATTCGCAATTCTTAGAAGAGGGTTATTATGTGTCATTCATTCCGCTTGCAAATATTGTTAATTTGGTTTTTGAACGTTTTGTAAAAAGCGAGAAAAATCTAGAGCTAGCTAAAAATCAAAAATGGGATATTGAACACAAGTTTAATAAAATCATACCTAAAATCAAAAACGCTACTCAAGTAGCAGAAACGTTAGTTATTCCCTATTTGGAAGAGGATATAACGAACTTGTTTGTCCTTAGGGGCAACGCTGGTAATGTGGACAACGTAAGTTAATAAATATTTTATAAATATTGAAAAGATATATATTTAAATGAATTATTTTAGCAAAACCCACTCTTAAAAATGGAAAGTCTGACTCTTCGGACATCATTGGCGGCTCCCATTCAGGATTTGATTAACCAATGCAGTAAATACAGGGCGTGGCATGAAAAAAATTAGGTCCATGAACGCGACATTAATGCGAGTAGTCCTTTAAAGTCCTTTTAATCAAAAAATTGGTTCTTTTTAATTTTAATAACTTTTAATCGAATATTACTAAAAAATATTTACACAAAAATTTGTCTTCTTTGTTTTTTTAATGAATGAATTTGCCTAAATATAAAAATTCCGCTAAAGCCGTTCTTTCTTGTTTTTAGTTTCATATGCCAAAAGCCATAATATAATTTTCGTTTAGCTAGGAGTCAGGGCAACTGGAACTCGTTTAGTCCTTTCTGATGGTAGCATCATCAGCAGCAGGCAGCTTTTCGCAGGCACCGAGCAGGACGATGGGACGAGGACGAGCGTAGTGCTGCTGAATGTGGTTGGCCTATTTGTTAATGGGCCTGATCACAAAATCGGACACCAGAAGGAATAATCGCCCTGTTGTTCCCTGCTGGCCGGTCTCATATCCATCACCGGATGACCGTTCGTGTCATCATATTCGAAGCAGAACGGGCTACGCCATTGACACTGACGTTGTTTTAACCTATTTTTTTTTTATTAGAAAATGAAAAATATTGACACCCCTATATACATTTTTTTAAATAAAATCTGATTTTACTACCTACTTCCCAGGCAGTCTTTTTTCTGAAAGGATTTCCTTTTTCTGGGTATGATTAGCCTCATCCACGAGGCTTTTTTTGGGTTACAAAATCGGAATCGGAATAATCGCCGCAAAAGTTTCAGCCTTTAGCTTCTTGATATTTTTAGTCAACTGGTGTCTTCTGGTTGACCAGTTCCAACAGGGCCATCACTGCGCTGCAGGAGTGTGTGGGGTGCCCCGCTGGCCACATCCTCCAGAACACATCACAGGGACTAGTAATTAACCCAGATTATTTTCAGTAAATTTTTTTTTGCCATCTGCTCCAAGCTGGTCATGATGTGCGCCGTTGTGAAAGCTCTGATCGATCACCTTGAAGCTGAAGACCACCGCTAAGGTGTTCCTGTAAAAAGGCCTTGTCTCGGTCCGCCGAGGGAGCTATGGTGGCCATGGAAATGAGAATCAGCTAAAGTAGAAAAAAAATAGTTGGATTCATTTTAAGGAATACTCAGACGAATATCTGAAACTTTCCCTTCAGACTTCAACTGTCACCAATGTTCATAGCCCGGCACTGGAGCAGGATGACGATTGAAGTCATCCGTGGGCGAAAACCAACATGGACAGAACCAACCAGCAACAGGAATAGGGGAAAATAGTTGCCAAAATGGAAATAATCGAGTAACAGGATGCGCATTTAGCCAGCCAGCTAAACAGGATTAGCCAGGAGCTTACCCTCTTGGGTGGTCACAGTGGTCAGCGAGAACGTCGAAGAAATTATATCCAGCGATTTACTGCTCTTATCAGAGAATACCAGATCACATCTTACCAGAGAATATTCTGGAGAACATTCCATAAAAATTCATTCTATTCATGAAAAAAAACACTACGAAGAATTTGCGACGATTTTTTTTTCTGGGAAGAGTCTCTGAATTCCCCATCACAATAGTAAGACATTTTAATCTTAATTGACTAACAAAGATCAGAGATGAAAACGGCACAACAAATGAAGAATCATTTATTGTGAATCATTTTTATGAAGAATCACATTTTATTATGATATTCTCATAAGAATCGGCCAACTATATCCGATGTTTGCTATATATATCCGGATTTAACTTCCGCTCCGCCCGAAGATTGCTTTCCTTTCTGGTTATAATATTAAACATGGGTGAAACTTAGGTTTAAATGATTTAATTCGAAAGAAAGTATTTAAATGATATATATAAAAGGGACAAATTAAATGGATACATATTCTCTTATGTAATTTTAAATAACGTAAATGGATAAACAAAAATTGCGTACTATCGCAGTTCCCTGAGTAAGTTATGGTTTGTAATAATTATAAAAAATGAGTTAGGTTTTTTTACTTATTAGCTTTCTTTATGAACATCCAGCTATCGATTAGAGCTTGGTATAAGAGCTTCTTTTTGTTCTTGCTTTCAAATAGATCCACTTCGATTTGGTCGTATCCCTCGTCGGAGCAATCGCTCCTATTAGCATGGTAGTTCTTTGGGTAGTGAACCCGGGCAAAAATATCGGTGTATTTACAGAGGCATGCCTTCAAAGCCTGCACCACGGTCTTTCCCTTGAAATTCCTATTCATTTTTATGTTGTGCAACTTAACGCGGAACGAGCGCAACGGAAACATGCGCAGTTGTTCTGGCATCACCTTAAGATGACTGTAGGGAACACTTTCGGTGTCGTGGAAATCGATGTAGAATACGGTGGCCTGGTTAGTACCGGGCTGAACCTCTTCTATGGTGCCACGGTACCACTTCTTGTCCTTTGAGTACCTTGCCAGGCACAAGTCCCCTAGCTTAGGAATAAGAGGCTCTGACATACTGATTAGAGCGCTAGTTTCGTGGAGCAAGTTAATGTCGTGCTTGGTGAACTCGGAGAGGCGCGGTGAGATCTGTAGCTCAGTGGCAGACAGGACGTTGTCCACGGTGCACATAAACTGCTTGACGCCGGTGGGAAGATGGAGCGTCTTAAAACTGCTTCCAGCTTGGTACAATGACCTGACAGTAGATGTATCCATGGGTGAGAAGCACGCTTGTTGGCTCATATCCTGGAAAGTATTCTGTAATTAGTTTAAAATCTTACATTCTTCAATTGGGAAACCTACCTCTTGATGCAACTCGATACGTCGCTTAAGTTGATTAGATACGATGTCCACAGATTGGACGTTTGTTGGGTTTATTTCAGAATCACTCACATTAGTGAATTCTTCCTCAACAACAACGTCCCGATCGTCCTCATCGTTTAAAGATACAGAGTCCTCGTCTTCATCAGAATCGCTATCACTATCGGGTATGAAATTGTTCATCCGGCGATGCGGAATATTAATGTTGTTGTACATTTCCAGGGCCGCCTCCTGGCAGTCAAAATCCTGGTCGCTCTCGAAAAGGTCCACCTCTCTGCGGTTCACTACGTACTTTTTCTTGGGTGGCGGGGGTCGGGCGGTAGAAACAGATTCATCTTTGCGTTGGGCCGGTTTCCCTTTTTTGACAATCACCGAGTCAATTCCAGCAGCCAGATTGTCTAGTTCCTCGAAAACCTTAAACTCCTCCAAAGCCTTTTTGGAGGGCATGTAAGTGGAATTTGGTCTTAAGGCATCGGTATCCACAGCTACTGCCATGCCGCACTCAATCATGAAAGTGGCAATGTCTTGATTGTTGACCTTGATTTGGCAAGATGGGATCTTGTTGGACTCGCCATCACTTCGCTCTATGACACGAATGCTACTTAGTTTCATTACAACCTGCTGGTGCAATGTGTCCATTTCTTTAACCGAATACTTGACGTTTTTTGGCTTTACGCCGTGCACGGAAACCTTCCAGCACATGGCATGCAACTTAGGGAACGGCGCATATGGCAGCATCTCGTATGCCGAGACTTGTTCCATGTTTCCGTAGTCCACATAGTATACGGTATACTGTTCATTTTGGTTTTGACGCTGTACAATTCCGCGATAAAGCAAATTATCCATGTGATAGCTGACCAGAACCGGCTGGCCCACCTCGTAGCTGAACGATGTTGATCTTTCGTGCTGCTTTTCCATCATTCCCAGGTATTCTTTAATCAGCAACCCGCGCATATGTTCCAAAAACGTTTTATCGGAGGCCAGACCCAAATATACGTTGCCCTCGTAGCTGACATTAGACGCAATGCCCGCGAAGATAGTTTTCTTGCAAGGACGTGGTGTTGTCCATGCCACGGGAGGCACTTTCTGGCCTGTCGAGGGCTTTGATTTACCCAAATCCTGTAGAAGTTCCATGGGCGGCATTTCCTCGTTGTGCTGGAAACCTCCATAGGGTCGTGGTGAGTCCACAGTCTCGTGATTGTTCACAACAACCTTATTGTCGATTTTATCCATTAAATTTTGCATAGCCTTAATGTCGCTGGTGTCGGTTGATGCTACTGAAGGGTCAATGCTAGCAATATCCTGCATCGATTCATCGGTATCATGATCCTCTATTGCGAATCCGGCCAATACAATGGTCTTGTTGATATTCACAAACGTTGTGCGAGCTGGTGAGAAGGGGCCAGGTATTTCGGTGCGAGCTCCCCAGAGGATAACACTCAAGGAATTCTCCGAGTGTCCACGCCCAGTGACATGGAGATTATGGTTGTAGGCACGAATTTGATCTTCAAAGAATTCTATTGCATTAGCAGACCATCCATTTCCAGGAGGACGAATTCCGTAAAGATGACAGCGTTTGGCACTATTGGAGATGCGCATGTTGCCTTCGTCGATATTGGCCATGCAGGTGCTGCTTACGTTTTCGACCTGTTCTCCCAAGTCTCTAAGCTGTACTTGGTAGCGTGGCAGCTGCGATTCGAATTCAGGAGTAAAGACTTTGGTAACAAGACCACGATGCCAGAGTAGGTCCTGATCCGACTGGGCCAAAACCTTCACGTAGCACATGTCGCCTATTTGCCAGTTCGTCTTAGGGACCTGGTCCCTGTACATCGCTGCGGCTGCAGCCTGTACTGTCTTTTTCAGTTCCTCGATTGCTGGTTGGAAATGGGGCAAGGTCAAGTAGAATTCATCCGGCTTACGAACATAGACTATATTAACCACTATGCGCTTATTGCGCTCCTTTTCGTCGGGACGTTGGAACGGAGTCAGCTCGACTGCCTTTGCCTTTTTCTTTTGCTGATCCAAGAACCTGCGGGTGTCAGCATCGAGGCCCGGAGACCGAGCCACATTAGATGGCCTGATCGCTTTGCTGCTTTCACCACTCGATGTGCAGTGCCCCATGGCCACCATTTGGACCCCAACACTCATGGTCGTTGACTCACCTTCGACAGAACGTGTGTAAGTCAAAGCCACATAGGCTAGGTCGTCGCTGTAATGTAGCACATCAACGTATAGTTTCGGATTTGAGGTAAGCTGCTTAAAGTAGTTTATTGCCTCTGGAGTCCACATGTAGTCCGTTTTCGGACGAGTCTCCACATCGGCAAGGCAGCACCTTATGGCCGCCTCGGAACTCCAGAAGTTTTGTGGTAGCACAAACAGCTGATCCCAATACACTTTTTTGGCGTGACCCTCGTCCACCAGGCGGATCATCACGTAACCTGTGAAGAGACTTTATTTTATTTATCCTTTATCACTGTGGAACGGACTCACCCGCGGACAAGATTTTCTCGACTCGGGCTCGTTTCCATACTCCATCCAATTGGACGGCACAAGCGAGGTGAACCAGCCCCAAGAAAAGGTTCTCCAGCTGGATATTGTCCATGCGACGCATGAACTCGTTCAAGTCTGTGCTGTGTCTGGAACGCTGGACCTCCCAGTTGTGATGCGTTATATAGAACTCCTGTGGATGTTCCACATGCTGCATTTGAACCATGAACAAGTCGCGGTACTGCAACGGGTATTTTTGCAATTGAAGGCGTTGCGGAGCAATGCGGCCAGTGACCGATCCCTTTCCGGTACGGGAGCGTGCCAGGCCAGCATATAAAAAAGACTCGCGAACCGAGATATCCATGGTGTTGTTTTTGACACGAAGGTCAACCTCATAAAAATCGGAGGATATACGTCTAATTTCGTGCAGCTTCACTGGGCTGCTATAAGAGAAAGTCATTTTTTGAGAGCGACTTCGAGTCAAGGCTGCTTTAAGGGATTACTTACTTTTGCACCACCAGCTTGAGGAATTCAGTAGCCCCGGAGTCCCATTTTGATGCTTCGTCTTTGGGAGCCAAATCCTTGAGGCGGCAGCGGGCAGCGGCATAGTCAATGTGAGCCAGGCTCTTTGGCAAATTATGAAAACTGTAAATAAATAAATTAATAAAAGTCAATGTATTTTATTTGTCATTTACTTACTTGCTGTTGTCAACCTCCAAATCGAAGCCCATATCGGGAAGATACACCTTGGACGTGTCTCTACCGGCTAGTTTCATAATGACCACGCTGCGATAGAAGCAGTCCTTATCCTGGTGATATGTAAGGTATTTCTGGCCCATCTCAATCACTGATGGCGCAGACGAACTGTTGTCGTCGAGCCTCTGGGCATAGCGTTCCAGTTCATCGCGAACTTTATGAGCGCCTTCAACATCCTGAAGGTAAAAATCTTCCGGCGACTTAATGAAAAGCAACTTCACCGAAGAACCCGGTTTTAGCCAGTCGTCGTTCCTTGAAGAAGATGTTGACGAACCCTTATTGAAGAAATCTTGAATATTTCTTGAGGAAGATGCTGGAAGATTGGCTATATCAAGAGCCGAGAAATTGTTGACAATGTATCGATCATTCGGCTGGGAGACGGAGAAACGACTGGACTGATATCCCTTCGAAGTTTTTCCCCGAAGGTTCTGGGGTGTCATCGAACGCTGAGATTGAGGTTTGCCGAAAAAGTGGCGAACATTCTCCTTCTCGCTGACGGAGCTCTGGGAAAAGGATTTGTCACCCATGCCGATCGGAAGGCGGTGGGATCGATGAAAGTCGAATTCAACTCGAATGTTAGGATCCACAAAAGTAAAGTTCAATGTATTGGTCAAGTCAATCGAATTGGTGATGAAACTGTAACAAAAATAATAACTAATATTGAAACAAATATTCAAATAAAAAACAAATAAACAAATAAATATTCTTTTTAATTTAACAAGTATTTGTTTTGTTTTCAAGCCAAAATTACAAAAATGTAACATATTCTATTCATTATATATTATAGTTTTTACCGATAGGAAGTTCCCTTATTTTTCTGTATTTCGACGGAGCTGGGGGTTTTCTCCAGGGTTTCGTATATAATCTTCAAAAAATTCTCCATAGAGACATTTTCAGGGACACGAGACTGAGTTTCAAGGCCGCTTTTCAGAATTTGTTTCAATTTCTAAAGGAAGAAAACAAGAAATTTTTGAATAAAACTCTTGAAGACTAAAGTATTATTTAAATGCTCACCAAAATAAGACTTTCGAAGGCTTTTAGTTTGCCCATTGCCTCGTTGAGTTCCATTTGGGGCGGCAGACTGCATTCGCGCAGCTTCTCGATGATCTGGAGTTCGGCCACCTGGAGCTGGCCGTGCAGGTGGCAAAAGTGCTTGGAAATGGTGGCCATCGCCTCGGAGGCATCGTCACTTTGCTCATGTTTAGCGGCGCGCACCGTCTGCGAGTTCAAGAAAAAAAGTGAAGGAAAATACCAGAAGTGGTCAGTACTGGATGATAGCCATGCAGATTAATAAGTTGTACATTCTAATGGCCAGCTAACCTAACCCCAGCGCCTCTCGAGGTGAATGGAATGGTCAGGCCAGCCGAGCGTCTCGGGTTTTAATTGTGAATTTCCCAATAGCTGACCATCGGTGGCAACTTCTTCTCATTGCAACCAGTTACGCTACTTTTTGGTTAAAATGGCTTTTACTTTTTTTTATAATGGCAATTTTAGGACAATAAGCTACTGAGAACTAGAGGTTTAGTTCTTATATACTATATATTTTAAGTCTATTTTACAATTTCTTTAAAAATAAAAAAAAAGCAACACTATTGGTTTCCTCTGTTCATCTCAACTGCAATCTTCTTTGCCGCATTTTGAGGGGCAATGATCATTATCAAAAAGATTGCTCGGCTGTTAGTTGGGTTTTTGAAAGTGATTGTAAAAATCACCAGAGTGCTACGGCTAGATAGCTCGGCTCGGATTGGACTGGATCGGATTGGGCTTATGACAGCTGATTTGTAGCAGATGACAGGCAAGTTCGCGCCAACGGGCCGTTCTTCCATAAAAGGGCATCCATCGCGCGATCCAATCTCAAGAGTTGTCGTGTAAATGAAACCATGTAGGAGCCCGAATCTGGCACATCATTAAAACGAAACTCGGATCGTTTTGTCAGTCAGTCCCGCTCCGGGCCATGTGGAGATCAACTCACTTGACCTTGTCAAGGGTTTTTATGCCTCGGCTGGGGTCTAACATCGACTCAGACATTTCTATTGTTTACCTTGTCTATCAAATGCCTGGCAGCACAGCCCGCCCGATTCAAATTGATATCCAGACCTCGCCAATTAGTTTTAATGGCCACGAAAATACTTTTCAATAATCTGTACTCGCTAAGCCCAATTTCGAATTATCGCAAACCAGCAGTAACCAGCCAGCTTCCTACACAGCCAGCATTAGAGAACTCTGCGAGTGGGCTAACAATAATAACAGTCGGGCAAAAATTAAGCAACCTGGCCAAGCCCGGCCTAAAAATCTGCTTCCTTCTGAGCTGGTTGAAGCTTAAGTCTCAAAAGACAACAAAATGGGCAAAAATAAAGAGGTGATTGGAGAGTCTGAAGAGAAATATACTTGGGTTTATCTGTTAATAATTTTCAATTAAATCATAAAATGTTTCTACTCCACATTGGAATAAAAAGTCGATAGTTATTACGTCAAAGGATATCCTTAATTTAATATTATAAAATATAATTAAGAAACATTAATCTTGCCTCCAGCTGATGCGTGATTAGTGACTGATCGTAAATTCACTGACCAAATATCAATCATTTTATAGTTGCCATCATTTTATTTATTTCGAGATAAATGCTGTCATAACTTGATCAGTGCAGCTCGAGAGCAGACATTGATTTAATATGCCTTTGGAGATTACATAACCTTGCGGCTCCGTTTGATAATCACTCAGAAAATGGATAATGACTATTTCAGCAGTTCTATGCACGACCAGTAAGCCCGACCAACACTCGGCAGAAACATTAAAACTATTAGTGTGCAATTAAAGTTACAAAAAACTAAGTAAATACAAATGCGATTATTAAACGCAATTCTCAACTGGAGCGAACATAGATTTTTGTTTAATAAACTTTGCGGTAAATAAGCCTCCAATCGCCAGCAGACAGCCAACAGTCAGTTCATTTTGGCCAGTTTATCAATTACAGACAATCGGACGACCGGCCGGACACGCAATTTGGTGGCGTTTTGTGCCGCCTCGTTAGCCAGCTTTCCGACTTGGCTACCTGCGTAATGCCCCGGCCCGGCCCGGCTCGGGGTTTGCCATTAATAATTGTTTCTCGTTTTATATAATACATAATTTGTGTACGCTTTTCTTATATTTATTTTTGCAATTAACCGTGGGGAAGCCAGCGATCAAACACACGTTTCTGCGCGATTCGACTCGGAGGGGGTGAAGCTAAGCTAATGTGATTATGATTTATGTGGGAGGCCTTGAGGTGCTGCCTACCGATATTACCCAAAACAAAAATATGATCGAATTGAGCTCCCCCTGAGTGACTGCTGTTGCCAGTAGCTTCAAGCAGCCAATTCGATCCGATCCGATCTGTCCATCTGAAGAAGGCTAATTGCGCATGCTGGTCGTCAAGGCACCAGCACCAAATAAATCAACTACCCTCACCCATACTACCACTCAGTAATATTTACTAGCTGCATTAAAATGCAGGCCCAGACCAGCAAATGAAAGAAACAAAAGGCAGTTGGGCGAAGAAGCGGCCATTTAGTCAAGAAGCCAAAGAGTTCCATCTACAAGGTCAACAGCATAGCTATTTGCACTCTAGAGGCTCTTGGCCAGTACACTTGTAAAAACAAGGAGGAAGACAAATATTTAGAGCTCAATTATTAACTAAAATGGGTTGATAATAAAGGTATTTGGAAATCAATTAAGAAAAAGGACCCTATATTGTCTAACTTGCCCATCACAAACAAAAACCAAGTAATATGAAAGGCCTCGAAAAAAAAACAATGTGTCACTTGGCAAAGAGTTTTCCGCTCTATTCAAAAATGCAAAAAAATTTATATTTTAGGAAAAAACTTAATTACATGATTAATTAGAAGCTGTGGCTTGGGTTCAATGTGCGCAGCAGCAGCATATTTTTTGTTCTTTTGGCGAAGGTTGCCCAAAATAGGGTTCGGGGCTCTCTCAACAGCGCCAGCAGTGATTCATCGACAATTGGCCATTGCGTAAGGCCCCTTGGCCAGATCGGAGCTAGAGTTAAAGCTAAAGCTATAGGTTCAGTCAGAGCTAGAGCTACAGCTAGAGCTAGAGCCTAGTGAGCTAGTTAGTTAGTACAATTAAAAGTAAGACAGACGAGTGCGCGCTCAAGTTAAACATTTATTTTTGGAGGCACGACAAACGAGTTCCAAGCCGAAAGCCACTCAAATCTAGACTCAGATCGGACCTAGCTGGAGCTGGAGAGTCGAGTGAATCTGGCCGTATCCAACTATTCAACCGCGATTGCAGTCAGTTGAGGTTGAAGCATCTGGTTGAACGGTTGCGCGTGCGCTGCTCAATAAATAGAAATAAACTGATTTTGGACTGATTTCCTGGCCCCGTAAGAATTGAAACACACCCGCAGCAGCAACGAAAAAAAAAAACTAAAAAATTGCAGGCCATAACAATAAAAAGTGAAACACAACTAGTGCGCCCGAAGAAGTGTGTCTACTGTAGGAGTTGAATTATCCCCGGTCGGTCACATTTGTGTTGTGCCATATTTGTGCCCCATTGTCTCAGAGAAAACCGAATCGAAAACCGAAAAAACTGAGGCAACTACTACTGCAATTGCAACTGCAACTTCGGTGGCAGCTACAACGTGAAGCACCCGCCCGCTATTTTGGCGGCCTCTTGGGCAATCGCTTCACATACGGGCTAACTCTTTTATAGGCCATGCAAATTTGAGGCAATCTCCGGCTTCGGTGTGGCTCCATTTTCCATTTTCCACTCCCTAACTTTGGCTGGGAAAAGAAAAGGCCAGAAATACCTAAAAGGAAAAGTAAACTAAACTCAATAACAATCCAGTGCACCAGCAGCAGGCAGCAGTATCTGTTGCTAATAAAAACAATCAAACGATTGATTGTAATTGTTTATAAAAGCGAAATTTAACGACTCGTTAGCTCGCTCAATGCGTTGCGGTTTTTTCTACCTTGTGGATTAATCTCAAGTGCATGAAAGTAAGTTTGTGCAAGTGCCGAGTTGTTGGTTTTGAAAAAGGTCAAAGCACAGCCTAAACGTAAATCACACCCAAGAAGGATTTACAACAAAGTATAACCCAACGAACAAAAAAAAAAGGAAAGGCAACGACACCAGCGGCAGACACAGCAGCAACATGTTGCCGAGGATAACTTTTGTATTCATCATCATTTGTGGATATTTATTATTTACTGGTAAGCTGTGAAGACAATCCCACCAACAATAAATCACAAATTCCCACAGTATTTATGCGACTTGCATGCTAAGTAGCAGGGTAGGTGATTTACTTGGGCATTCAGGCTTAATGCTCCTACATGAGGATGTAGTTGAAAAGGTTATATGTTTTATTTTCTTATAACAATAATTGGATTTTATTTTTAGAGGAAAAATCTATTCTATCATGCATTTTTTAATAAATTATCCAGGAATACTTCAGAATATAAAATATCATACGCATAGGAATTTGCAAATCAATCTTCTAGTGTCAAAATGATTGAGTGCCTTATAGCTTTCAAGTATTTGATTAAGTGTTTGATTTCCATCAGAGATATTTGAATTATTTATCCTTTTTTAAAAGCATAAATAAAGGTGTAAAATAAATACCATATCAAGCTCTAAATATGTGCTACCTTAAGAATGTTTTAAGTTAAATCCAATCAAATTCCACTTAAGAGATATAAATTGCAGCAGATTACATGACATCGCTGTCTACTTTGATGCACAATCCCCATGTAAGCCTTTCTGGAGACAGTTGACACTTAAATTAAATATTAAATAAATTATTAAACATTGAATGATCATCTATCTTTAAAGTAGAAATGTTACACCTCTAGAGTACCCACTGTACTTGGGTGACTTAATCCAAGTGGAGGCGGGATAAAATAAACGTTTTTTAAGGCGGCAGAGCGGACGACCGACCGGGCGCCTTGATGTGTCAAGCACAGGCTGACAAAACCGCAAGCCAAAACTGCGTTTTTTAGCGGCGTATGCTGCCGTGTTGGATTTTATTTTATGGCTCGCTTGTCTGGCTTTCAATCGGGCGGCAATAGAAGTCGCTGGCCACACGGCGTATGCGTAACTGCTGCCGTTGGGAAGAGTCTGGCCAAGTTGCACCATCTGCAGAGGCAGACCGACACGACACCATGCGAAATATTTGTATGTTTTATTAGCCTGGCGACGCAAAAGTTCAGGTTATTTATGAGCATGTATTGCGGCAATTCCATTTTGAAGTGTTGCCGCCTGGGAAGAATTTCCACAGCAACAACTGCATATGTAGGTTCAAGCATACCCAAAGTTACCAAAAATATATTTATATTCGGTTTCTGGTCTCATTCTAACACTGATTTGATCTTTCGTGCGCAGTCGGGATAGTTCTGTTTGGCATTTGACATTTGCATTGATTTGAAGGTTGCTTCAGTCCGCACCCCAAAAAAATAAAACCTAATGCTGCACGACATTTTGTGAGGCAAATGCAAAAAAAAAACTGAGAAACCAAAATATATGCACAGACAATAAAAAGCGAAATTAAGAGACCAAGTCGAAGGCTATGCGAACCAATCCGCCTTTTGCCGTCTGGCATCTTTGAAGTAACCATGTATTTTATATGAAGTCGGGGGGTCTACCTTCCGCTGTTTGCCATTTGAATGAGGTGCGATTTGTGCTCGCCTCTAATTAACAGTCGCTCTGTTTGGCATTGTGTTTGATTATTGCTTGGTTTTTAATAATCTTTTCATGTCAAAAGTTGTGCCCACACACCCCATTAAGTTATGGACTTAAAACAAGACAAAATGTCAATTGTTACCCTGTACAAGATTACGGGAAGGAGAGACCAACCAGACAAGCAATGTTTCTATCAAAACTCATAAAGTTATCCATAAATTATAGTGATAATGTTTTAAATTATTGTGTTTTTTAATAGAAGTTGTCCTTAACTTTTCTCTACAATTATAACCTTCACATATATAATTCTTGAGTTATGTGCATTCGATTTAAATATATAATTTGTAGATTTAAGTAAAAATACTTTTATTATTAGTTATTGAGTCACAGCCTTTTTAAGAAGCTATACAACTTTTCATAAAGTTCCTTCTAGGAGACAAAAATAACAAGAGACTACAATCTAAAATTTGAAAGTTGCCAGTAATGTCAGCAAACGCTTCATTTTGTGAATTCGAATTTGTGCAGTTGATGGAAGAAGAATGCGCCAGAGACCCTCCAGTCTCCAGTTAAAGCCCATCATCGGAGCCACAACGAATGGCTTCCCACTCACATTAGGTGAGCACAGCACAGCATCCGTCAAGCCACCGCGGCGTATACGTAATGCATGCCAACTAACTGGCAAATAACCTTTTAGCTGCTGTACAAGCACATCCGCTTTGGGCAGATAGATTGTCGGATAGATGCTTTGGCCAAGCGACCATTTGCCATTCGAATGCAAATGATTTTCAATTATTACGCTAGAGCCGGCCGATAAATGAGTAAATGCCTATGAGAAAACAAAAATTATTTCAAAGCGGAAACTTTTATGATAAAAAAAAAAGACAAATGCACATGTGGCGCATACTTCTTGACCACCATTCCGATATATTCGCAAGTGGGCTATAAGCTGCCGAATAGTTACCAGCCAGGTGGAGGAAATGACTTCGCCCCAACATTGCGGCACGCAATGCATTTTGCATTTTTATGCCGAAATTAATTGATTTATATGCATGGCTAACACAAATACAACAAACGCAAATTCTGAAGCGGAAAGCACAAAAATTTGACCCAATCCGGGATCCGGGGCACACACAAAAGATTTACCTGCACAAACATTTCGGCGCGTAAGTCAAACATTTGGCACACATGAGAAAACAATTTATGCGGCTGTCAGCCAACACATCGGCCCAAACAGCAAAACAGCCAAACAGCCGTACACTGCCCAGCTGACATATGCAAATGGCAAATAGCCTGGCCAAACACGGCCAAAAGGCTTTGGGAAACAAAGCGATAAGTTTGGCAAAAACAAAAAATTAGTGGAATGCCAAGCTCCGAGCTTCGAATCAGTGACAATTTGTCAGAAATTACCATATCACATTCATAAGCAAGGCATACGCATTCAAAGATGTATAAATTCTACTATACAATCAACTATGATATCTTGAACAGAATCCATTATGGCGCGGCTCATGTTAATGCTCTGGCATAATTTTCAATTAAAATGAAATTTGTTTTGTGTGCGAAAAATTGCGGAAAAATTCAGTCATTTATATTTATGAGATATACGCGACATAAAAACTGTCCAGGCAGACATGAACATCGACCTGCACTGTCGCCAGGATGTGGGAAAAATCTGAGTGGCAGGACGGCGAAAACTGTGGGAATCATTCGAGGCATTTCAATGCAATTAACGTTTTAAAAAAATGCATAATTACATATAAAAGCTTATTAAACAGATTTTGTAGCAGACAACGATGATCAGGTCTTGCCAGTGTGGGAAGTAGTCAGTTTATGGCATAAAGCAGGTGTGAGATTTATTTCGGGTATAAAAAATAAAACAAATGGTTTAAAGACTGGATTTTATTGACTATATCCCGATTGCTCTTTGGTTTATGATTTCCACAAAGACTGCAAAAATTGAAACCCTTCCTTGGGCAAAATTTCCAAGCCCCCCGCCTACGCCTGAATGGAAATTTATGGCTGTAATGTGCCGATACAGCAGCCCAACAAGCCGAAAACTTATGTAAGAAGCTAACAAATTAATCACATCGGCTTGAGTCCAAAATTGTGTTGTATGTTTATTGAATTCTAGCCCCAAGCTGCATTTGGCCTGGTTACTAGTGGCATAACCCTATCAAATAATACCTCTCAGCGAGTATCCTTAGTATCAATAAATTTCAAACTCGTAATTTAGTCATATTTACGGCTTGTACATTTTTATTCAAATAGAAATTGTGAAATACTTTCAAGCCTCTTGCCAAGCATAAAACCAGGCAGTTAACTGAAAATTGGTGGGTGTCTTATGGCCAAGCGATAAACATCAGGAGACAACGGATCCAGTTCTAGCGGCATTTCGTATTAAATTTTATTTGGCAATTCGAATTTGAGCTAAAAGTTCTATGGCCTAACCGGAGTGGTTAGTGCCTGGGTTTCGAGATCGGCCAGAAAATAGATTTTTTGGCTGCGTTCATAATTTAACCATGCAACAGGGAGTGGGTTTATTTGTTGTTACCGTGCTGTGGCAAGGAGCCAAGGAGGAGGAGGGTACGGTTTCATACTGGCTAGACAAAGCGCCTTTGAGCTATTTGCGCGGCCATTGAAAACGGCGCTGCACGAATATTGCCGGCAAACTGAACTCGTTCGTTTTGTGGCATTGTTTTAGGTTTTGTGCTCGGAGGTTTGGCCGTCCGACAGTTTATGCAATGCATTTAGTCAATAGATTAAGGAGGCCTGTGACTACCTACCTTCCTACATATATAAAATATCTAGATTTATATATCCGTGTGTGTGTGTGCAACAAATCGTGACTGCATGAGGCTGCCGTTAAAGTATACGACGACTGTCCCGCACAACTGGCTATCAAGCGGCAAAAAAAAACATTTTTCTTAAGCTTTTTGTCCTCATTTTTTAAGGTGGAGCTAGCGAAACTTTTTAATTTTTTTTTTTGAATCGGAAAAGATTTGTTTAATTATTAAAGGTACTATAAAGATACTATTATAAGGTACGATGCGAGCATTAATGCATTTTTAAGGCTAACCATCCTTCATTTGACTACGGCACCACCTGGCAGATTTATGGAAATGTCGATGGCCATCCGACCACTACGGATCCACGGCATGGCAGAGGCAGAGCAACAGGAAATTCATTTACATAATTTTTGCGTTTGGCCATTTCGCATCCTTTGCACTTGACTGGGCATTATCCTTTTAATAAGCGAGTGGGCAGGAGGTATCCACCGGCGACCAGGCGGCACGCACATGGCAAGCCGTGTGGATAATCAGCCTATCAAGGATTCAATTATATAATGAGCTTAATTTATTTTGCGCCGATTTACGCGGCGACAAACAGCAAGGACAGCCTTGTTCCATGGACCGCGTCCCGTGTCCAACGATGTTCATCATGGCAACTGAATTATCCTCGTTAATGTTGCTGTTGTTGATGACACTGCCTTTTCGGTCCTGTCTGTGGACATGGAAGGATATGCCATAGCATCTTCTTTGTTCCTTTTTTATTTAAATGATTTATTTGCCCATAATTGTTGGCGACTAAAGCTCCCTCCTCGTGTCAGTTGTGGGTCTCTGGCTTGGCTTTTTGAGCCCTTTAACCGATTATGGCCAAGAAGAATGTGAATCGTTAATGGAGCTGACTCTTTATGGTTGACGTTGAGATGCAGTAAGCGGGTAATTTATTCAAGATGCTATTTATTGATGGTCAGCGTCGGAAGTTACCGTTGACCTTGCTTTGGTTACCTAAAAACTAAATATATTTATGCTGTTGAATAGATTTGTCTAAAAACTAAGATTCGGGAGTTAATCATGCTGTCATAAAGATTTTAAAAACAATTTCCGTCATTTAGCCAATTTAGTTCCTTGATTCGAAGTTCAGACTTCTGGCAATGAGAAGAAACATTAATAATCCCCATTAAGAGTCGGATAACAGATAACAACCCAAAACCAAAAACAGTTTTATTTATGGGCAGCCGAAACGAACTGAACTGCAGAACCACCAATGCCACAAACCACCAATCCTCCAATCCAGCAACAACCCACCAAGTATAGTCCTATTCTCACTGCCTTAAAATCATCAGACAAAGACAAAGACATGGCGTGCAACAGGCCGAGATGTACCTGGGCTGATAAAAGTTTTGGCGCAATTTGATTTATTTGCCCAGAGCGAGGGGATTTTATCAATTCGTTGGATTTGGGCCCGGGTTATGGGTGGTGCTTTGGGAACAACCGGTGGTGCAAAAGGTGCCAAATTCAACGCAAAACCAAATAACAATTACAATTGTGAAATGCGTTGTGCAGTATCTGGTATCTGGTGCTGTTTAATTTTCCCCCAGCTGCTGACTCAATTTCGCGCACACAACGAAAGGCAATTACTTTAATTATGCGACTGAACACAAAAACAAAAACAAAAACAATACTAGAGCCAAAAAGCCAAAGACAGACCAAACTGAACCGGCAACCGAACCAGCCAGCAAACCCAATCACAGGGGCGACGACAAGCCACTAAACCATAGAAAACCAAAGCGAACCAAATCATCAGATTGGATGGAGCAACACATGAAGGATGCGGGATGCCGGATTCGAGGGGACTGCACTGCGCTGCTGCACTGTCGGAGGAGAGCGGCAACAACGTCCGTTCAGATCGGTTAAGTTTGGGTTACCTAACCCACGGACAGCACAACCAGCCAGGCAGCCAGCCAGCCAGACAACTCCACAGCCTGCTGGCCAACAACGCCTGACGTGACAAAGGGGTGTGCCCGTGCCCCAATGACGACGCACTCCCATCCGTGGTTCCCAAATAAAAATCTCAAATCTTTTATGGATATTGCCATACCCTAATAGGCAAAGGGAATTATAGTTTTTCCAAGAAATTTATTTAGTTTTTGCAACTTTTGAAAGCCAAACTTTTCTTGTTTCAACCTTCAACTTGTTTCCAGGTACAAGAAGGTGGTGGGGCCTACTTGAGCCTACTTGGGCTATTATTATCTATATTTTATACCAAAAAGATACACCTCACTCATTTTAATTTACTAGTTGTAGTTTTTTCAACATTTTTTGTTCAATTTATTTGCAATATTAGGTAGATTACATATTTTTTAAAATAGCCATTCAAACTCTTTCGATTTCTTTTTGTTTCTTTTTAATATTTAGTTCAAAGTTTTATTAAATAAACCTAAATCAATAATAGTATTAAATGTTAACTTGCCTTCTGAAAAGAGTATCTAAAACTGTAGGTTTTCTTAAGCCATAGTTCATTTTTTTTTCTCACGCACAAAACTTTTTGACATTAGGCCCCAACAAATGCGTGGCTAATGGACTTGGCTGCAGATACAGATATAAAGATTTATACTCCAGCACGGTGGACATACATATGAATGTGTGAATAAGCGAGCAGTTTCTACAATTTGTCGCAGCCATTGCAGTTTCGGCCTCACCTCAACGTGCGCCTAATTACAATTTGATTGTTTTTCTTTCTCGCAGTAATTATTTCAATTGTAATAAATTTAGTTGCTCTTTTGCGAAATTTAATGTTGCAATTTGTCGGTCGTGGCCCGTGCTTCATGAGTATGTTTGCCTAATAATTTCATTTTTAATTTTATGCTTTCTGCATTCGATTGGTTTTTGTGTGTGGGAGGAGAGGAGGCTGCCAGCTGCGGACTGCTGGCTGCCTGCTGCCGGGTGGAGTTGGCCTAATTGGTTTCTGCTCTTTGAGGCGTGTGCTCTGTGTTTTTGCAGTTAATTTGTTCGGGCTAAATAATTAGCTAACCTGTGGCCAACGGCTAACTAATGGCGGCGTTTACCGGCCTGAATATGTAAATGGTTTTTATAGTTTATGGCTTGGTTAAGTCCATAATTTTTAAATAGCTGTTTTTGGGGGAAGTGTGGATAAATTGCGGAAAATTGTATAATAGCTTTTGATATTTATATTTCAATTACCACTCGGAAACTTCACTTAGAATCCTAAATCCCCCAGATCTATTACTCATCGTTCAGCTGCACTGCCAATAGTCTAACGACAAAACCCACACTCGATCTACATTTTAAATGAAAGGCCCGTGTTCGATGCAATTGGCGATCGTTGGCCAAGTTTATAGCCGGGGGCTTAGCACACACTCTCAAGTCAATTATACAACCAAAAACACCGGCAAACGAACTGAGAACTGAACACTGAAAACAGACAACTGCGGAACAAGGTTAAGGTCAATTACAAAAGGCAAAGGCAGACACTGTATGAAAACGACAACTGCCAGCGTTGCGAATAAATTACGCGTGAAATGTAGAATACAAATTAAGAACAAGTTTTTGTGCCTGCTTCCAGTTGCAACACTACCAGCAGTAGCAGAAAGGCATGCAAAATGTAAATAAACAAAGTCAAGAGGTTGTGTCAAAAAAGGTTAAAAGTTGAATAAGAATCGAAAGAGAAGTACCTAGTAGTAATAGAATTTGTAGTTTTGTTAAAAGAAGTTTGAAGTTTCGGAGTTTCTGTGGCTTAAAATCTAGCACTTTAACAACAAAAGCATCATACCCTGAGCATTTTTAACGAGTAATGCATTCTGAAGATTTTTCAAGGCAGTGCTAGCATAGTGTGGGGGCTGTGAAGGAAGCAGAGCAGTTTACGTACAACTGCAAATCAAGCTAATGAGCCTCGAGACCAAGTTATGCAAAAGCAAAATCAAATTAATATTGAGCAATTACCGCAAAGTTCTGCCGTCTGAGCCGAATCTTTCCCACTGCCAAAGAAGCAACAACACTGGCAAGGTCAGCCACAAAAACGGCAACCGCACGAAACTTGTCATCAGTGGCGGTAGGCTTACACCTAAAGAAAAGCCTATATGATCTCTAAAATCATTGGATTTAGAATATTCAACAAAATTTAAAGTAATTTTAAAACAATAATTTATAACCCAAAGGAAAGTTGGTTATTATCACTTTTTTGCCTTAAAAACTGACACATAATTAGGCCTTATTTTTTGTCATGTAAACAAACAACGTCGGATTTAACATGATCAGAGAACCATTGTTGCACAATTGTTGTTTACAACGCCACAAGCGAATCTTAAAACCGGGTCAGGCACATCTGAGGTTAAAGTTAACTTGGCTACCGCCGCCTTATTAACTGGGTTAGGGAGTGGTTTTTCGGGTAATGGACATTAAAGCCAATGATTATCATCGCCGCCAGTTTAAATACACAGACTCAATTGTATTTCCCATCGTCGAAACCTTGAACTTTGCAAATATTAGGCTTGGTCATCGGAGTAATTGTTTATTTATTTATTTGTTTGTTTTTTTGTGCTTTGCAGATTGCCGCGAAACAGTTCGCACCAAGAGGGCGAAACGCCCACGCGCTCCGGATCCGGTCAACTTTGAGCCGGAACCGCAACAGGATCTGGAGAACGATGAGAGCGGCAGCCAGGAAAAGGATGTACCGGAGATACCAGATAACTTCCTGAGCCCCTCTGTAAGGGAGTATCTGGAATTAGGAAAATCAATTCCTGGTAGGTATTTCTAAAAGAAATATGAAAAGCTATCCTTTGAAAAAGACTATAGAGACCCTAAAGCCATTTGGTGTTCTCATTGTCAAGTCAATCAATATGCATGGCCTTCCATCTGATCATTAAGGCTGCCACAACCATAACCAAACCAATCCTCCATTGGAGGGCATTGCCAAAATATTCTTTTTTGACCAGTTTTTTGGCCAGCGGCACAAGCACACAACAGGATGTGAAGATGGGGGCAGCGAAATGCATTTCAGACCATCACCAACAGTCCCAAAAAAAAAAAAATGGACGATTTTAAATTATTTTCCTCCGAACGGAATGAATATTTGGCACAGAAGTGCATCTACTCGTAAATTCATTTATTAGTGCCAGAGAGGCGGCTGAAATCGGACCGGGGATTTGTTTATGTCGCGCTTATTTTTGTTTTTGTTAATTTTTTATTGGGGTATACCGATGTTTCGGTGACCCGGGGCCACCGCCTGCAGTTGACACCGCCGGGAGTCCCAGGGAGTTGGGCGTCAGATGGGGTGACCGTTTTTTCTGCAGGTTTTCTTTCAAGTAAGGTTGCAGGATAAAGTGAAATTGATTGGAAACCCCCACACCCCAGCCATCTGCGTGACATGCAGTTTATTTTGCTTTCGGTTTGTCGATGGTTTATGGGTTTATTTTCCGGCCGAGCTTCCCACTAATTGCAATAACAAAATCATTTGCAGGTCGGCCCGGCGTTGATTATCCAATACTGTCGGCTGTGCCCTACACCAACTTCTATTGCGACGAGCAGGAGTACCCGGGATTCTTTGCAGACATGGAAACTAGGTGTCAAGGTGAGTTGAAACAGTGGTTATACTAAGCATTTTTATACTAATTAGTATGTATTATTTTTTGCAGGCTGGCACTACTGTGACATTGATGGACGTCAGGCCTCGTTCCTCTGCCCCAATGGCACCCAATTCTCCCAGGCCGTCTTCGTCTGCGACTGGTGGTTCAATGTGCGTTGCGATCTCTCTCCCCGGCTGTATGCCATCAATGCCCGGCTTTATCAACGTCCCAAGGTTAATCCCACTCGGCCCCATCGCATCATTACGAAGCAGTTGGTTGACGATATCTTTACTTGATCCCCGAAGGATAGCCTAAGTTTGCCGATGCCTACTAGTTGATAGATTAGCTCTAGAGGTTTTTTAACGCAAAATTTCAGTTATAAAATGTGTTTTTAGCGTGCTTTGCTCATGTACAAGGTCTGTAGTACAGACTCCACTCTTCAAAGACTTTAATCTATCTCTTATAGTTTCTCCATATAGCATTTTCTCAATAAATATTACGAGTTTACATTTTATTTTTATGTGCCCTGCTTCTTAAAAATCGTTTCTTGAACTAGAAATAGTAAGAAACATAGAAATACTAGATGTATACATTTTTTTCATTTCTGAATCATTTTATTTCTATTTAATAATAACTAGTTTATTTTAGAATCGATTATAAAGTTAGAATAAAATTTGTAAAGCATTTCCATTACATTTTGTATATACTTTTAATATTGAAAACTAAATTTGTAATAAATCTTATTATAAGCAAAACAAAAAAGAGTTATTGATTGAAAAACTATTGAAACTAAAGCATTTTCAGACTATTTTATCCAAATTTCCTGCCTAATTTTTCAAAGCCCAAAAAGCTTTTTGCAGCACAAGCTTAGGCGCGTTTTAAAAATACCCACATGGCTGGAAAACTGTTGCATATTTCTTGCCGCCCGGCACAGCGCAGACCGAACCAGCAACAGCCAAAACTAGGCCAAGACTAAATAAAAACCAACTGTTTTGGCCAACTCAGCAGCATCAACGTCAGCAAAAGCATCAGGTATCCAAAACGAAAAGCTGCAGACCACGACGAAGAGCAGATGCTTTTTTGGCCTGGTGCTGGGCATGAGGCTCAATGGTCTAGGGGTATGATTCTCGCTTTGGGTGCGAGAGGTCCCGGGTTCAAATCCCGGTTGAGCCCGGCTTCGACTTTTTTTTAGTTTAGTGCCTTAACATTATTTTATGGTAGTTGCAGTAAGTTAATTAACAAACCAAACAAAAGCGAGGCGAAATGAGCGATTGAATGAGTAGATATGCAAGGCATTTTCGGTCAACAAATGAACGAACGTTGCAGATGGCAACGCGTTGATTGGAAGGGAAATAAAGTGAGCAGTAGAGTCACTTAAAAAAAATTATATTTACAAAATAATGTGCTACCTTTATTTAAAATTGTTATTATAATTGAGACTTGTTAATATAGTTTAAGCATTATTGTTTATAAATATTTATTTATAAATTGAAGTATTATCACATTTATATTTTCGTGCATTAGCAACCGACTTGCAATGAAAGTCAGGCCAACCGGATGGCTTATGGCTAATACATATTACTGCCAACTTGAGCCGCCGACCACATGCAACGTGTTTGGGGCCTTTACGCTTGACTTGGGCGATAACTCTTTGTGTGTTTTATCGTCGACAATTGGAAAATTGAACAATGAGTGTCGCTCTGGGGCCAACCGAAATCCACAAGCTGAGACGCCACACGAACCGATTGTGAGTTGCATTCACAGAAAGTGTGAAAGATTTAATGTTGCAGCAGAAAACTCAAACTAGTCGTGATTATGATGTAACCAACCCCACACAAACTATTTCTCCCCGATCTTTATTTCTCTTTTTGTGGGGGGACACAAAGCCAACTGGTATCTATAAATATGGTTTTTGCTCAAAAGAATGAAGCCATCATATTTTGTAATGGCCTTACATGGCTATCGCATCGAATTACCAAATCCAAAAGCCTGCCGGCCGATGCACTTCCCAAAAACAAAACTACTTTCACTGTGAGCCGAGTCGGAATTAAAATCAGCCAGTAATATTCAAGTTTTTTGATCCGCAGTCGGTTAATTTTTTGCTGACAAAAAGTGCGGAGACTGGCGATCTATGGCCTTCGCATCCGCAGCTGGCGGGATAAGATCAAGATGGTAACAAGTGTCGGACCAAAAGCTTAAGCTAAAGCCAGAAAAACTACCAAAAGTAGATGCAGTGGTGGTTATATATTTGTTTATTTTAGAGCAAAATCCTAGGATCAGTTGGGCAGTTAAGGTTTATAATTAGTAGATAATCTGAAGAATTATTATAGACCATGTTATGGAATAATAAACCAATCTCTGAAATTTACAAAATTCCTTCAAAATAGAGTATGCTTTGTATTCTAGGCACCCCACCATCACTGTGCAACAAAACTAACAAGACTATCAATGCAACAGCGACCGCAAAAAATATGACAAGAAAAATTGGTGGAACATATCGGAATTCTTGCTACAACACCGACAACAGGCAACGGTGGCGTATGTGTAATATTTCTTGCAAGTTGCAACGTTTGTACATTTCTGTGACAGACCAGCACGAACCGAAAATCAATCCAAACAGCCACTCGAACAAATCACGAGCAGCACCAAGAAGTCCTAACCAGATCGGGCCTGACCAGATCGACTAATGATTGCACCGCCGTCTCAGGTGTGGTGCAGCAGCGCGGTGCCATAACTGTTAATGACTTTCGGTGGCGGCCTCAAAGTGCAATGGAAACACATTTAATGAGTGCCACAACTACATCACAAACACAGCAGGCATCAGCATCGGCCTCCTGATCAATTGCCTCTTCAAGTGAATGTCATTGGCTGTGGCTAATGAAAGTGAATGTTCGTTACCCCCTGGTGAAAGGATCAGTCTGAGTTTGGGAATCCCGCTAATGAGGCGGAGTTGGGGCGGGCATTCTCAAGCATCTCGATCATCTGCCACCAACATTGTAACTACACTGAAGAAAATATAAACTCTTGTATGAGTGCATTGTTAGCATTTTTTGTTTTTAACGATTCTTTCAGTGTTTACAATACAAGGTACTGTTGCACAATAGCGGCCCTTAATTTGCCTATCAATGCTCTTTTTCAATTGCCGTGATTGCGGCATCTCCTTGCCTCTGAAATATGAGAACTTGCCGCTCCAAGTCACGCAATTCAAGTGTAAAATTACCATTTCTTCATTCATAAAATGCAACATGTAGCTGTTGCAGTTGCAGCTTGCGGAGAATGCCAAAGAAAAGCGTGAGCATTTCCCCCTTATAATGAGGCAACCACAATATGGTTGCGGGTGCTACGGAATGTTTCAGAGGCATCGCAGTTTTCTGGACACAGGCTGGTTGGCTGGATGAAGGGGGGATTAGGAGAGTAAGGATTAGGAGATTAGAAGAGCTTTGGCCATAGATGTAATACCAGCTGGCGTGAAAAGTCGGTTATTTGGTCAGTAGTGGGCAGCAGTAGTCACAACAATCAGTAGACCAACACCCACAGACATCTCAAAGTTGAATAATCAAAACAAAATGTGGTGGAGTGGAGATTTCCAACCAAAATGTTTAGAAAAAGCTAAAAATTAAAATTTTTAAAGAGACTAGCCTTTAATTATTAATTTGGCCAAACTCTGGCTTGTTTCTTGGCTAAAAGCAATCTGAAAATCAAATTTTGCCAAAGCTACTTAAGAAGCATCAGTTCATTTATTTATTGTATTTATTCCAGTAATATATGGCCAATTAAACGTGGCCAAGACAGCACAGATTCCTTAAAGATAAATAGCCACATGTACATATTTCAAATCAAATGGACAAGAATCTCATATTCTGGAGAGTAAAGGCATTTGCATGCTTAAATCAGAGCTCCAGAGACAAAATACTATTAGTTTTAGCCCTGAATGTGTGCTTATGTGGCCAACAAACCATTACACGCATTGTCAAATTAAGTGTAAATAACTCGGTTGTATCAACAAATAAATCATTGCACTCTGCAGAAAAAGTCCGGTCGCAGTCACTCAACTGAAGAGCGTTGAAAACACAAGGAAGCCAAATTGAACACAAAACGTGGGGCCGAGAGGGCAATAAAGTGCATTTGCATAATGACAATGCAATTTGAAATAAACGCAGGACACATGTCAACGAATAAATTAATTTACTCTAAAATTATTTATGCAGCAAACAAAGCCACCTACACGAGAAGAAATTACAGCTGAGTGTGGGTAAAAAATATTTTAAATAATCTTACAAGTCATAGTCTGCTTATAATTCCTGATACAATTATAGATCTATGTTTAGTTAGTTAATACGTAATATTAGTTAATAATTGTAGTTTGAATACTATATTTTTTCAGTGCCCTAAAACCGATGCAAACCGACACACGCACCCGACCAAATCCCACTGACAATGGAGGCCAGACTGGGACGGATTGGTCGCTTGGTGCATCGAGTCTTTAGAGGCAGGATTGAGGTGTGGGGGCCTGGGAAATGGGCCTAATGAAGGAAGTATTTGGTGTCTGCTGTTGGCTGAGAGCACATATACTAGACATGGCCCCTGTACTTGTGAATGCAATTGCACCTGCACCTGCTGTCGACGGACGCCTACATGGATTCAATCTGGTTTGGCCCCGGCACCGTCATCTGCATTAATTGTATGGCTATGGCCATGGCTATGATGGGGCTCTTCCAATGACGACTATGGCTCTATTTGCCTAAACTGCCTTGCCAGACTTGCCAAAACTTAAATAGCCCCAGCTATTTGCCAAGATTTCTTCACCCAGTGTGCTGCAGGAGGCTCTAAACTTACCATCTCCCGTGGTGGCTCGATGTTGGCCACTTTTCAATTATAACAAAAAACTCCCTCAAACGAATGGCAGGCAAACGCAGTGGCCAACACTCAAAGGCGTGCAATTTGAAATGCCAATTGATTTTGCCCCGGAATAAAAAATATGTACATTTCTGCTGGCAATCCGGGCGACTTGTTAGTTTGTGGCACCACCAGGCAGTCAGGCAGCCAGGCAGCCGAGCAGGCAATAGAAAAAGAAAAATTCTTCATTCAAAACAGAAAATGAACTGAAAGTGTTCCAGACAGATGGGCAAGTTTCCAACGAATCGAACAGGCCATACCCTGGAATATCTGTAAACTAAAGATGAATGGGGCTTGTATTCAAGATTTTATGGAATATTGCTGAAAACAATAGTAGTTTAGTTATTTATAGGAGAATTCTTCCATTGTCTATGATTATTAATTAAACCTTTTAAACATAAATGGTGAATAATACTTTAACACCATTCGTAGTTGTAATGCCCTGCCAAATACTACTAGCCAACTAGAACAACACAAAAATCATGACCCAAAAGAACCATCCAACCGTCATCACAAAACCAAAGTCAGACCAGGAGCCACAATCCCACCAGCTCCAGTCAGCTACATTTTCCCCCACACTCTGGGAAAGTTCCATTCAATTGTGCTTTGTACGATTCATGGCGCGTGATTTTTGCAACTTGTGTTCGCGGCTTTGCCAGGAACTATTTTTACCCAGCTGCCAGCCAGCAGTGGCCCATCCTCCTCCAATCTTTTGACCAACCACAGTAGGAGCCGCAAACATTTTAGCCAGGAGCCGCAGCTACAATGTTGACAACGTCAACCCGTGTCCGTGTTGTTGCAGCCTCCGTTTCCATGTCGCCAATGTTTGTCCACAATTCAAAATCATTTAAGCGCACTTTCTGCTCTGACTCTGCTCTGCCAGCACCAGCGAAAAAAGGCCAAGACTGAAGACCCCGCTGGTGGAGCTCCCTTCTTCGTCATCACCACGAAGCTTTTTTCCTTTCATTTGAATCCTGATTTTCTTTTTATAGATTATTTTCACGCCTTTGGCGCTTTTGCATTTTGCCTTTTTGCGGACCACATTTTCCAAAGCTAGGGAAAAATGCCACAAAAAAAAAAGGCAGTGACAAAGTGCATCGACAAACATATTTCTTTGGCCTGGGCATTATAATTGAAAATCCCACAAAGGTGTTGTCGTTGCTTTGTGACTAAATTGAATTTAGTAATCGGTTTTTTATCGACCATTGCCAACTAAAAGTACATACACGGCAGCTCCTGCCAGCCGCTCCTTTCTGCCATGCCAATGGCTCTGGGCACTTTCTAAACCCTGTTTTGGCACGTGCGCCGCCAGTGTCCACTCTTTTCCAGAGCCATTCCCACCCAAAATGACTCCCCTTCTCCGGATCGCAGGAGTTTCCCTTTATGGGTGCCCTGGGGTGCCGCTCAGTCAATTGCACAGACAATAACCCCGAATTGGGCACTTATGGACCCCATACGACACTATCATGAAATTGGAGTGGAAAATTTTTTTAAGGCCCAAAAAATGCTTTAGGGGAACATTTATTATAATTAGTTTAATGTAATACAACATAAAGTAAGACATTAAAATTAAATAAATCAATTTAACTTGACTTTAGTGATTTTTACATAAGTCTACAAAGTATAAACAATATATTATTATATAGAATAACAAAATTTACTTTTATAAACCTTATATCCGTTTCAAGCCAACCAGTCTCTCACTAATCTGACCTCAAACACTTATCACGCTATTTAATGGCTGCACTTTCCTTCGATTGCTTGGTTTGGCTTCATTAAATATTTATGGGTGAACTGGGGAATTATAATTTCTATTTTATTCAATTCATTTACTCATTAAACTGGAAATAGTTCACCTGCATTATTTTTTATAAACTTGATATACTTGTGAATTATGTAAATGCTGAAAGAAAATGAAAGGAGTCCCAATCATTGAACTTATGGATGCGGGTGTTGACGTGATTAAGTTAATGGATTAGGCCAGGGCGTGACTTATGAATTTCACCAGTTAATTTTTAGCTTTAGTTTTAATTAAATTGCTAAGTAGTTGAAATGTGGGAGTGGTCTCAGGATCGTAACACACAACTGCCACATTTTTGGGGTAAAAGCAGACATCCCATCCGATCGCGTGGCTTTCGGAAATTGAATTGAAAATTTTGTAAATAATAACATGGGATGAGCTGATCATATTTTGCGGTTAATTTCAAGCCAATAGAAAGTGCAAAGGTAAGCCGATAATAGGGTGAAAGGAACGAAGGCAGAACGCACTGCCACAAGCCAGAGGGTCTGTGTCATGCGAAATCAATTTAATCGTAATAAGATGGTCGCCCTGGTAATTGTCTGTTAATGGCTTCATTACAGGCCCCCAGACAACAGACCCCAGCGAATACGGTAGTTAAAGGCAGGCCAGAAAAAAAGCATAAACAAAGCCGGGCTAAGACCTGACCTAAGGCAATATAAGCAGTTCTCTCCGCCCCCCTGAAAATGGCCAACCATTACAATGAGTCACAGAGCACGCGACGTTGGTCAAAACAGCTGAGAAGTCCCCCACCAGAGAGTTGCCCAGGTAAGAGAGAAACCCATAGCAAGCAGTGCAGTCGCTGGGGCAAGCAGTTCCTCCAGAGACCAAATAAACAAACGCGCAGCCGCAAAACCACATTCAGTTTCAATTGGAACGCTGCGCGTGCGCCGTTGATCAAATTTTGCGCGCTCCGCTGTTTTTAAACGTTTTTCGGTTCGTTTGTTACAAATCATAAAAATCAGTTTCGTTTTTCATTTCCGAAACAAAAAACACTGAAAAACCCAAAGACAAATCGTGTAAATTATGAACTGTCAATATTAGTTGCCATTATAAGCCCGTTGGGTGTTTTGAGAAATATTTCGGCTTGTGAAAGTTGGGCATAAACAGCAAATTATAATTCTTATGAGGAAAAATTTGCATACGGTGTAAAAAGACACACCAAATAAATTGTGAAACTTATGGAAAGATGTGTAGAACAAGATGAAATAAATATTGTGACCCAATACAAAGCAAATCAATGACCCTTTAACATGTATCTAGATTAAGGCCCCAAGATCGAGTGAAAGAGATCTTAAGAATTTATTGTAAAAAAGATCGTTAGATCTTTAAATTGTTTAAAAAATATTGAACCCAAAACAAAGAGACATCTTTGGCAAAGAAATCTATGTTAATAGAGGTTTAGTGGTAGCAGCCAAAACGAACAAAAAAAATTTCACCTGAAGAAAACCTTTCTTTTTGTAGAGTTTTCAGAATAAATTCGGAGACTGGTTTACCAAACTGTTCGAACTAAAGATTTCCTAAAACAAAAAGCATTATTTTCTTTGTTAACTCGGCTTGAACCGCACTAATTTATTCAGTCATGAGATAAAGAGGCATCGCCCCATCATAGAACGTAAAATTCCGAGCATTTTCTATGCAAATTTATTTTCGTTGATGACAAATTCCAATCAACTAATGACTTTTTATTTGGCATACGATAAATACTTTCAGTTCTTTACCAAAAATGTTTAACTAAGCTGCATTCGAACAGGATTTGAGACAGTAATAAATAAAAGTGATAATAAACAAACGAAATGCGGATCCCCAAGGGAAGATTGACCGGCTGGCTGCTGCCAATATTGGCATTTGGTAAGTGCAGATCTTTAAATTACCCGGTCTTACCACAAAGCCAACTTAGTTAGAACCAAAAGAAACGGAAAACCAGTTTTTGACGATTGGGTGACTGAACGGGAGCAAGGTCGTTTATGTCGCACTACTGAAAAATGTCGTTTTCGATTCGCGCACCGAAATATTAGAGATTATGCAATGTGGAGTGAATCCCCAACTCCCCCACAAGTCTGCACAACTGAGGACATGCTGGGTTGAGATATGGCATCATATCGAAATGCCAACAATTGCGCTACAGGGCTCTGACCATCAATTGCCGGCCAGGGAAAAGTTTAAATACCTGAAGCGGACCAAATCCCAAATACGTGCGCAAAGTTGCGTTTATGTATATTTGTGTACCGGAGCGAAAGTACGCAGCGGATCCATCGCGGATTCATAATGCGTCCTCCTGCTACAAGTCTGCGGATAATTCGCACTATGGGACACAAGTCCCAACTTCAATTGACATTTATTTTAAGATTTTAAGGGGAATATTGAATGCCTCCACATATGAACTGTTTAAAATCTCAATCTATTTTAATTTAAAGATCTCGTAAATATATCCCCTTTATTGTTTCCACCGTGCCATTGATAGAGTGGAGCCCGGTAAGCCGTGTATTGATGGGGCGACATAAAAATTATTATCGCCATCAACATCAGCATTGACGGGATTCGGTGACGGTGCATTACACTGCCAAGTGGATAACTAAACTGGACCCTGGTCCTGGGAACGGGAACGGGAGGGGGATAGATGAATATTTCAGAGCCCCAACCAAGCTGGAGCCATCGGGCAAAGTTGAGGTAAACGTGCTCCACTTGGAGTGCGCGGCATTTGGTGTGGAAAATGCAATTTCCCAGCTTTGGCTGCAGGAATGTGTACATTTGTCTGCCAGTGACTTCGTGGGAGATTGGGCAGATGCTACGGAATGTTGGGATCCATGTAAAAACAATATTTCGAGTGGCCATAGTTCATCCCCACCGACACGAGATGAAATACCAAAAATTGTATTGCATTCATTCACCAAAGTAAACAAAATAAAAAGGGAAGAAAACAAAAACTTCCCGAGACAATTATGATAATAACTTCCTAAAGCGAGCAACTTGGCTTGCCTAATGTCCATCGTCCGAAAAACCAATTACAGTCATCCCAAGTCATTAGTTTACACCCAAAAATAACATCACTTTGATGAAGTTCAACCTGTGCTGACTAATTGCCGCCAACGTTTTGTATTTTACATAATTTGCAACAAGTTTTGTCAACTTTCTGCGGTAAATTCAAGCGGTGCCGGGGCCTAATAGTGGTCCCCAGCAGCAGACCCACAATTTGAAGGTCCATAAATTTGCTTTGGGCCAGAGACACCGGCCAGCTGCGGATATGCTCCATACACAAAACATTTCATTTGTGTATGTACGGCGGCAAACAAGATTTTTCACTTGCATTTCGATGAAGTGAAAATAAAGAGAGGGCGTGGGGCGTGGAGCGTTGGGGGTGAAAAGAAAAAGTAAAATGTTTGCCGAAAAAATAAAAAAAGGAAAACCGAATGTAATCACATGTTGGCGGACACAACAGTTCCGCCACGGCCGCGTCCACTGTCTGTGTCAATGACTTTGAAATGATTTCAACGCGAATTTCTCGTTTCGCTTCTCAATCCGCCGTTTACATTTCACTGATCCACAACCACGGGTCAGTAGTCAGTAGCCAGTAGTCTGCGGAGATCAGTGTACGTGGACTTTATTAGCAATTGGATAATTGACATAATCAGATGTTCAAATGGATAGAAAGCAGACGGTGCTCGGCTATAAGCGGTAAGCATTGATCTGCCCGAAAGAGTCGTACGTCTGAGCCACTTTCGAGACCTGAACCCGCTACCATGAGACGGGAAGTCCCGTCTTTGGGTAAAACCACAGCAGAAACAGTCGAGTTCAATTGTTATACTATTTACATTCTAAGACAAAACTTTTGTGGAGAAAAACCAATTAAAAAAGGTTATAAATTGAACAACACCTCATAATTAAATTGTTTATATTACTCCTTACCCTCTGTATAGTACTATTTGTTTTAGACATCGCCTATTATACTACAAATACACAATGTGATCTGTGAAATCACATTTTGAAATTAATTTTTTCTGTAAATTTCCAAGAAATAAAAGGTATATTTTATTTAGCAAGTCCGGGCTTTATTTATCTAACATCTTAATTGTGGGCTATAAAAAATATGTATATCTGATCTACTCAACTCAAAACAAAGAGCTGGTTTTAACCCGTAATTCATTTTGTTTGACACTATCAATATTAATCAAACTTTTTCATATATACAGTCCAGTCATTAACCCCTTGATGGTTTTTAAATCATTTGGGGTTTTTAGTATAAAGCTTTCAGTAGAATTAAAAGATCAAGACGTTAATAAAGACGCTGATACAACTTGTAGCTTGTCATACGATTATGAGCATCAATGATGATTTCATAAAAATTGAAAGGTATTTAATAAATATTGTTTAAAGAGAAAAATAATTTCAAAAACATGAAAGGTTAAACATGGTGTGAATTGTATAAAGGTGAACCGCAGTGGGATAGGGCTTTGCAGTTTCAATTCACCTGTCAGCGAACGAGATGCACGGAATTAGTAAACTGACTTTGACCTTGGCCTTGGGCACCTTGCTATTTTACCTGGGATTCACAACAGCCCAGGAGGGTGCCCTTTTCCGGTGCAATGTTCAGTACAAGTGCTCGTCGGAAAAAGAGCTGGTCTGGGCCATGGCCGACGAGCGGTGCTTTGTCTTTCACAACAGGTGTCTGCTGCAGGTGGAGCAGTGCTCCCGCAACAGCAGCGGCAGGACAGAGCTCATCGAAACTGACAGGGAGACCTGCAAGCCAAGCTGCACAAAAGTTTGCCTTGACACCTACGATCCAGTTTGTGCCCAAATCTTCCAGGAAGACTACATCACCTTCAGCAATGAGTGTGAAATGCGTAACTACATCTGCTTCAATGAGCGACGTAAGTTAATTGAGTAGTTTACACTTTTCACAAAGTAATTATATAAATTTTGTTCAGCTTACTCCTACTATGCGATGGGAGAATGTGTTGAGCAACCAGTTGGCTAAAAAGTGAAGATCTTTAAACAATACTAAGAATTCCAATATGTTTTTAGAATTCCAATAAATAAATTTATTTGGTTTGTTAATTTATTTTTTTAGGAGAGTTACATTCCTTTAATATACCATTTTCCAGTATGTGTTGTTTACATAAAGATTCAACATCTGAAACCACTACTAGTTATGTTCATGGCCCGGTGTTACACGACTCACAACTGGATTTGGTTTTATTCCGGACATGACACGTACTATTCGGTCCCTAAATGCATTTTAACCCAATTATTTTAAAGCGCCTTGACCAAAAACAGGATTTGCAACACCGCAGTAAGAAAATAAAAGCAAAGCTTGCCACATCATGCGTTTTGCAATAATGTCTTGGAGCTGGCCACTCCAACAACAAGTTGCACAACTTTTACGCAGCCACTTTTGCCGGCAATTCAAGTTCAATGTTGTTTGGCTTTTCCAGCTTAAACCAAGCCGGCACTTGCTTCCTGATTGGCGGCGATTGATCGGATTTAATTAAAGAAAATTTTGCATTTTCGATATGCAAAACTCATTAAAGAGACCACAAAGAAGAAACTGCACTGCTGCACAGCCCCAATGTCCTGGGGGCAGTTTCGCAATTACGCGATGTCCGAGCGAGGTTGTTGCAAAATTTGCTTCACAGTTTCGGAGACCGTATCGACCGATCCAGGTTTGAGTTCCAGCCCACGTATTTGGTTTTGCTTTCATTTGAATTACCTAGGTTTACCTTACTGTAGTATGGAGTACAATGGGAGTCTAGATAGGTTATGTAAATGAAATGAAAAAAAAGTAATTGGGAGTACAAACCATTTAATATTACATTTAGGCCCAAGAGATACTATTTTATTGGAAGAGTATGAAGAGGTATTTTAGTAGAGAAGACTCTTCTGTAAGGGTATTAAAAATTCCTGGTCTTAATCCCTATTGTTTCGCCTTCATTTTCATTTGCATTAACATTTCTTGGGGAGCTTTTCACTCTCTTTGTCTTTCGTCCACTTTTCACCCAATGATTTGATTGTTTTATGGCCGTTGGCGCATTTACACAATCGCAGGCCGAATAGTTATCAACTTGTCTGAGGAGCGAGCTGCAGTCAAGTGCCTGGGTCCAGGCGGAAGACATGCTACCCTAACTCGACCAAAGATTTCCGATCGAATGCAAATTTCCTGCAGTTGAAACTGGCTCAACGCCTTGTCCCACGCCTTCGGTAATAACATAATTGATTTATAGCCCACTCCCCGCCAAATATTTGGACGATGGTCCCGTTTTAAGTTTTGTCATTTCGCGGGGGTCGCAACCATAAAAAAAACATTCTCTTTGCCAAAACCGGTGCAAGAATTGATTTTTAATTCGCTTTGATAAGTTTGGGTCATTAAGTTTTGATTGTCTCATCGCGACTAATGACAGAAACTTGAAAGTCTAACATTGGATAGCCGAAGTTCATTTGTTGGGGTCTTAATTAGCAAACAAAGAAGTTCACGTGTAATAATCAAGCAAAAGGAAAATTTGTGTAATGTAGTTTCATAAGAAAAGTCTGCATAAATCACAAAAAAAAGGAATTAGGCGCTTGGCTGATTTTTGGTTTAAGACTCAAGATTTCTTTATGTATAGAGTACTTGTCATACACATCATAAAGTTAAAAGGAATACCTAGTACTGGTTATCTCTTATAAATTAATAAGGAAGCTTCAAAATACTTCTACCGTTCCCCAATGAATAGTCTCTATTGATAAAATTTTATTATGCAAAGATATCAATTCCAAAAGTGCGATATCTGCTTATTGAAATCCCCACTTATGTGCACCACAACCAAAAAATTGAATAAGAGGAGCCCGCAGCGAATCCAAGCCAAGCCAAGCCAAGAGAAGTCCTAAATTACCTCACACGACCATAAAAAGTGGGCTAAAAGCAAAAGCCACAAAATCAAAAGAGGCGAAAACAAAAATGGCTTGAGCAGATGCCATGCAGTAAAGCCAGCATGAAGTAGAAAGAAAAACCATTGCCTAGGTGTAAACTGTGTGAATATTTTTCGGTTATTACACGCATTTTGTTATTATTATATATCCCCCCCCGAAGCCTTTTCGGCCAAATAAAGTCTTAAATGAAAAATGTCAACACATGAGGCGGCGATGTTTTCCAAGATTATTAAAAAAGAGCAACTAGAGCAGTGGCATAAAAGGGTGAGGTTGGAGCAGACGATGTGTAATGCCAACAAAATGCCGCATTTGGTAAGAGACATACCATTGTTGCTATTGCTACTGCTACTGCCATTGTTATTGCTATAGTTATTGTTTTGGTTATCGTTGAAACTGTAACTGAGCCTGGCAATTGCTGATATACTTAGTGCAATGATGACGGGCTCGTGCGTAACTTTAAAACAACCCAACTGGCACTCAGAGAAAAATATTTATTAAATATGTGAGAATCTTAAAGAAATTTATAGCTTTTAACTAAAATAAATTATGAATTTCTGGTTACCCAACTTTTCTTTATAATTATGCTTTTCAGTTCACCCCAAATCATTGTGACATAATTTTTGCTTTGTAGTTGTCGCTGATGAAGTCTCGGCTTGGGCCAGTAAAATTATGTCTTTTGGGCCAAGAAGTGTTGGCTTTAATTAGTGATCCAATTACCAAGCCTGTGATATATGAGCCCCGGCTGGAGTGAAAGTTTAGTGCACCGCATATTTGTGGGCCAAGTGGCGCGTGTTAAATTAAAAGCCACAAAAGACTCAAAAATCCAAGCACCTGCATAGGTGGAATAGCTTGGATTAAAGCCAAACGCAAAGTCGGGGGGTTGACAACGAATATGGCCAACAGCAAACTGAACCCGTCTCGATAGCCAAGTGCACTTGTTGCAATTGATTGCACAAAGTAACCAACCACCACATAACTGAGATATTTTACTTTATTGCAAATAAATTATAAACAATGAGCGGCGGCACATCATCATTGGGGATGCGACTCGGGGATGGAACAGGTTAATTGGCCAACTTGTGGAAAGTTGGTATTTCATTGATGTAATGATGGTGATCACAGCAGGCTCAATCAAATGTGGAATTTTCTTTTATTGGCAAGGCTTGGTGGTTGTAAGTGGTATCTTTTTCCATCAAAATAAACTTTAATGAATTATTTCAAAAGCCAAAAACGAATCTGTTAAGAAAGTGATTCACTTATTCACTAATTCCCACCTAAGCTCCAATAAAAACTGACTCAGCCCATGCAGGAAAATCAAATCAAGGTGACGAAACAATTTCAATTGGGTTTTCCTGGCGTTGCATTGCAAATTGTGTGCAAATCGTACACGCTATATAGTAATATCGTGCCAGTTATTACCCAAATCGGGTCTTGGTCCAGATTGACTGACCACTATCTCGTTTTCGATGTCACCCTGTCGGGAAATGAATGAGAATGCTGAGAAGAACAAATGAGATACGGATCTGGTGATTAGCCAAATGGGTTTCCACTAACTTGGCCATCTGTGGCTGTAATTAATCTTCGATTGTCACTTGTTTGCTGATAGTGCTCATTTGTCAACCGCGAATCGTGCTCGAAAAGTGGATCATCAAGGTTAGTTTGCGGCTAGCGGGTGATAATTAATGGTAGCTTTTACTCAAATGTTTGTACAGCGCTCTCAGCTGGCTCTTCATTAACCCAATTAGGGCGAAATCAAAACCCATCCGACCCCTTTCTTGACCTTAACTTAATTAAGATCGCCCATCGCCTTTTATCTTGTACTTCCCTGGAGGAAGCGTAACTCTATTATTAAAACAAGTTGAATTGGAATGGCACGGCTGTAGTGCACGGTATGGCAAAGTTGCAATCATTTACATTAATTATCTACAATTAAAACTGGCCGGTGGCCAACGCATATTTATCGACATGATTTAGCCAGCTAATTGATGAAGTTGAAGGTCACCGCTCGGATAGGCTAATTATTATGTACGAATTACTAGATTAGGAAACCGTTTTTATTTCACTTTTTTTTTGCATTTTCTGGGTGGCTCAAGTTCTAAAGCAGCCGAAAAAAAGCTTTGGGTGTTTGGCAACACACCAACATGCAAACACGATTGTTAACACCTAAAAAGCAGCCAGCCAAGCTTCCAAATTAAGCCAATTAATTTGGCTGGCCGAGACAACAATCGTTTGGCATGAGCCATAGCTTAGAAAACTCAGCCGAAACGATCTCGAATAAACAATTAACTCGATTGGCCAAGCCGTGGCTTCTGATATTTACTAAGGTGCCCGTAAATTTGGCAACTCGGGGAACGCAAAAACGAACCTAAAATGGCTCGTTTTAAAATGTTGTATAAACTGCAACAGAATTCAACCGCAATTAATTAAAGTGCTTCGCCAAAAACTGTCAACGTTTTTGACTTTGAGCTCAGGAAATCACTATTTATGGGCCTTGTCGGTGTGAGTCAGCTGGAATTCCAGGCTTCTCCATTGTCTGCGAGAGATTACCAACTTTTCGCAGGCCAACAAGAGCGAAAAGTGCACAGGGTCAGTATCTTTTTTGTTCGGTCATTCCATGATGGTCACAGATACTTTTTTCCTTCCCTTGCCAGCGCCCCTGACCGTTTTGGGTCAAAGAGCACTTGAGGTTCTATAATTTGCTCGCTCATTGAGCAAAAATATCTTTGGATCTGATTATGATGGGAATCCCCGAGTAAAGATTCAGCTAATAGCTTACTGACTGAATATTAAATGGCTTAATGGCAGGTCTAGTGGTTTTTTAAATAAAATTATTAAGCTATGTCCGGTTACTGAGGGATGTATATATAATATTGTTTTGATCTGCTGTTGAGTAGCTTAAATATGAATAATTTATTAACAAAATATCAAATTGGTGTTCAGAATAAAATTACTGACAAACACCCCACTAATTAAGTTAGGAAAGTTTCCTAAACGTAGGAGTTCTTAGTAAACAACATTTTTCAAAGGTCACTCACTGAAATACTGAACAATCACATGATTGATTCGATGTACTTGTCAAAGGTTGGTTCCTTTTCCTCTGAATT